GTATATATCGAAAGTCTCCATATACATGGTAAATCTACTATTACCTTCTCCGAAACGGTATATATCAAAAGTTTCCATATATATGGTGAATCCACTGTCACCTTATCTGGAAGTGTATATATTAAAGAACTTAATACAACTGGTAGATCCGCTGTCACCTTCTCCGGAATGGTATATATCGAAAGTCTCAGCATCAATGGGTCTAATACAACCTTCTTCGGAACTGCATATATCGAAAACTTAACTTTGAATTGGGGGGTCGTCAACTTTCTATCATCAGGCGAGGTCCGCAAACTGGTGCATCATAGAGGGAATCTTAATATCGTCCGTGGAATCCTCAGAGAAATGATAAAACTCTTCGGAGCGGGAATGATTATTGAGGACGGAGGTTGTGAAAACAACATAGTACGAATCGGAGGGTACATGGACGTCATTGGTGATATAACAACGTTGCATTTAGCCGTGAGATGTGGGTATGATGCCATAGCGAGACTTCTATTAGAGAAAGGTGCGAATCCCAACGTGCTGTGTCACGCTGAAAATGGCCGTGTTAAGTGGACGGCGCTCCACTTAGCAGTGTTTATGGGACGAAAGGCGACTGTTGAGTTGTTACTGGAAATGAATGCAGACGTCAACATCAGGGACAAAAATGGACAAACGGCACTACAAATCGCAGACTCCCGAGGGCACACGGAGATTGTACAGCTTTTAGAGGAATGGTTTCGAGAGAGAAATGTACGTTCCAAGATTGCTAAAAAGGTACTAAGGTTGCTAAGAAGGTATGGAACTCTGTTGTTTTCTAAGTTGTAACTAGGGCTTGCTGGAATTTTAGGTGGCTGGGAGTCTACGTCCTGTAGCTACAGGTATATAATATACTATCTAGCAGCCTGTACCTACTTCTAGTAACTTAACCTTCTAATAGGTATACATCAATGATACTCATAACCTGTGTCTATTTAAACAGAGCTGGAGTCTGGTGTTACTTCCATGAGATGTTGCTTAGTTCTTTCTAAAATCGATTGCTTAATGAAACAGAGTACGAGAAGTCTAGAGGTATAATAGATCTCTTAATTTCTTAAGAAGCGTTATCTGTTATCTCGACTAAAAAGAAAGCCAACAAGTATTCTGTAGGACAGAGTGCCCATTCATCCAATCTACTTCAGGTTCACATGCCAGAGCGACATGTACAGCATGTATAAGTAAAAGGGTGGTTGGTAGCAGTTGCTATCTTCGCCTACCTATCCATAGGGCTTTTCCCGCCATGGATATTCCCAACAAATAATAAAGCAGAATCGGTCACGGAGGTATCTTCAAACCTATTGTTGCGACTCTGTGTCTTTACCATGCTTGTACCTTGCCAATCTTTGTCGTAGAAATCACCGACGCTCACTTTACCTTCCTTGGTAATAATCGTCCCGATAAACCTATTGCCGGTCGAACGTTCATTGTCAAGCATCTTCAAAGCCGCCCGAGAAATTCGATCACCAGGGATTTCCCCAACCTCCCGAATATCTTCCTCGTTCATTCTCAGATCTTTGATATCTTGGCAGTATCTGTCAAGCTGTTGCTTTTGATTGAGAGGGGCAAAATCAGTATTGAGCCGATCGACTAACGTCGTTACTTTATCCAGATCGGCTTCGAGTTGATCCTTGTCGATAAGTCCCCAGACTGTTTGCTTCATAAATCCCGGGTGTTGCTCATTACACCGTTTCTGAACCATACGATGGAGTTTACTCGCAATCCTCTTCGCCCTAGACAGTTTGTCGCTCTGTCCTATGGAAGCGGTCGAAAGATCTTCGGCGTTCGAAGCGTCTTGGACAGCCGGCACCTCGTTCGTGTAAGTTGCGAGCGACGTGTTTGTAGTGACTAGTTGCTTGCGGATAAGGTCCAAAGTCGCTTTGACTAATTCGGCTCTCTGCTCTGTTGGTCGAGCAACGAGAAATTTGTTGCGTGAGACCCCCGAATCATCGATAAGTCCAACGGCGATAGCCCAGGTTGTTGTGGAGTTTTCTAACAAGGCTGCGCGCAATTGCATGTATGCAAAGTCGCCTTCGAAGTTCCGAGCCGTTAGGAAATCTTTGTAGCATTGGAGCAGGCTTTGGAGGACTCCTACAACTCCCGCAATACCAATAGCAGTTGCGGCCACTTCAGCCATGGTATCTGGTGGTCAAAAGATAATTGCTCGTGAACATGAATGGATTTCCTTCCTCAGGCCGGGGAGACCGGGAACCGCAATTTCATTTAGGTGACTAGAAATTCATTGATTAGTGAGCACGTCGGGCTTCAATGTTTGAATTGCATACATACTACGTAGTAGCCCCGTACCAGCGGCACTCTCGGCGCTCGCCGCGTTTAGCGACCCCACCTCCCCCCCATGCGATATCCGCGGCTGAAATGCAATGTTAACACCCAGTAACCCGCCTAGGAAAGTACCTTGCGCATTCTGTCAGCGTCAAGGCGCGTATGTAGTGAACCGTTATCCTATCATTAAAGATAGGTATCTAAAACGAACAGTACCTATGGATGGAATTTATCGGATCGAGCGTCGCAAAGGTACGTTAAGCAATCTTTAGGATATTACAGTATCTGTCTAGTGACTTAATCGTTTTTAGCTTGCGATGTATGCTACCATAAGAAAATAAAATGTAATATGGCGAAGCCTTCGTGCTCCAATTGCGAGTTGTATCAAACTCCTTGTAAGACATCACTAATCCGACGACGCGCACAACTACAACCTAAATCGAGAGTCAAATCGCAAGGCGAGATAACTTCAGGTATTAGTAACGAGCCAAATAATGATTCAGCAGGCTCAGAGACACAGCAAAATAGGACTCTCGAAGAAAGAGTCGCTTATTTGGAAAGTCAGCTGTCGCAGTTCGCGCAAAGCCCGCCAAAGGATGATACACCGCCAGATAATGTTGTTTCGTGGTCCGGCATCATACCCATGAATATGGAATCGAGATTGACTACTTCAACGCCCCGTTCCAAGCATCGTTCGGATATAAATCAATCATTGGACAGGCCCTCGCCATTAGTTCTCCCACCTTTAGATGATATCCTTCCATTCGTTGAGCGCTACTTCGAGCACACCAACTCACTAATCCCTCTATTCGATAAGAGTGATTTCTATAAACTTCTGGTGGATTGGTACCACCCGTCTAGTAATATAAGCCAAGCTCATAATGCCGGTCATCATCAACTCAAAAAGAACTCGCGGCAAACGACATTTGCCGCCATAAACGTCGTCATCGGTTTATCTTTTCGCGTTCCTTCAAGTCCTTCGCAAGGCCTTGACCTCGGCGAAGAACGTCCTATGGTCGAACAGTGCAGGCGTAATGCTGAGCGCATGGTTATGGATTTGATGAACACTGCTGAAGACCTAGTCGTACTTCAGGTATTACTAGGATTAATGATGCTGTATCTCGGTAGCCAAAACCCTCATTCAGTGACTACTTTAGTCGGATCGGCAGTTCAGCTCTGCCATCGGCTTCGCTTACACTCATCCGAAGAGAATGCCGACTTCCAGCCTCCCGTGAGGATAAAGAGAGAACGATTATTCTGGATTACATACATCCTTGACAAGGTTCGCTTTTTCAACAAGATCATATCATCGATACGCGAGGATTATGACTAATACACCTCATAGGAGGTCAGTATAAGATACCATACTCCCCCACTCTTGTCAGATGATGAAGCAGATGTGGAGTTGTCGATGGAACAAGAAGGGAGTCGAGACACATTTTCAGATATCATCCAAGACTCTATGCAGTTCAACTTCTTTTGCCATCGCGTCCATCTAGCCGGGACTCAGGCATTGGTATACCAGCAGCTTTATTCGCGTTCTTCAGGCCCATCCAAGATACCAGCGGAGCAACGACGCTCACGGGTATTACTACTTGACGCGCACCTCGAGAATTGGCGAAAAATAATCCCTGACCAGCTCCAGATGGATAGCTTAGTCAAAACTCTGTTCCCGGAAGGATTGATGACGAATGTATCGCAGAAGAGCATGGGCATCTTCATCCACATGGTGCAATTACATTTCGCATATATCGGCCTCCTGGTGAGGATACATGGCGTCTGGAGCAATGACGCGGACTGGTTGAAGCTCATCAATAGTTTCAGCCAGCAGATTGTCCGAGACTGCAGCAAGCGGTGTAGTAGATGCGATATCCAACTAGGGCCCTTTCCGAAACAATGGGAAAGGTGTGTAAAGGCGAGCAAGGAATGTTTGAGATTGGTGCAGGAGATGCCTCTAGTTATCAGTAGCATGTGGTAAAACACCAACCCGCCTCACTCAGTTCTCTCCCCCCTTAAAAGTGGCTGACTTGTGTCCAGGGGCCTCGGGTGTGCTTACGTGTCGAGCCTCATCATCGTTCTAGCAAATCAACTTCAAAGCAACGATATCGAGCAATTGGAGGTGGACCATGCTCTAACGAAGCACGGCCTTGTTATATTCGCTAAGATCAAGGAGGCGTCTGGCTGGCAACCGCTGCACCTGCTCCACAGCGTGATCATAGGTCTTGACGAGCAGGCGACGCGAATACTTACTACGAGGAGAACGCCGTCCGCAAACATAGAAGATTTCGAAAGCATGGCGCCGGATCTATTAGTGATGGAGAATCTGCCGCCGAGCGAGTGGGATTTTATGATGTACTGAGGATCTTGGCCGAGTGTTGGAAAGAAAAAAAGGGGGGGCAGGGGTACGAGTGGCGAGTGCATGTTTACGGCGCCTAGAGTTTTTTTTTTAAAAAAAAGGTCGTCGGCCATATAATGCTTGGAACCTTCGATTCATCAACCGAAAAGAAAAAAACTTTGCTCGAGCATTGTGTTCATTGAAGCTCTTGTGGGCCATGGAGCATCTTACAAATGCGAAAAAGGGGGTCATGCCACAACTTAAAAAGCAATATACCTATCGAATCTGATGAGACTCTCGAAATTGTAAAATTTCTGTATGTACCTATTCATCGCCCAAAGAAGTTTTGCCGCCCATATCTGCTAGTACTCTGCACCCTACTCTTCAAAAGAATTTATCAGCCATGATCTCTTCAACAGTAACGTACGGAGGACCCTCGCTCAGTACTTACCTAACGAGCATGCCTAGGCGGCTCACCATACACTTCCATATGCGATGTATTCAACGACTAGTACTGTCCAGCTAGTTCTGCTGGTGATATGCCTCGTCTACGGTGCCAACAAACTAAACATTCGTTGACATATCCGATATCCGCATCCATGTAGCCAGCGATACCAACCGCACAAGGTCCGCCGGGCCTCACTTCTCCGGGAGCGCACCCATGTTGGCGCCAGTAAATGGTCGTGCTGTCTATCGTATGCAATCCGGCGCAACAATATGTCATTATGATCTGACCGTAGCACATTTCCTAAGTTGTTTCTCGATAGGACTGTTGCGCTTTTGTGGTGTCGTTGGTCTTTTTTCCCCTCTCTTTGGGAAAGGGGGCGTTGAGAGTACAGAAAGAGACGAAGAGTATGTGGGTGTCTGCTTGGTAGATTGCGCGATGAAAAGGAAAGAAAATATGTTTTCGCCCATCAAAACGTAAGTATCCTTGCCCTTGGAGGTTTGCTGTATCCTAACTCAATGATATGAGTCATCAATGAAATAATGAGCGATATGGTAGGCAAAATGTCGGCTGCGAGAGTGTGTAGTAGAATGAGGAGCTGGGGATTTCGATGAGTAGCACCCTCCATAGGTATCTAGGCACCTAAATAAGAGGTTGATGTCGGGCCAGCATTTCCATCACCTAATGGATCAAATTTTAAGAGGCAGTCCTATACCTGTCAGCAAAATTCTCACCCGTCCGCCTCGTATAGCACCGGTTGCATTCGGCAACGTTGATAACCTTAGGCGATCCATAGGTGACCCCATTTGGGCATTGTAGACCAGAAATATTTCGATTCTTCGCCACTTGGCATCTCGTTTCTGAGGGGATGGTTTTCTTTCGGGTAATAGGCTCAGAGCAGGCCATACACCGTCTAATCTTCTCGACTCCCTCGCACATATTCGTAATTCCGTTTTGGAAGTTTGGCTAAGGTGTCGGTTAATTCGTAAGCTTTCTTTTGGTGCAAGACGTAGGGATTGTAATAGCTTAAGAAATGCGTTAACGAGAGTAATATAGCGGCAGCTAGAGTATATAAATAAATAGACTCAACCTTCGAGCATAGTTGCTATTAATGAATAAGATATTTTCTTAAAACTAGCACTGTTATTCCCTGACAGATGAGAAGTCTCTACGTCTGTGATTCATGCTTGCTCCCAGCTTCATATTCAGACTCTCACCTGTTTAATAAGTCATATATTGTTTCTTATCGATATATTTTTAGTAAAAAACGTGTCAGGCATATTCCTGCACATGGAACGAGACCGACAAACTTCAGATAGGTATAATAACGTCCCTGGCAAAGAAATCAATGGTCATTAATGCAATGTATACATATAAATATGGATTCATAGGGGTTGAAAATAGCAGAAATCTAAAGCTTGTTTGCAACTTAAGGTCATGTTAAGAGCAAATATTGGACTCAGGGTTATGATACTTTAAGATATTGTTATCAAAATATGAAGAATATTCGCTGTGGTCCAAGAAAACTCCATGACGGCAAATCTCAGATATGATTTCAACTAAATGTTGGACTCTACTAGGAATGTGACGAAGCTATTCCAAGGTTATCTATCACTGATGCATGACTGGTAATTAGCTTAAGTCACTAATTAGGTAGATACTTGAGAAACGAAAATCATGGATTAGTTTTCAAAGCATTGCACTGCTAGCTACTACAGATGTTTGCTACACGGTGCGCATTGTCACATGAATTAAGCCTGTCATTTATTAACGAGAGAATGACTGATGGGTCTTATGAGGGTTTTGTTGAGTCGCCTTGGAATTGAACGTTGTTGATGAGACGTGGAAATAGGGGTAAACTTACTTAATGTAATGGGCTTAAACGATTAGATAATCTCGTTTGATGCATTGCTGCGCCACAGCTGTCAGCCTGTTAGCCTGTCAGCTTGTGAAGGGACCCACTTTGAATTGGCCAATGCGTAAGTAGCTACGTAACCATGTGGTGGGAGGTGATGAGGTGCGTAACTTGTACTGGTAAGGCGCGTTCCCCGTCTGTTCCGTATTTCGTGGTTCAGATGGATACGTATTCTATACAATGTACATGGATGCTTTCCACCTTTACCAGCTGAATGGTTAGACCTCATCTTTTTTTCCCGACACAATTGGGCGGAACCAAGATTGGCAGCATCACAAGAAGTTGAGGTGAGCATTGAATCAGGCTTGATTCCCACCGCCCACCGCCAACCACCGCTGTTCTGTTTGTCGTGTGGCTGGGTAGGATCCAGGTCAGGGCCATCCAGGGCCATCCAGGGCCATCCAGGGCCATCTTACAACGAGAGCAGGCAGACAAATTAATTCACTGCCGCATAATACAATATAACAACTCCTTCTCCCCTTCTTTTTTTCTAGTCAACGGCAATGTCAGAATTACATTAGGAGAACTTCACTTGCTAGTCACTACCAATTGCTAGCGATTTTGAAAATGGCGGGCATTGAACAGCTAGAGATTCACAGCAAGGTACGTTCTATTGCAGGAGATGTTCTGCATTCCCTGGGAGCTGACATTCATCAAAACAGTCCTACATTGTGCGATGGGTTAAGGTCGACGAAGGTCAAACTATCTCGTGGAGTGTTCAGCCCCATAAGAAGTCCATGTGAGCCGAATATTCCTTTATTGGTTACGTACCTAGCTATAATTCGTCGGAATACTGACTCCTGTACCTCTTAATAGTAACTTTGGCATCGTAAAACACCCCGGCTCCGGCGCAACGAATAATAACTCGGCTTTAGACAGCTTAAACGCTTCGGTTGAACATGTCGATGGTAGTGGAGGTCAGGGGAAGAAGGGCTTCGGCAAGAAAGATGCTAGTACCGCACAGGAACAGTTAGCCAACAAGGGGTTCATTCCTATAAAATGGCTCGGCAAATGCGAGGCCGACAAAGTATCTATGGGAACATGGGACGTCCTGAAGAATAATGGCGGAATGTACGGCTTGATATTCGACAACACATTCTCGAAGCAAACCTCTAAAACGGCAACATTCGTGCTCCTTACCTATCCCACCGGCGCCCCACCACAGGGAGCTCATTACCTTCCAAATCTCCAGGCCGGCTCCCAATCGAACGCCAGTAAGACCAGTCTAGGGAAGCATAGTCCAAGTCAAGGTGCTGCCGCGGCCGATTCCAACGAGAGCCTGCCAATTACCACAGGCCGTGGTCAACGGGCCAAGTCGATAAGTGCTCGTAGTGATGGAACGGTAACTTCATCTACGTACACAGGCATTCTCCTAAAGAGGCGGAGGAAGAAGGGCCAGGGTTATGCCCGTAGATTCTTCTCTCTCGACTATTCATCCTGTACGCTGTCCTACTATCACAATAGACAGTCCTCTGCACTTAGAGGCGCAATTCCTCTAAGTCTTGCCGCAATTGCTGCGGATGAACGGAGGAGAGAGATCAATATCGACTCCGGTGCTGAGGTCTGGCATCTACGAGCGGCCAGTGCTAAGGAATTCAACGACTGGGCACACGCCTTAGAGAAGGCGAGCAGGATCGCAAGAGGACTGGATCCGGTGTACGAGGAATCTGTTCCGAAAGCGCTTACCGTAGCCACTCCGTCGCACACCAGTCCTAGTCCATCGAATGCTCATCATGAAGAGGACCGAGAATGGCAACAAGTCGAGGCATTAGTTAGTCGCATCGTTGGTACGCGAGATGCTCTGCGCCGTTTGGTCAAAGACATGGCGCAGAAACAAGCGCCCCGCCCTCAAAGTTCGCACCTGTCGCAAGCTTCGCCGGCAATGTCGGAGAACAGCGACGGTTACTTTACTCCGGCAGCGCAGGACAAGCGCCCGTTCTGGAAACGCAAACCGAGTAACTCACCCCTAGCGCCAGATGCTATGACGCCGCCCGCGTTGGCTGTTCCCACGCCGGGATCAGTCAGTACGGCAACACCAAATGGGGCGCGAAAGACAAGCAACCCCGAACAAGGGGAGGAAAATACGCATGAACACTGCACGGCACTCCTCAACGATCTTGACTCAGTGGTCTCAGAGTTTACTAAGGTGCTTGCCAACAGCAAAAGAAGACGTATTCCAGTACCCCCTTCTGCCACGTCCAGGAAGAGTCTCGAATCGACAGCATCGACCGATGAATTCTTTGATGCTGAGGGTGGTGAGATGGAAAGTAGGCCTCAGGTCATGATGATCGACCGTCGTGAGAGCGATGAGGATTCTCATGGATCAGAGGCTGACGAAGCTGAAATCGACGATACGTCCTCCGTCTCATCCATACAGGATGAAGAGCCTACTACTGCTAGCGGTGCCGCGGCTCTATTCCCCATAAGGCCTAAATCCCTGCACCCCTTACCTGTTGACATTGCAGTCGACCGCCGAAAGACCATTCCTCCAGCCACTGTACCTCCACCAAGCCTAATCGCTTTCTTCCGCAAGAACGTTGGTAAAGATTTAAGTACGATCAGTATGCCGGTCTCCTCAAATGAGCCTATATCTGCTCTCCAGCGTGTTGCGGAACAACTAGAATATGCTCAACTTCTTGACCAAGCATCGCAGCAGAAGGCTCCGAAGGATCGTCTATTACTTGTCACTGCTTTCGCTATTTCACACTTTAGTGTTAACCGAGTGAAGGAGCGCGCTATGCGCAAACCTTTTAACCCCCTCCTTGGTGAAACATTTGAGCTTCTTCGAACCGAAAGTGAAGTACCCGGTGGGTTTAGGCTCCTAGTTGAGAAGGTCACACATCGACCGGTTCGCCTCGCTATGCATGCTGATGCGGCGGCTTGGTCGTTGACACAGAGCCCTGCTCCATCGCAGAAGTTCTGGGGCAAGAGCGCAGAGTTGAATACTGAAGGACGGGTCCGTCTAACACTACGATTACTAGATGGCACTGATGAACTCTATTCGTGGAACATGGCTACTATGTTTCTGCGCAATGTCGTCATGGGTGAGAAGTACGTCGAGCCGGTTGGAATAATGACCGTCTGCAACGATTCCACGGGGGCAAAAGCCAACATAGAATTCAAAACCAAGGGCATGTTTGGCGGCCGAAGCGAGGATGTCGAGGTCGATTGCTGCGATGCAAGCGGCTCATCGATGGGATATGGCCTTGTAGGCAACTGGACGTCGTCTCTCCGCGTCGTGGAAGGCGGCAAAGCAACTAAAAATGAAATATGGAAGGCTGGCTCGGTAGTTCCCAACGCGCCAAACACCTATGGCCTGACGTCTTTTAGTGCTACACTCAACGAGACGACGCAGATTGAGAAGGGGCGGCTACCACCTACGGACACCCGATTACGTCCTGATCAACGTCTGGCGGAAGAGGGCAAACTCGACGAGGCTGAGGAGTCGAAGGTTTTACTCGAAGAAGCGCAACGCGCGAGGAGAAGAGATATGGAGGAGAAAGGCGAACAGTACAAGCCAAGATGGTTTGTCAAGGTACCTGAGGCGCCCGATGGAGAGGAGTTGTGGAGAATGAAGCTTGGTAAGGAGAGCTATTGGGAAGAGAGATCCAAAGGGGAGTGGAAGGGCATCGAACGTATATTCGAGGTGGCGACCTAGTTGACCAAGAATTTGGTCTTTTTTATGATGATAGACGACGTTGTTTCGTAAGAGACTGCACGATGTGACGAGGTTGCCCGAATAGAAGCTCTTGATGCGCTGGGATTCGCAGGGCGTGTGGCATATAAAATGGGTGAATAGAAGGGCTACATTCCCGCCAATTAGATCTATAAATTCCGCTTAGCGAGTTCGTAACATGATTCAATCTAACATTTTTGGAACGGCGTATATGGCTCTATCTCAACTGTCTGATATCTTGGAATTATTCTGTACTTAGATAACCCTAACCCTGGATGATGTAACCTCCAGAGAATAGAACGATGGTCCCAATTCACACCTCCCCTGTTTAGATAAGCCTATGATAGGTAACTACCTGGTACAATACAACAATAGATGCGGGACTAAGGCAGATAGTCGTCTCTTTTATTTTTCCGCGAATCTCGTATCCAGGATGGTCATTTATGAAATGTAACGTTCTTTCGCCCTTCAGAGACCCTCAAGTTTCTTGATAGCCAATGCGGGGAACGTGATGGAAATGTACCTAGCCGGTTCGTATAATATCTCGGCTATGTGCCGACCGCCTGGCTTGAACGAAATGACGGCTTCGGAGCCCAGCGAGGGTCGTTGTATCACTCTACCTATTCTTTCTCCGAAGGAAGCGATATAGAAAATGCATTGGTACCATCCCCTAATAACATGCCTCCTGGCCGTCCTCAGCTCGGCACGGGCCCAGAGTTCCACACCGAGCTCAACACAATCGGCCGCTGCGCCGGCATTCACGTACGATCGCAGCTCATTCCTGCTCCACGGCGCGCCGCACGTCATCATCGGCGGGCAGATGGACCCGCAGCGCATCCCGGCCACGTACTGGCGCGATCGGCTGCGGAAAGCGCGCGCCATGGGCCTGAACACGATCTTTAGCTACGTGTACTGGAATCTCCTGGAACCAATCCAGGGGCAATGGACCAGCGCCGAGGAGGGCAACAACGTGGCGAAGTTCTTCGCCATTGCCCAAGAGGAGGGCTTGCACGTCGTGTTGAGGCCCGGCCCGTATATCTGCGGCGAGAGGGAGTGGGGCGGGTTCCCGGCTTGGTTGAGCACGGTGCCCGGGCTGACGGTGCGGTCGTCGGATGACGCGTTTATGGAAGCGGCGGAAAGCTATTTGGAGAGGCTGGCGGCGGACCTAAGGCCGCTGCAGGTCACGCAGGGAGGCCCGCTGCTCATGGTCCAGGTCGAGAACGAGTACGGGTCGTACGGGACGGACCACAATTACACGCGAGGCCTGCGCGACATCCTCAGGCGCAACTTCGAGGTCCCGCTGTACACGAACGACGGCGGCGTCGACTGGACGCTGGCCGGCGGCGAGGTGCCCGGTGTCTTGGCCGAGATCGACGGCGACCCGAGGTCCGGGTTCGCGGCGAGGGACCTGTATATCACGGACCCCAGCGAGTTGGGCCCCCTGCTCGACGGCGAGTACTACACGCTGGCGCCCGATACGTGGGGGTCCGCCAACGCGCACAACACGGCCGCGGGGAACGCGGCGCAGGTCCAGCAGTTCGTGTCGGACCTCGACCTCGTGCTCGGCGCGAACAATTCCATCAGCCTGTACATGTTCCACGGCGGGACGAACTTCGCGTTCAGCAACGGCGCCATCTGGAGGAATTACACGGCGGCTTTTACGACGAGCTACGATTACGGGGCTCCGCTGGACGAGAGCGGGCGTACGACGGAGTTGTATGATACGTTGAGGGATACGATCGCGAAGTACGTCCCGGAGGGCAGTATACCGCAGCCCCCGGCGAATGTGCCGCTGAGCGAGTTTGCGAATGTCACGTTGAAGCCGGTGGGAGGGCTGTTTGGTGGGGATGTGCTTGGGGTGAGGAGGGCGACCGAGGCGCCGGTTACGATGGAGGAGTTGGGGCAGGCTTATGGGTTGGTGCTTTACGAGCATATGGTTACTACTGCGCTCGAGGGGACTTTGCAGCCTGGAGACAGGGCTAGGGATCGGGTTATCGTGTATGTGAATGGCACTAAACAGGGCGTCATTGATAGCACGTACGCCCAGCCGGCGGAGGTTAGTTTGTCCTTGCAACCGGGAGACACGCTGCAGCTCTTGATTGAGAATCTCGGCCGCGTTGATTACTGGTCTAGAGAGTCTGGCACGTTCATCGCCCTTGAAGACCCGTATAAAGGTATCGTGGGGAACGTTACAGTTGGATCGCAAGTCCTTTCGGGGTGGGATATCTACTCGCTGCCCCTCGACGCGCCGCCTGCCGCTGGTTCTACGTCTAAAGTGGCAGCAATAACAACGGGATCGCCGCCTGTCTTCTTCAGCGGCACGTTCCGCATCGATGGAGGGAACACCTCCGACCCAATGATGCTGGATACATTTCTAGCCGTTCCCGACGGCGTCAAAGGAAATGTCTGGGTGAATGGGTTCAACTTGGGTCGGTACTGGATTGTGGGACCGCAGCAGTCGTTGTATCTCCCGAGAACTGTTCTCAAAACGGACGACGATAACGAGATTGTCGTCCTGGAATTGGAGCCGAATGCGGAATCGTTGACGGCTTTTGGAACGGCGGAGAGGACGTGGGCGAATTATCCGGATCCTGATTACCCCTGAGGATTAGAGAAGTATACCTCGGTAGATCAAGTTTCTCAGCTTAGGATTTCCTACTGTGTTTGTCATGACTTGCCTCTTGACTACCTAGAGAATGCCCTTCCAAATACTTCTTAAACTTTACCTGTTGGCTTCATGATGCTGATTGCATTCTTAAGATAAACCAAGTTCTTTGAGTCCTTTGATGGAAACGTAAAGTTGCAAAATAGTCTGTTCGCGGCGAAAACCCTTGGAATAGGGGCAAACGGCTCTGTTTTAGCCACCAGGCTAGAACATCTATTTTTAATCCTACAGTTCGTATCATGCGCGTTATTTATATGACGTAGATAACCGAGTTCGATTCCATGCCATTGGCGCCGGATATGATATGCTAGTAATCTATATGCATGCCTCATACGCGCGGATGTTTACATACCAGCGTTGATACCCACCAATGACGTTCTATTCTGCAAGCAGTTTTGATGAACCTACGTTTGCCATTGGCTATTAGGCCTTGTTGTAGAAATATCATAAAGTTCCGAGAATAAGATTAGCTACTCGGGAGACCGTTCTCATGGGTCATCATACCTAGGCACTAATTGCATAGTAAGGCCCTCGAGATGCACTAATGCCACGAGGTATTGATTGTCTGAGCGTATCGGCAGTGAGACAATGCCCTAGTCTAATGAAGCTAAGATAGGCGAGTTTGGAGATCTTTAATGAGCCCGCATTTAGATAGTTAGATATATAACATGTCGGCGCTATTTCACTGCGTCTGCCACTCGGTTCTAGAACTGCTGTCTAGATAATCGCATTCAGCATGTACAATCTCCGTTCAAGGCGTCTCTCTACACCGTGACACGTATTCTAGGCCTACTTGGTTGCGTAAAATTTCGATTAATTGTGATCGTTTTAAGTTATTCTCCGACTTCGATATCTTTAAATGTGGCGTCTGAAACACTCAGTCCGCTAACGATTTATGTCCAACGGCTCCGGTTTTTCGGTCTCTCCCGTTCCAGTGGCCCTAAACGTAAATATTGTCAGCGCCAATAGCATTTTAAATGTTCGTTCCATAGGTTTTATGTGCCTGTTTTTAAGTGTCACGTCTCGAAAACGGCGATGCTGGTAGCCGACATTCCATGCGACGGACTTCCGGGATGAGGATTATCGTGGGTCCTAATATAGACCGTGCGTTTGAATTCCAACGCCAACGCGTCAAGCTGACAGCTCTAATTGGCAATGTAGGCGATATACTTGATCTTGCATGCGGCCATGCATGTTGTCAGTCTGCGTCAAGGTTGCTCTCGTGAGTTTGAGAAGTCTAAACTCTTCAAACATGAAGCGCGGCAGGTGTACGCAACGGCTCTCATCTTGCCCCCTATCTCGCCCCATGAACCCATGAGTAGACGTAGATATCCTTTAGCATGAGAAGGTTCATCACCGAATATCGCCATCGACATACTCTTAAAAGACGCGGGTGGTGTCCCGGATCCGGGAAACTTGCTCATCAAGTGTTTCACTCTTCACTCTTCATCTTCTTCGAATCCTCGCTTTAGTTTCTAATCCCATCTTCACTCCTAGATGACACTCTTCTCCTGTCAACATAGAGTTCTCATCAGGCGCGATGCATAGGGGATACCTTCCATACCTCGCCGCGGTGGCCCAGGTCACAGGGTCACTGGCAAGAACCGTGACATACAATTGGAACGTCACTTGGGTCTTCGCTAATCCAGATGGATTCGAAAGACCAGTTATTGGGATAAACGGTGCTTGGCCATGTCCAACGATCGAGGCAACTGTTGGCGATATCGTTGTTGTCAACCTAAACAACCAGCTGGGGAACGAGACGACGGGTCTACACTTCCATGGTATTAACCAAGTCAGCTCCAACGACATGGACGGCGCCGTCGGAACCAACCAATGTCCCCTGCCTCCAGATTACTCTGTCAAATATCGGTTCTATGTAAGTGATACCCCCTGTACGATTAGGGGGAAAGAGATGAAGCTGACAACAGATGCCAAAGGCCGACGCACCTGGCACATATTGGTGTAAGTTGAAAGGCTTGAAGCAGTTAAGTTATTTCCTTTTGTTAATAATGAACTAATGATAATATGAAAGACCACTCTCATAGCATGGGGCAATATCCGGACGGCCTCCGTGGGCCGCTGATCATTCATGATAACGATGATCCCTACGAAGACGAGTACGACGAGGAAGTTATCATTTCCCTATCTGATTGGTAAGCCTAAAGCCTCGTTATTCTGAAGGAGGCAAGGGAATTTCCCTTCCAAGTCGCTTACGTGTCTGTACAGGTATCGTGATCAGACGCCGACATTAATGCAGACTATGATTCAGCCCAACAACACGCAATTTGCTCCCCCACTTCCTAACAGTACTCTTATCAATGACGGGGGTGATGGTCACATCCAGGTTGAGGCTGGCAAGACGTACCGCTTCCGTATGATTAACTGGTCTGCTATGTTCTCCACCTTCATCACATTTGAAGACTTTGACATGGATGTGATCGCCATCGACGCGTCGTATGTGACGAGAACATCCGTGCAACAGTTGCGTATATCCGCCGCTCAGCGGACAGACTTCCTGATCACAATCCCGGATGACGCGGACAGGAACTATCCGTACCTGGTCGCCTTGGACATAAATCAAGATTTCGCGGCTGATAATCCCCCGAGACCAGTGTCATACCCGTTCAACGCCACTGGTTTGCTAGTCGTGGATGACGACTTGGACAAGACCGGGACATTCGACGTCCAGACGTTCGACCCCTTCGACGACTCCACCTTCGAGCCGGAAGACGACGAGGAAGTCTATGGCCCCGTCGATAAGCAATGGATCCTGTATTTCGACTACTGCCATGACGAAAACGGCTATCCTAGAGCGTGCTTCAACGACACGATGTACATCCCGCAGAAGGTTCCAGCGTTGTACTCGGCAGCCTCGCTAGGGGAAAACAACACGCAGACGGCGGCGTACGGCCAGGTCAACCCCTTCATCGCCGAGTACGGCGACGTGATAGAGATCATCATCAACAACAACAACGACGCCATCCACCCCTTCCACCTGCACGGGCACCAGTTCCAGGTGCTCGCGCGTCCCGAGAGCGACGCGGGCAACTGGACCGCCGACGCCGCCATCAACGAGACGCCACCCAGGCGAGACACCGTCTCGGTGAACTCGAAGTCGTACGCGGTGCTTCGCATCAAGGCCGACAACCCGGGCGTCTTCTTGTTCCACTGCCACGTCGAGTGGCACGTCGAGATGGGTCTGAGTGCGACCCTGTTCGAAGCCCCGGACAGGCTGCGCAACTACACGATACCCCAGGACCACATCGACGCGTGCGACGCGATGGGCATACCGACCACGGGCAACGCTGCCGGCAACGAGCAATGGGACGACACGACCGGCTTCGTCACGGTGCCGCCGACGAATTACACCGGGTAAGTTCTCATGACCATGACCCGTCTGTTAGGCAGATTGGAGAGTGAACCGAAGTGCTAACCTTGGCGGTAATGTTAGTTCTCTGTACACGGCGTCAAGCTGAGTAGAAGTGAGGCGGAGCGCGCGCTAGGTATCCCTGGTGCAATGTTGCTCGACGTAAGGAAACGAAAAACGGGCTTTCCTAAATTCTTATCGGGAGGTTGTTTTCTTCTACTCCTACATATGGATGCGTCGCCCCCAACATATACCCCCGGGCTAGGTGTTGGAAGGCTTCATTTTTCATTACGGCGTTGTTAGGTATTTACGGACGGACATACACATGGACTTCACGGATAAGCTTCCTTTTTTTTCGGCAACTATATTATTATTCTTAGTGGATTTGTGTTTGGTGGTTTAATGTGGTAACGTGTTGGGTGTACAGGAGAATTGGGGAAGCTCACATACCTGAGTAGCGTACATATTCACATTAACTGACCATAAGGTCCTATATCATAATAATACTACTCAAAGTTTGATCAGAATCCAGGGGGAGCACTGTTGAGACAGGAACAACTAACATCATGTAAGCTTACCTTGCCTGTGAGTGGATTGAAAAAGAAATAGGTAAAAGGGAGCGCGCCGCAATACTACATGTGTCGGTGATGTTTCTCAAACTTACCGCCTAGTCGAGCCAGCCAGTCGGGAATTTCACGTGGATAATCACGTAGTATGCGCGTTTTGGACCCTTCTCTATCAAGAAATAAGGTCCGCAGTATCCGCACTCGGGCTGAGTAACGGAGACAAACGGTCTCGAACTTCGAATATTCCGGACTGTCTAAAGGCACGGTAGTTTTGACTAAAGGCACGGTAATCCACACTGACTATTCTAAATCCGGGCTAGTTCTGTGGGTACCTAAATTAAAGTACAAAGCCTACACAAATATATGTACCTTCTTGACGCGTTGCCCCTAAGGGAAGTCTAGCCATTGTCAACACCAAAATGGACCTAGAAGACTTAAGCCTGTTCGTCGACGACGACGTCGATTTTAGCCCAGCCGCCGCCGCCACCACCACGGGAGGATTCTAGTACTAGAAGAGACCCTTCTCACGACGAACCTCCCAGGCAAAGGCGCCGGCTGCAGGAACCGCCAGTGACTGTTCAGGGCAGGAGGACTATCAACGGGCTGGCACCCCCTTCTACAGCGCCAGCGACGACGAGGTCAGGGAGGGTTGTTAGGGGGCGACAGCAAGGTCTGCGATAGGGTGGGACTTCCCTTAGGGGCAACGCGTCAAGAAGGTACATATATTTGTGTAGGCTTTGTACTTTAATTTAGGTATCCACAGAACTAGCCCGGATTTAGAATAGTCAGTGTGGATTACCGTGCCTTTAGTCAAAACTACCGTGCCTTTAGACAGTCCGGAATATTCGAAAGATGTCAGCGCCAAGGTTCGACTGGGCATTATTAATTTTACCACTCTTCTAGCCCCTTAAGGCCCTTACCTGACTAAGGTGGTTTGGTTTGTATGGTTTACTAATTACAACCTAACGGCAGAGGCACTACTTCCCGAAGCCAATGGCCGTTAGGTCTCATCGACCCAATCGACATTGAGTTTTGTTATCAAACCACTTCGTCGTCACATCGGCGGGATAATTAGTCACGCCGACGGGGTCTTGGAACCGCGGTCGTCAGCCTTAGGGCTGAAAGCCTGGGACGATCCTCCTTGGGTTTCGGCTCCGCGGAAGGGATCGTAGCTTGCAGAAGTTTAGTTCGATGAGACCTAACAAGGAGGCGCTGTTCCTGGCCGTTACACGAATAAAATATTCCATGGATCTTCTCAGCTTACGCTTGAGCTGACTTAGCTAAGCATTCTATCTTTCTGACTGGGCCTTCCGATAAGTCGACCTGCAGACTTCGGCATTGCGCATTCCGTAAGCTGTAGAAGCGAACCGCTAGAGGAAACGGCTGGAATCCCCACGGAAACAAGAAACAGGTACGGTAGAAAATTTTGACAGCGTTCCCCAATCTGGGGTTTTCCTTTGATCCGAGTCCGAGACGGGCATGAATGGCTGAGGCGAAGATTACGGGGAGGACGCCATCTCCAACGTCGCTGATACGAGGCTGGACTAACCTCGCGCCATACCTCCTAGCGAGTCCTTATCATCAGCCAAAAACATTCCTCATCGTCGATTGATACAACTAAAATGTATGTGTATGTGCTGTGGTGGTCTTTCTATATGCAAGATGATTAAATTAAATCGACAAATGCAAGTCGAAACAGATTAAGTTACGGATCTTCATTAGGATGCATCTCTTGATCTCCTGCGTCGATTAAGTTACCCCCCTAAAGCCAAACCCCGGAATACTACAATTTAGGCATACCGTAGGCTGTCGAATTATGGCGAGCCATGGAGTAGGATCGTCCGGACCGTCAGACTACTGTGTACTGTGATTGTTTCCGTATGATGTAAGATTAACTTGCATCTATACGGCCTACCTTGTAGCCTTAGCGTTGATTTACACGGCCGTTTGAACGGCCATCGACAAGACATTGTTGATTAAGTCTTCACCGGCTTGGCTGTCATCATTCTAGAAGCCACCGCGCAATACGGCATTCGATTGATGCATTTGATCACCGCTCCAGAGCTTCTGATCGTAACAAAGCCAATGATCGAGGAAATTCGGGCTTTGACAACCACATGTGGAGAAGCTTGGAGCTGAACTCTGGTCTAGAGCACCGACTAGGAAAATTCCACGCAGTCCACGCAGCCGTGATGAGACCCGTAACTCGAATGTTTCCGCGGGAAATTAGAATGCCACGAGGCTGGGGACGTGTCCAGGTAGCCAGGTTAAGCCGAAACCATGCCTTACATACATGCAGATGAAACTGGCCCTCGATCCGGGTAAGAGTAAATCTGGTAGATAATGATCAAGCCAATGAGTGTGCGCCGCCAGTTGAAGCGTCAGGCTTGCATGCGGCGCTAACAAGGAAACACTCTTGAGAGTTCTCAGCGCCAATATGTTCTGTAATCAGTTACGGGCACTGAATAATAAAGCCATGCTGGGCAGTAGGCGTGCATGTGTAATTTGGCCCGCAGCACATCTGGCTTGGGACCTATACGATAATAGACCGGATGTCCGATTCTCATCGCTTGGATGGTGCGGCCAGACCGACCCGTCGAGATCCAATAATCTTCTGCCGTGTCCTATCCAAGGATATACGATAGAGCAGTATCGGAAGAAGGTGTGTTTCCCGGGCGAACGGGATAGTGGTTAATGTCATCGCATGTCATATGGGTGGTGAGATGAAAAGCTGTCAGCTTTGATAGCCAAGTGTTGACTGCGGCTAAGTAAGGGCGATAGGTATACGTAGTCTTGCTAAGGGCGTGAGCACGGCCAACGGAGGGAAAGACCGCTGTAAGGAAGAATCCTTCGAGATAGGATATTGCTACGAGGGAGTGTATGCTGCGGAAATAAGCCACAGCGAAGCGTAATCAAATGTGTAGTACGAATTGATAGGTACTACTATGTAGGATGATGAAGTTCTAGAATTAGAGAATGGAGATCCAATGCATTATGGAGTTTTTACTGTTCCTAGGGTGCTTTATCCCACGTGGCGCAGGACCTAGGTACTTACAGGGTCTACCGTGGTCCTGGAATAATGTTGATCCACTCGCTCCGTGCTGCTTCCTACCCGGCACGCTGACTAGCACCCGTTAGCGGGAACTTTGCATGGAGATCCATACAAGGTACGAAGTGCTGCCAGTTGCTAGCTGCCATTTGCATATGTCGGGTTGAGTACCTGGTCGTAGGGCGGTCCTATGAAGGCCGCCTAGTACAAGGCGATGATTTAGAGTAACCCCAGTTCGCACTATTTACTACGCGATACTGATTTGCCTCATATTAAAATATATAGCGTCGGTAGTTATCTGTAAGGGATGTGGGATGCAATCACAACCTTGGAAGCACTTGGGTACTTGAGTATATCTTACGTTAGATAAACTGATCCTGAACGATGACTTAATCGAGGTCTGAAATATATATCCCAATGAGTGCATATGTATAGTATAGATTATCATGTATGGGCACTCTGTGGTTAGTAGGATTTGCGATATGATGTACGTACTTCCATGGACTCGTTTAACTTAATTGAAATATCAAAGTTCGAGTTTATGCATGTATTCGTATCGATATTCAAGGTATTCATTTAGTCACCAGATAACATCATGACTAGGTAGGGGATAAGGAGATAGGGAGATAGGGACTAGGATGGAAATCATAACGTTGAATTTTGTAGATTTCTTCTCGTTCAACTTCTCCCTTTTATGGAACAGCCACAACCAAATGCGATCAGAATCTCAAACAATTACTTCCCAGCCCACACGGACAACGCCAGATCGAGAATTAAACTCTGGAATTCTCCATCATCATCACACTTAAACCCCTGCCGCCATTTCCCAAGACAGCTTAGCAAAGTCCGTGGGCGTCGGCATGCTAATGCAGGTCACCATGTAGCAATACAACGCCAAACTATGGGCAATAGGTAATATGGTCAGCTAGCTACAGGCCGTTCATGCACATGCACATGCCAGAGCATTATCCTACAATGGAATCCCGAGACAGTGGTGAGAGTTGAGAGACATTTTGCGCATTGTGGGCTCCCTGCCGCGGCAAGACATGTCAATATACGGAATAGTCTCGGTCGTACTCGATACCTTCTCGTCAGTGGCGGGCGTATATTTGCTATCTCCCAGCCAATTTACGCTCAAGATGCTAAGCCAACCCTAAACTCCTTTGAGAAAGGCACCTATGCGGCTCATCTGCATTACCCGTCGTATCCACAGCGCCGTTGTTCGCTTCTTACTAATTAATCGTCGTGGTCGAACTACGCGCTACGTTGATGCTGCCTGCAGCGGCGGAAAAGCGACCTATCGTCTCTGGGCAGCGTTAGGGTTGGGTTACTAGTCAGGATATCCAAGAAATTCTTGAAAATACGTAGACGATAACGATCCTTCGGCTCATACCCGCCGGTGGTGGCGCCAGCGCCGTGGTCCATTCTCTTCAGTGAGACACAAGTCATTCCTCTAATGAGGGATTGGTCTTATTACAATACTTTTCATTTTTTCCTTATTCTCGTAGTGGGGTTTGCTGAATACAGTACAGCCTTTCTCATTCTCGTCCGTCCTGACGTGCACCAGAAGCTTACTGCTGCTGCATCTGTTGGCGGACATCCCCAACGGTCAACTCAATGTCCCACCATTTGGCGCCTAAGTAAGATTACCTGCAATTCATTGGAAACCCGGGAAGAGAACGCTCGCAAGTCTTTCCGTGCGCAGTTTCATAGGAGCTATACCTTTTGTGTCAGATTCCCTAAGCGTTCTTCGCAGAACGCGTGAGGGAGGCTCAAATTAGTCAGGGCAACAAAACTTCTTATCTCGCCGAATGATACAAATTCGCAATTTGACGGGCCAGGCATGCAATGGCTAGGAATTGGAAACATACCTGCAGTCAGGCCTCTGGCCGTCCGGTCTAAAGGAAGAAAGGTCGACATGTCACAGTTCGCCTCCTGTGATGACCATTATCATTCGGATAAGACATGGAATATCCACCTACAACTAGGTGGTAGTTCTATGATCCAGTTACTCTCTCCTAAAATGCCTAAAATGGAAATATAATGCTTATCTTCCATGAACCTTCGGTCACCGAGAATCGAACCATGCCGGACTAATTGAAAGTACTGTACTGTGTATGGAGACCCAGGCCAGGGAGTGAGTTCACAGTTTCCCCCCTACACGCCCCACCCCCCTGGTTTTTGGTCGTGACGCCTCAGGTACTACGGTAGATATCTCACACATGGGACCAGACACTGCCTTCGTGTTAAATTTAGTTCAGGCTAGCTTATCTGAGTGGTGATGTGTTGATCTGATATATATAAGTCAAAGACACCTCGACCGCCGCCTAAGGCTTGGGATATACTACACAACCATTAAACAACATCAGCCTCATACATCGCCAACAAGATGGCGGACCAGATGGCATTCCTCCTTTTCGGAGACCAGAGTCTCGACACTCATGGCTTCCTAGCCGACTTTTACAGACAAGGGAACCCGAGTGTTCTCTCAAAGGAATTCCTCCGACTAGCCGGCGATGCCCTAAGAGATGAGATAGACAGACTACCTCGAGAAGAACGACGAAAGGTCCCGATATTCAGAACACTACAACAGCTCAACGAGCGATACCACGCACAACCCATTAAGTTTCCAGGAATCGATAGCGCCCTATTATGTATAGCACAGCTAGCACATTATATCGAGTATGAAAAGCTCAACGAGGATATATTGGCCAAGAACCGTTACTAACACTTTGAGATAGCCGCTCCGAGAAGGAACACGGAGATGTTACCGACAAGAAGAACACGAAACTTTCCGGTCTTTGCACAGGTCTCTTCGCGGCAACCGCTATCGCGTCGAGCCCCTCGCTCTCCACCCTTCTCCCGATCGCCGTCCAAACCGTCTTGATGGCATTTAGGACAGGATCCCACGTGGCTTCGTTAGCAGAAAGACTTAGCCCATCAACTGACAAGTCGGAAAGTTGGACGTATGTTCTACCTGCCGCTCAGGAAGCGGAGGCAAAGTCTATTCTCGCAGAGTTCCATAAGGAAGAGGTGAGATTTCCTCGATACTTGATACCTGATACCAATTCTAACCTGCTGCAAGGGAATTTCACAAGCTTCACACGCATATGTGAGCGCCGTTTCCGCGAATAACATCGCGATATCTGGTCCGCCAGCTACGCTGCGGTCTTTGTTTAGCAAAGATTTGTTTGAATCTAGACCCACAGCCATCCCAGTATATGGCCCATACCATGCTCCACATCTGCATGGTCTCGTCGACATTAGGAAGATGCTGAGGCTTGACGATGAGGCTGTTACCGCGGCATTGGTAGGATCAAAACCCGAGAGCGTAGTTATGTCCTGCGTCACTGGTTTACCATTCCCCGAGACGGATACCAAGTCACTTCTAACGGCTGTGGTTCACGAGATCCTCAATGAAGCCCTAATTTTCCACAAGACTCTAAGCGGAAACGCTGATGAGGCGCGGGGATTCAAGGGATCCCGTATTTTAGTGATTCCATTTGGCCCAACGCAGGCTGCCAGTACCTTGGCCAATGTCTTGCGATCACAGACTCAGGCAGAAGTTATTCTGAGGCCGCCGCCTCAAGTTTCTCGTGAAACTACGGCAACATCCATCGGAAATCATGGATCGTCTGGCAACTGCAAGCTTGCGATTGTTGGTATGGCAGGTCGCTTTCCAGACTCGGCTAGTCATGAGGCACTCTGGGAGCTTCTTGAAAAGGGTATAGACGCTCATCGTGTTGTGCCTGCGGATCGGTTCCCGGTTGAAACTCACTATGACCCGACTGGAAAGGCAATCAACACAAGCCACACGCCTTACGGTAACTGGATTGAGAACCCCGGTCATTTCGACCCGCGGTTTTTCAACATGTCGCCTCGGGAGGCTTTTCAAACTGATCCTATGCAGCGGATGGCTTTGACCACTGCTTATGAAGCCCTTGAGATGTCCGGCTATGTTCCCAACCGGACACCATCGACAAGGTTAGACCGCATCGGAACCTTCTATGGCCAGACATCTGATGACTGGCGAGAGATCAACGCCGCCCAAGAGGTTGATACATATTACATTACAGGAGGCGTGAGAGCCTTCGGACCGGGTCGAATCAATTACCACTTTGGTTTCAGTGGTCCCAGTCTGAACATCGACACAGCTTGTTCATCTAGTGCCGCCGCTCTTCAGGTCGCTTGCACGTCCCTTCGAGCGAAGGAGTGCGACACAGCTATTGTCGGCGGTCTCTCCTGTATGACAAACTCGGACATTTTCAGCGGATTGAGCCGAGGCCAGTTTCTCAGTAAGGAACATAACTGCAACACATTCGACAATGACGCAGATGGATATTGCCGCGCCGATGGCTGTGCTTCAGTCATCGTGAAGCGGCTCGACGATGCAATTGCCGACAAAGACAACATTCTCGCAGTTATCCTCGGCGCCCAAACCAACCATTCAGCGGACGCTATTTCTATCACACATCCGCATGGGCCGACACAATCCATCCTTTCTTCAGCTATCCTAGATGAAGCCGGTGTCGATCCTCTTGACGTGGATTATGTAGAAATGCATGGCACTGGCACTCAGGCTGGTGATGGAACTGAAATGGTGTCCGTCACCGACGTTTTCGCTCCGGCTAACCGGCACAGACCGGCTGACAGACCTCTCTACCTTGGCGCTGTGAAAGCGAACGTAGGTCACGGTGAAGCTGCGTCCGGTGTTACTGCTCTTATTAAGGTCTTGATGATGCTCCGAAAGAATGCCATTCCACCACATATTGGCATTAAGAAGGAGATCAACAAGACTTTTCCATCAGATCTTGGAGCGCGCGGCGTAAACATCGCGTTTCACAAGACACCATTCACCAGGAAGGACGGGAAGCCGAGACGAGTTTTCGTCAACAACTTCAGCGCTGCTGGTGGTAACACTGGTCTTCTGCTTGAAGATGGTCCTCGCTACAAGACTGCTACTTTGGATCCTCGTACCCAGCATGTTATCACCGTCACTGCCAAGTCGAAGGCTGCTATGATCCGAAATGCTGAAAATCTTGTCAAATGGATGGAAGAGAACCCTTCTACTTCTGTTTCTCACGTCGCATACACTACGACTGCTCGTAGGATCCAACACTATTGGCGTATGAACGTGACGGCCTCTAGTCTTATTGAAGCCCAAGAAGCAATCAAGGAACGCCTAAAGTCTAACTTTGTCCCTGTCTCCCCTGAACAACCTAAGGTTGCATTCCTATTCACGGGTCAGGGTTCTCACTACGCTGGTCTCGGTAGGGATCTTTACGCACACTATTCCATTTTCCGCCAGGCTATTAATGAATACGACCAACTCGCTCGTATTCATGGTTTCCCATCCTTCATCCCTCTCATCGATGGCACAGAGCCCGAAGTGCAGAAGCTCTCTCCTGTAATTGTCCAATTGGGCTTGGCTTCTTTCGAGATGGCTCTAGCCAAGCTTTGGATGTCCTGGGGCATTCAACCTAGTGCCGTCCTCGGTCACAGCTTGGGCGAGTACGCGGCTCTCCATGTCGCCGGCGTTTTGTCTGCTAGCGATACCCTCTACCTAGTTGGCGCTCGTGCTGAGCTCCTTGTCGAGAAGTGCACTGCTGGTACTCACGCGATGTTGGCCGTTCAAGGCTCTGTTGAGACTGTTACAGAGGCGCTTGGCGACCGTGCAGCAACAACCAACATTGCTTGCATCAATGGTCCGCGAGAGACAGTTCTCAGTGGTACCTCTACAGAGGTAGCTGAGATTGCCGAGCAACTTGGCAATGCTGGTTTCAAGTGCACACAACTCAAGATACCTTTCGCTTTCCACTCTGCCCAGGTTGAACCAATTCTGGATGAGTTTGAGCAGCTCGCCCGCTCAGTTCACTTTCATGAGCCCAAGGTGCCAGTTATTTCTCCCCTTCACGGCAAGCTACTTGATGGTGAGCCGATCAACCCTACCTACCTTCGCAACCATGCCCGCGACGCTGTCAATTTCCTTGGTGGCCTTGTTTCCGCTCAACAATCTGGCGTTATTGATGAGAAGACGGCCTGGCTCGAGGTTGGCCCACACCCCGTGTGTGCTAACATGGTTAAGGCAGCCTTCGGGGCTACGACAATTGCTGTACCAACTCTGCGCCGCAATGAGGCTACCTACAAGACTCTCAGTGCAACTCTATGCACACTTCACTCCGCTGGCTTGAACCTTGACTGGAACGAGTTCCATCGCGACTTTGACGTGTCAGTACGTCTTTTGGACCTACCGACCTACTCTTTTGACTTGAAGAACTACTGGCTGCAGTACACTGGCGACTGGTGTATTACTAAGAACCGGGGCGCATTGGCTGCTCCTAAGGCTATCGAGCCAGCCAGGCCGAAATTGTCCACTACTAGCGTCCAGAAGATCACTAAGGAAGAAGTCAAGGGCGATGTTGCTATTCTTGAGACTGAATCCGATCTAGCTGAAGAAAACCTTCGAAAGATATGTCTTGGCCATCGTTGTAACGGTGTCTGTTTGACTCCATCGACTCTCTACGCTGATATGGCCGAGACCATCTGCGAGTATGCCTATCAGCTCCTTCGTCCGGATGTTAAGGATATTGGTATGAATGTCGCCCACATGGAAGTTACCAAGACTCTTCTTTTCGACGCCAAGGCATCGAGTCAAGTATTGCGGATGGAAGTCAAGGCCAATGCTGCTGAGAATGTGGCTGATATTACTTTCTTGACCGGTGAAGGTGCCAAGAAAACTGAGCATGCTGTCTGCAAAGTTTACTACGGCAATAAGCAAGACTGGCTGGATGAATTCGAACGTGTCAACTACTTGATCAAAGGACGTATTGACGCGCTCAAAGCTGCCGAGGAGCGCGGCGAGGCTTCGAAGGTCGGCCGAGGTATTGCTTACAAGCTCTTTACTGCACTTGTGGACTACGCTCCTCAATACCAAGGCATGGAATCTGTCATCTTGAACAGCGAAACCTGCGAGGCAAGCGCCAAGGTTGTGTTCCAAACTTCGTCAGAAGACGGTACCTTCCGTACCCCTCCATACTGGATCGACTCAGTCTGTCACATCTCTGGCTTCATCGTAAACGGTACCGATGCTGTTGATTCACGTGAGCAAGTCTTCATTTCCCATGGTTGGGGTAGTATGAGGTTTGCCGAGCGACTCGATCGCTCCAAGTCATACCAGACCTACATTCGCATGCAGCCTGTCAAGGGTACCAAGATGATGGCTGGTGATGCTTACATCTTTGATGGAGATAAACTCATTGCTGTCGGCGGCGACATTCGCTTCCAGTCCATCCCCCGCAAGGTCCTCAACGTCGTTCTCCCCAACCCTAACGCTGTTGCTGCTCGACCCGCCCCAGCTGCCAAACCTGTGGTCGCCAAAGCCCCTGCGAAAGAGAAGAAGCAAGTGACTAAGTCTAATCTTCCAGCCGTCAACAAGAAATTGGCCCAGACCTCCGTTGTTTCCCAAGTAATGGAAATCGTTTCGAAGGAGACTGGTGTCAGCCATGATGAGTTAGCGGATAACATCGCCTTCGCTGATCTTGGTGTCGATTCTCTGATGGGTCTTACTATTAGCGGCCGTCTTCGTGAGGAACTCGAGCTTAACATTGATTCTCACGCCTTCAATGACCATGCCACTATTGGCGCCTTCAAGAAATTCCTCGCTCAGTTTGAAACCGCAGCACCCGCTGTCGTTCCGGAGTCTAGTGGTTCCAGTGGCACGTCCGACAGTGACGACGATATCGAGTCGGACTCTGAGGTCACCACGCCTGGCGAGAGTGACAAGGGTTCAGTGAAGGAAGATTCGGCGCCGGGTGACTCTGGAAGCAACAGCGAGCTTCAGCAGATCGTGCGTGACACCATTTGCGCTGAGATGGGTGTCGAGGTCGAGGAAGTGATTGCTGCTCCTGATCTAGCTGCATTAGGCATGGACTCGCTAATGAGCTTGTCTATCCTCGGTATCCTTCGTGAGAAGACTGGCCTTAGCATCCCCGCTGATCTCCTGGGCCACAACCCATCCCTTAAAGATATTGAGCGGACGCTTGGTATCGAGGACAAGCCTAAGCGTGCCGCACCCGCACCTAAGCCCACTGCTACAAAGACCAAGAAGACCGAGACCAAGACGATCACCAAGACTGAGACCGTGACCGTTACTAAATCGTCAGTTCCTGACGCCTACCCTCACCGGAAGGCAACATCCGTCCTTCTCCAAGGCAACCATCGCACTGCCACTAAGCAGCTCTTCATGATCCCTGACGGAAGTGGCAGCGCTACATCCTACACGGAGATCTCGGAGCTTGGCCCAGATGTTGCTGTTTGGGGTATGTTCTCACCTTTCATGAAGACCCCTGAGGAATACAAGTGTGGTGTGTACGGGATGGCGACCAAATTCATCCATGAAATCAAGCGTCGTCAGCCTGAAGGCCCCTATGCTGTCGCCGGTTGGTCGGCAGGTGGAGTGATTGCATATGAAATCGTCAACCAACTTACCAAGGCCGGAGACGAAGTTTCTAACCTTATCATTATTGACGCTCCATGCCCCATCACTATTGAGCCTCTGCCAGCCGGCCTCCACGCCTGGTTCGCGGAGATCGGCCTTCTAGGAGAGGGCGATGGACCTGAGGAGAAGAAGATTCCGTCTTGGCTTCTCCCTCATTTCGCAGCATCGGTTACGGCCTTGTCCAACTACACTGCCGAGCCGATTGCAAAGGAGAAGTGCCCCAAGGTTACGACTATCTGGTGTGAGGACGGTGTCTGCAAGCTACCCACCGACCCTCGACCCGACCCTTACCCTACCGGCCATGCCCTCTTCCTTTTGGACAACCGAACCGACTTCGGCCCTAACCGCTGGGACGAGTACCTCGACATTGAGAAGATGACTTTCCACCACATGCCCGGCAACCACTTCTCGATGATGCACGGTGACCTTGCCAAGCAGCTTGGTACCTTCATGAAGGAAGGCATCCACTCCTAAACTTCTCATTTCTCTTAACCTCGTTCGCTTCATCTCCGCCCATTCTCTTGTACATAGCATCATTCAAGCCCACGCTCCTTTAGTTAGCATGGCTGATGGCAATTTGGGTTATAATATCGGTGGACTCTTAACAGCCTAAGATAGGCAGCTGGCGTTGAATTTGGGAAGAAGACTGGGACTTATAGACGTATCGCAGCTGCTTGGTGCATATCATAGGGTTATCATTATGTACTCAATAGGCCTCTCATTAGACGAGGAGCTCAATACACACAAATTCGAGTATCAAAGCTTATTTATAGATTCCTCAAGTTCTCCCATAGCTCAATTGCTTTGATTTAGTGCTTCTCTCCTCTTGTTGATGATTCATAGCGTCGGTCCCACTGTGATACTCTCACCGCATTGGCATTGTTCGACGTGGATAACGGCGCTTTTCGAGTTATTCAGACACGACAACAGTCGTGCTTGTGGGCACCGCGTTTTACTCGCAGCATCAGTGCAATATGCTCGTCTTCCGAGCTTCGAAAATCTACAGACGAGTACTATTAGTCGTAGAGATATTTGTCTACCTATACTAGCATATTTATTTGACATATGATCGTAAAGTCGTTCATACCATATCCTACCTAGGTATGCAATGCGCATTCAACTTGACATTCTATGGTCTACCTAGGCGTTGAGATGCGCGTCTAGACACCTACCCAACAGCCTAAGTATGTAAGCGCCCACCAGGAATGTGATATATCTTGTCTTGATCAGCTCGGGCGCATTGATCAGCCCCGAGGTTATCAAGATAATCAAACACGAATCAAGTTGAACGTTGACAGATGCCATCCCCACGAAGTCCCTTAGTCATCCATGCGTACGCGTTTCCCCGACGACTACCTCATATGAAGATCTTCGTTGGAGAAAGGCAATACTACAACCTTCGGACTACGCTCCGTGATCTTGGCTTCCCTCGCGGCACGAATATCCAGCAGCCCCGGTTATCGCCACTATCTCCGGATGCTCCATCGCTTCCTAGGTACACGCTACTACCTCGCGCTCACGCTCATGCTGGCGATCGATTCCCAAATTCTCGATCACGAAGAGGAAATCTCAAACATCGTCCTCAAGGCTCGAATGTTTTGTTCTCTGTATCTTATTTTTCCTTGATTGTTTTGCTGTGGGTGAGTGGCGCTCGTCCCATGATCAAACAAAAAAACCTGCATCGTCGCAGGTATATTTGCCATGGCTCCGGCCGCGCCATGGTACAAGGACACAAAGAGGGCGTTACGCGACATGTGCTTAGGTCGTCGGAAGGCCGCATGGAGCGAAACCAAGCGAGGCAATGGGCGAGGGACGCACCGCAGCTCGACCCCATGGCTTGATCCGTTGGGTTCCCTTGACGCAGAGTGAGGTCGTAGGCGTGTGACCTGAGGTATAGTGCTACGATCGAAGAATGGAGGAATAGGAAAGCGGAGGAGCGTGGTTGCCTATTACGAATAAGGATTCGATCTATAATCGTTCTCTCTTCTCCCATCAAGGCTCATCTATAGGTACACAAAAATCAACGTACTTTCTAACCCCTAGTAACTATGCTTTATGCTCCTTCAACCCCCCATCCTCGATCTCGAGCAGAGGAGATAGATGATGATGAAACAATAGCTCCTCCACGCACGACAAGTTATCTGCACTCCAAGATAATGAATGGGCCGAACGACTTCTTGCCAGTTCCGCTCGAAACCCTCCCGCACACCATGCTGCCTGGCTCAGTGCAGTATCTGGCACACATCCCATCCACGCCGGTTCACGCAATTACATAAACCCACCTTGGAGATATCAAAACTCAACATTTTCTGTCCTTTCTTTCGACCGGTATCAAGGCCGCGTTCTCTTTCCTCCAATCCGTTCGCGCGACCTTGGCAGACTGCCCCCCAAAAAGGGTGTTTGGAGTGACACGGCTGCAGGCGGCATTGCGCGGTGGAGAAACACCACGTTTCGATGCGACCCTCCCATCCCTTCCCTCTCTTGCACGTACCTATGTATGTACTGTGCATGCACAACATTTCCAATTATTCATGAATCATACCTACTCTACCTACAGCAACCTACATAGCTTCCCAGGGTTTTGGCCCCCCCATGTCGCGGGAACCGTCGAACGTCAGCCACTTACTCTTAAGTTTTTTTCCTCTCTTTTTTTTTCTTCTACCTACCTACCGACATACCTAGGTTATGTTCGAGGCCAAAAAGGGGTGGGTGGGTAAGAAAGCTTCATGTGTCACAGCAGCAAATAGGTTCTTGAGCTAACGATATACATACGAATCAATGCCGCCGAGGCAACAAGCGGCAGAAAGATAACAGCCACATGTAGCGAGCTATGGCGTTGCGTAGGTGCGCCAAACGGCAAAATAGAAAAAAAAAAGTTGAAGGCAGGTAGCTGGAAGGGTACCCCTTGCGCCGTCTTAGAGCTGGGCTTGGATTAGGATCCCTTCTTTTCTTGCTTTTTCCTTTCCGCGTTCGAAGTTTCATCGACCATCTCCTGCTATTGGGCGATTTCTCTTTCAGCTAGGTCGTGAAACCGGAACCCTTTGCCCGTGTCTCTGTTTTAACTGAATTATTGACGTCAAAGACCTCGAAACAGGAAAGGCAAGCTCGCTAGTCGCAGTCTTCGATTTCCCCTTTCGTAAACATCGTAATCCCGCTGTGCTATGGTATTATCATGATGCATTTTTTCTTGTTTATAAAGATACAACGATATAGGTCCGATATCGACAAGGCAAAATAAAAAGCAAATGGATCATCATGGATCATCATGGGTGATCGTTGAGCCTCTTTTGCGCCTCCTTTCCCTTGACGGGTCTATGCATTGGTTAGTTACGATCCATGTATAGAACGTTTCCCCGCTGTAAACGTCTGCGAATTCCCGTTGCTGATCACTTCGACAGCTCGATGATCCGGGTCAGTATATGGGAACCTATTAATCATTAATCATTTTTAACCAAGCTCGGCCTACGGAATGGGGCAAAGAGGCAAAGACAAAACAGCGGAGGAACTGCGGGTACGAAGCATATCGGGTTCTAATCTCAAGGCTTACCATGCAACAGCATGATCAACACAGCAAATGTTATTGGTCCTTGCAGCTTCACGGGTTCTGGTTGTGCTTCTCTGTGACGCTGTCGTGAATTAATTGCATATCTTACTTGAGCCGACACGGAGTTCCACGAAATCTCGTGCCGCCGTGACTGATGAATAGAACGGGGCGGCTTAGAGGTTCGTCCGAGCTCAGGATGCCGCGTAACCAAAGGTGCTTGGGGCACAACACCATCTAAAGTCCCCTCCATCTTCCATATCCCGGGTGCGCCCGAATAAGCGTTAAAGAGGGGTGCTCATCCTATTTGACTATTTAGCTAACCTACATAAAACTAGGACCTCCTAGGAACTCCCGTTGAAATAGACTAGGTTGGTGATCCGGATATTTAGCCAGGGGCACAGGGAAAAATTCCGAAATAACTCTCCGCGCTTTAACTGAACAGTTTCTCGATGCCGTCTATATCCGTAAGCGCGTAGTGGATTGTATCCCGGCCGGATTATCTGTCCGGGAGGACAAATGAATTACGCTTCTAAGGAAATTCGGAGCCGGCATGTATGAACCCTCTATCAGCCTACTCACTGTAACGCCTGTCCAAATGAATATAGAGGAAGCGTAGAAAGTTTTCAAGGATCGCCGAAAACACCAAACTATGTGCCAAAGTGGGTGAGTCGAAGAACGTTATGCCCCGTGTGGAAGGACAAACTAATACGGATGTACTTAAACCCAACTTGGGATAAATATTACACGTACTAGGGATCAGGTAGTAGAACAAGCGACTAGTTATAGATTAGCTTCGAGATTTGTGAATCCAAAGTCAAGGATAATCCTTAGCCCATACCTATTGACGAAGATGAGGTTCTATAAGGGCAGTGATTGTGTTAGCTCCCCTAGGTAACGCTCCAAGCATCCAGTGCTTAGTAGCTTTGTGTTTAAAACTGTAGCCTGTGTAATACAACCGAATAGGAAAACATGGATTGGATACCATAATCAAGCATTATGCTGTCACAACATACACAGCAGCTATGCTCATCCGAACCTATTGCGGGTGGTACGCCTTCGAAACGCTAGATAGAAATGAAATACTGGTTGTTATTTTGAACATTGACTTTGAGCCATGGACTTTGTGCGAGATATGGCGTCAATGGCGTTAAAGGAATCCATCCAATATCAATTCCGTTAAACGTTGCACGGTTCAATCTGTATACAATGTTAACCGGCGGCGATTCCAGCTAAACAGTGTACCTAGTTTCGAAAGGTATTATGTGGTATAGGTATTGAATATTGAGCTTCAGTATGTATACCTGTGTCAACGTTAGGAGGTGTCCAAATGTCTAGTATAATCTTATACTAGGCAAAATTTCGTCATTGTCGATTTGGCGACGCAAGGGTACTATTAAACAATTGCGTAGACTATCGGTAGTCGCGGCAAGTTGTCTATAGTAGTAAATCAGGATCCTCACTTGTTACTTGGGGCCACTGTCACACCTGCAGATTCTTGTTGACTACAACGTCTGCCCCTCGAACCGCACAAAACCGAAAAGGGTCAAAAACCCATGCACGTGGAACAAGGATGTCCCACAATGCACTAAAGTCGTGGATACGGGGTCCATGGAAATAGCCGCTAGTCCGTTTTGAGCTTTTCTTTATTTCTTTCCGATCTCAACCGTATGTTAATCGCATGAACCTCAGGACTACTGTAGGCAATGTGGGAAATCTAGACATGTATGAGAATGTCTAGATCTTTCCAGGTGTGGTCCTAGGTTGATCTAAGTTTAGGTGATATCCAGGACCCAGACTCTCTTTCCAGTATGAGAAGCATATTGCCCCGGATAAGAACTATCTTATCTTGTCATGTGTTAAATCTAGGGCAGAAAAATAAGGTACAGACTCAAAATGTTTGATCTATGCCGAGGTATACTTTAGCTACGTGCCAAGTAGGTAGCCAAGGTCTTGGGCGAGGCCTGCGAGGATCACAGCCCGATACCTGATGCATATAGCGAGCACACATCGCGGATTCTCAGAGTAACCTCACGATGGATGTACACCAAGTCCAACAAGCTCGTGCTAACGAAACTAGTGACTCGAACTAGGACCAGAGGTAGAGAACGGAGGCGAGGGACATATTCGGAGCGTAAGAAAGAGTTATTTTGCTTCGTCCCTAGTAAACTTATCGGTGAGGTTATAGACTGCGTTAGGATGCAGCCGGAGAACGGTGGCTTCGGCGAACCACTCTAGCTTTCCAAGCCGTGACCTGGGGGGCTGCGTAAAGTGGGATGCTATTGGACAAGAGCTAGCTGAACCGCAGCCACAGGCAACCCAACTGTGTCCACTTCCCAGGGTATGCTTGATCGAGATGCAAGAAATCTAAAAAGGCCTTTTGAGCTCTCGATTATCATATATCTTTGATAAAATCCCGGTAGCGCTTCCCCATATTAGCTTCGCGTCTGGTGGGTTGAGTTTGAGCCAGTGAGAGTTCCCATCTGAGCCGATCCGGACTGATAGGGCAAGCAAATCGAAAGAATTCAGATGCTATGGATGGCCAGAGACCCAATGAGAGGGTCATTCCTAAACCACTAGGTAATCCAGGTTTCGAACCTGACTTAACTCTATTAAATCGTAGCGTGTATATACGACACCATGGAGCCGGGTAGACCACCCACGGGTAAGATCCTTCCAAGGTCCCTTGCTGAAAGAGATTTGCTCGATTGATCGCTTCCTAGGAGATGACGAGGCACTGTCCCTGGGTTGGACACACAGCATCCCCGTTGCTTTGAAAACAATTCGCTCGAGATAATGGCAAACTTGACTACTTCGCCTGACGCGTGACGGAGGTCCGAGAAACTGACGGAACCACAGTAAAGCCCACCACATCGAGGGAACCCTTTGGGCAGAAGACGAAACTATCTTATCAGCGGGATGGAAGTTACAAAAGCGTAAAGGAGTGTTGGTTAACGGCGCCAGAGCATCCAATAGAATAGATAATGGAACCAATCATAGCTTTGGGAATCCATGATAATTCTGGGGACCCTGGGGAGCCAATTGACAGACTTGGGCATGGCTAGCCGTAAGGGATGATTCCGGGCGTGGATGGATCCGACCCTCCGGGCTACTGATGTAACATAATAATAGTAACTAGGTAGTAAATGTTTAGTAACTACGGGATATTTTGTTTCTTGGGACCAGAAGATGCGCGTTGCTGAATAGCGTTCATAGCGCTGAAGGATTCGTAGGGCTGAGGCTGAGTAAGAAACCGTCAAATATCTTGGCAACTTGCGCGTCTCTTAAAGATGTAGAGTTTACCTAAGCTAGAAACGGCGTTTAAGATATGATAAAATCGATAATCCATATAAGGTGATATGGGCAATTAGCAATAGCTGGGTGTTATTGATGAAAGGAGTGCACGTGAAATGAGGCTCTGCTAAGAAAAGCGATATATGAAAGTGGGAAGTTACCTAGCGAATCTTTGCTGTTGGAAGTGGGATGTTGACTTTGCCATCCAACGGTCATACGCACAGACCACAACCATACGAACCTTAACTGCTTACCTAATATCAGTCCTTCAGATCATCCTGGTCATCCAGTCCCTTCTACTCCGGCTCTTTAATTCCGAATGCCGATTGTACCTGCCTTCGTAGGATCCAATGTTGTAATCCGGAATTAATACGCATATGTACATAAGATTGAGATTTATACACCTATGCAGTTATTCCAATAGCAGAGAAACAAATAGCGTTAAACCCTTCCAAGGTTGTCTTCGGATCGAAGGTAACATTGTAACATCGATTAAACCATGTAAGGTTCCTTTTTAAAAAAAGATTTCCGTCTGAGAAATGAAACTTGCAGATGCAATCACGTCAATGATACTATAATCTTAACCCCCGGTCAAACTGCTATTACACAAACTCTTCTTCCTGTCCAGATCGGAAGTTATGTTCATCTTTAAGCTTGGATTGTCAGTATCGGGTTCCTACTCTTTCAGCCTGCGGTGAGACTGTCGACTCTCTCGGGCCCGAGCCTCATCTATCTTCATACCTTCTGCAAGATAGCTCAGGGGCCCGTCTGCTAGGCCTTGACATCTTTCCGCTAGTCTGAAGACATCTACTGTACGGCGATATACACCTGCATAAGTCTACCTCTGCTTCGACTCTGCCCAGTTCCGGTTCGGACAGATCTACCTATGACCATTCTTAGCCGTCAAGCCAGCCAAGTATTCCCTCTTCAAAACCCTGTCCATGAAAGCCCCTCTTCGGGTGCTTCGTCAATCATCTGCAGCTGGTTCAAGGTATGTATGCACAGCGCTGCTGTCTTCTTACAGCTCCGTTGCTTGCTTGCCTCTCTCCCCATATTATGCGTGTCACAGTGAGCGATTCTCACTAGAGACCGCCTGCTACCGTACGCTCACCGCGTGTTAATGCACAGATCTGGAGCTCTCTTGATTTGGCGTACAGGCTATATCTTTTTTCTTGTTGCTTTCATGCCAGATCTGCTAAAGTACTGCTTTGGGGCTGTTGTTGGTACACAACGCACATTATCTGCGAGTCGAGTTCAGCCCATTATATCGGGACCAATCAACAACTATCTTCACCCAAGCTATTGGTTACCTTCAATTTCTCCAAGGTCGAGTCTGCTTAAGGGGCCGCCGGTTGCTGCCCAGACCATTGGTAATGAATGACATCCGACAATCCGGGGCGGGAATATACGCCACTATATGAAGATGCTACCTACTGAAGAGCCCTGGAGCCCTGTATCGTCGTAGGTCTGCTTGCGCTTAATGAATTGCCTAGGTACCTTACAAGATTTGTACGGAGAGGGCAGTGTGTGTCGTGTGTCTGCTCGTTCCTTCAACAGCAGCTGACAGCTACCCCAGTCAGCCACCTTATTCATGTACGCAGGAGTTCTGTTATTCTTCTTAAACCGGTCGCTCGTCATATTCCGGCTTATACTGTTAACAATTCAGTAAGTCTAAGTCGCCGTACCAGTCAAATTCCTCCTTAAAATCTGCTCCACCCCGTCATTCAATGGCCTCATAGCTACGTGCACCACCACCTACGTCCATTGGGCTTTTACCAAGCAACCTCTCTGACAGCCTACGTATCCTATGTGGGTCTATCTCTCATTACCTTTCCCTAAGGCCAAATCCGGTTTTAGTCGGTCCCCTGAGCCTTTTTACCCGGGTCCCTGTACACTCTAAGCCGACTCCCTGTCGACTATCTTATGTCTCTGCACATCTCTTACATCCTTCATAAACTCCTTTCCAAGTCACTCAGCTTGGTTTTTTGCTGCTTTTACCTTTCTGCTCGACTGATACCGGGCATAACACACGTCGAGTCTTCACCGTCAGCATCAAAGCGGTCTAGTTCCTTACTTTGTCTCTGCCTTGGCTCTCGAGTCGTTACATTGTAAGCTTTGTGCTACCGCACGTTAAGACTATCATACATATACTATCTTATAATACTACCCTCTCTACATCCCTTCTCATCTCCTTTCCCAATCATGTCCACCATCGTTGCGCTTAAAGACTGATACCTGCCTACGAGATAACTTGCCCCAACTTTTGACATTGATTACAATTAGCATCACGATGGCCTCCTCTACAAAGGCTCGCCAACCTCGACTCCGAGCTTCATGCGACGGATGCTTCTTAGCTAAGGTCAAATGTTCTAAAGCTAGGCCAATATGTTCTCGCTGCTTAGCTTGCGGCATCGAGTGTCGATATTCACCTTCGAGCAGGGCAGGCAAGCCTAAATCTGAACATAGCGGAAGCACTCACACGAATACTCCCCAAGATATGCAGCAGATGCACCACGGCATGATGGAAGACAAGAATATTACATACTCCGCAGCACACCAAACACCGCCTGAACATATGTTCACTTTTGAAACAGGATGGACGACCCCTCCTACTAGTATGGACGGTGGTCTCAGTCGAAACCCTTCGATATCGACGGGACTTGCTTTGCTCGGAGTTGAAGATAGAGCGATGAGCGAACACGACCCAATGTCCGCCCCTCCAGAGATGTATTCGTCCACCATGCCGTGGACCCCGCCTACAGACCTTTCGTGCGCGACATTTGGCGATATGCCCGTCACAACAGGTCCTATGCCCGGCGCTCAGATGCGATCTCAATCGTTCGATTTGTCCATGTCAACGCCAATGGCATGGAACGACCCGGTCTCCCACGATATGATGGGTTACAACCAGGTGCCTACCCCGACAAGCATGTCTTCAAACTATTTCCCCAGCCCAACGACAACGCCTACAATGAGGCCGGCCGGTCCACGCCATAGGTCATCGTCATCTACTATTAACGGAGGTTCCTGCACCTGCTTTACAGCCTGCCTGCAATCACTTCAAGCATTGCATAATGCTTCTTCTCCAGCATCACCGCCCTTTGACTTCGTCTTGTCTCTGAATCGGAAGGCAGTCGAAGGGTGTGCCGCCATGCTATCCTGCACCAAATGCATGAGCCGGTCTGGTACACATACTGCGACAATGCTCCTTGCTACGATCATCGGTAAAATCACCTCTTTCTACAAAGCCGCCTCTCACTCGTATTTTGAACATGGCGGCATGGGCATGACACCGAACAACCCAGGGACTAACGTCGGGGTCAGTCTCGGCGTATATCAGCTCAATGGCGAAGATGGGAAATGGCTGGAGCTCGAGATTCTAGCTAGGGAGCTTAGAAAACTAGATGAAGTGTACTCCAGATTTCGAGAAGTTGTCTGTACTGATTTCTCCGATGTCCCCGATGTCACGAAAGCTATGATCGGTTACCTTGGACAAAATCTAGGATCCACACTTGAAGTTATTAGCCATAGAAAGGGGGACATGACCTTTATTGCTTAAAGCTCCGAGCAACCACTACGATAGGCGCAAATGCGGAACTAGACCGCATACTATCGGACGAGATTACGATGTGACGCAGAAGAGGTTTATATGGCCTACGCAGCAGTTTATACGTTTCAGGACTGGCTAATTATAATGATCAACTTCGATTCCACTACTATCTACACGTTCTACATTTATACGTTGGGTTTCGCCACAGGGTCCATCACAGGGAAAGCGAGTTTCGGCGCTCTGAGGCAGGTGGTCTATTTACAAGCTGGAGTCACCTGCTTTTTTTTATTACTTTCTCGCGCTAGGGCATCGTACGCTTGGTCTAGGATAAGCAATAGGGGGAAAAGCTAAGCTATTAACCTAGAATATTATCTTGCATTTTGGGTGGCTGTTTGACCTGCAAGACAGGAGGCGTTGGGATGGGTTGATTCACGACGGTCGGTGGATATGTCGGTTTACGATGGTGAGCGTTAAGCTATTCTCCTTTTGATCTTTCTAGAGATGTGACAATGTACCAACATTATGAGCACGACGACAACATATTTTACTCAAGACCTATATCTAGCTAGAAAGAAACTTGGACCTACAATCTACAATTTAGATATTGATATCGGATTCTTCCACACCGCCAGTTTTGAGGTGCATTGGTATGTATGTTCGTTTTCGAGGCGGCTACTTAGTTGACTCAGACAATTCAAGACTGACGTTGTTTGCAAACTTGGCTGACGATTGGTCGCGCGGGACGTTGAGAGCCTATGACAAGACATGCAGAAATGGCCGGGACTTGTCGCGCGGCAGATGCTTCGAAATTATTACCCCCGCATAGGATCAGGGGCGTTCATTTGCTATAATCTCGTGATCCGAGTCATCATTTTTACGACGCTGACAAAAGCGTCACCTTACCGGGGTTCCGCGCCCTTCTTAGCGTCAGCATTCTAGCACGGGAATAGCTTTCGACACAGCAAAGAAAGATCTGATCGCGGCGGATCTAAATGAGGGATGTAGATCACCCATGATTACCTACTAGGTACTAGGTATGTTAAATTCTGGGCGGGATGCCGACTGGCAGGGAAAGCTGTTGAATATTTCTTCTATTGCAGGACTACTAAACGCCTCGACAGCCATGCTCTTCAAAGGATTGATTACGAAATAAGAGAGCGGAAATAAGGCTTAATTTCAAACGGAACCCTAATTAATCAGCTGTCTAGACGGTCTGATTTATAAGTTCCGTCTCGGAGTGCCAAGACTATACCGCTTGAGAAGCTGTCAAACCAGCAGATATTCAATTTGTAAGACGTTACTTGCTAGATGATGCGATGCAACCTGCTGACAACATGTGGGGGGCAGCAGGTATTGGGCAGCCACCCGTGATGACGGTCGAGAACCCAAAGCCTGGGCATGTAAATCGATTCTATTCCTATGTGATTGGCTCGCGCTCTCGGATCATTGCTTCTAGGCCATTTGGAGCTGAGTCGTTAGCCACAACGATCCTACGACACACGTATCATTCCTTCTTTTTAGAACGGCTACCTACTAGGCTACGCAGAGATGTGACTCTCTGCCATTTCTTCCGCCCTAGTGCTTCCAGCCACTCCGAGATGTTAGCTCAGCTTTTGAAGATCTCTCTCTCATCGTACATTGCATAGCACAGCCCCGCCGATGCCGTTCGTTCCCTCTTATTATGTACTACGTCAAGAAAGCAACTTTGGGTCGATCTCTGCGGCCGGGACTCAGCTACTGCTGCATGATAGGAGCTTGGCGTTGCAAAGTTACATTCAAGGCGTGTCTCCAGAGCCACGAGGCGGGGGGGTCGATGGCATCATATTCCGTCTCGAATGCCACCTCGTGCACGTGAGGCTGAACCGGCCTCTTGAACTGCACTTTCGACTCTTATAGAATAAGTAGATCCTAACAGTCGTTACGCGTCACGGGTATTATGCGAGACCGAATGCGAATTGTAACATCACTATAAGAATGAATATATGGATACCTAGGTAATTTTTATATATTCGGTGAGATTGCACGCGTACCTCATGCTTCTACGTAGTAAGTACCAACCAGCTGATTTTATGACCGCCCGTCTTCGATTGCGTTAGCAAGAATAAGATCAGTTGATACGTCGTATCAAGTTTATTTTAACGTTTCCGAAACACCAATGATTTTACACAAGTACTACATTAGACGTACCTAGGTACCTATCTAAGACTGCCTTGACCACGATTAACCTTTATCTGTAGGTAACTTACAATTTTGCAATTGTTAAAATAAGGTGAACTCAATCATTATAACAGGAAATATCACGAAGTATATTGCGATAGTAACATATTACAATACTTTAATTTTGCTTGATATTGTATAAATAAATACACGGAAGCTATGTATGTATACACCAAAGTAGGATGGTTGAGTTACAAGGAACATATTGTCCACGCGCTAGGCTAAATTTGAAATAGCTCGTGCCCCTCTCTTGGGTCATCCACGGAATATGGAAACCACAACCCAGGTACAAGGTTAGGCAACTATGATGAACCCGATGGAAATCAATTCGCTAGCGGGGCAACCCCACTGCAACCCTTTAAAACCTTATCTCAAGGTAAGTAAACAGTCTAACTATTTTTGTATTAGGTAAGTTTTTAGCTTGTAGATCCCGGGTCTACCGCTTTGCCCCATTTAACTCACACCGTTTGAAATTCTAAAGCAAACTCTCTCACACCTTTCAATCCCAATCCCACCACATATACTCATACACCTAGGCATCTTCTTATCTCACTCACACTCAACCCACTTGGGGGCCATATTGACTCTAGCATTCGATTTAGAAATCCTATACCAGGCTTTAGGACTAGCTGAATAGTCTCACAATCGGGACCGAAACCGCAACACGTGTTGCACCTCCGCAGGATTGCCAGGTGGTCTCCACCATTTAGGAAATCTGGGAAAGTTTAAGATCTTATCATGGAGGATCATCAGATCCTCATTGCCTCACGTATATTACGCGAGGAGGCTAATAGGAGCGGGAGAGTCCGATTCAACGAGCCCGCAATGTACTTACTGAAGACGGAAGTATGTTTCTTCACGTATTACTCGTAGAACATACTCGTCCCTAGATTTCCTTCGGCAAGGACCAAATCTTACCTATCGTTCTGGCTACCTGGAATACGCGCACACAATGCACACCCATTCATCTTTGGTTCCATACTGCGCTGACACCTACCAACCTACGGTTAATGGTTTAATCGGCCCGCACGGGTAAGGTATGTGCGAAATACTCAGCGGGCTAGGACATAAACGAGCTGCGCATGCAGGCCGAATCACCTCAAGCGAGAAAAAAACAAAAGCTGCCCAGTCAGACCTAAGAATGGTCTGAAAAGGACCCACGCAAAGTGCTTTTGAACATCAACTGTCGACTTGATTCCCTACCTAAGTTCTGGACCCATCGATGCTGAATTGACTGTGGTACATGGTAGACAACAAACATCGTGGGCCTATGAAACGTCGATGGCTTTGAAAATACCCTCATGAACGGCAACCTCAACCTTCACGTAACATATAAACCCGCTTCACCCGGGTGGTCGGCCGAGTCCTGCAATACCACCATGTGGCTTCATCGGATTTTTCACCGGTGCCGGTCAAGCGAGCTACATTTACACGAGTCCGACAGACTATATCGTCGATTGCTTACCTAGAGGTAAGTATGCCTCGTCTACTACGTATTCCTAGGAGCTGATAATGGATCGCGAAGCGAACTCCTTCACCTAAATTCCAATTCATTCGTGTCTGCCTTTGGATGTTTAGCGTGAAGCACTTGCTTCCGTCCTTCCCCGAGAGCTCTTGATCGATCTCCGTAAAGTCCATAAAATTTAGGGTAGGATGGACTTTCCTTTCTAGTCTTCTTACTTCCTCGACTAGAGACTTGGAGCACTAAGCCTTCTATCCTTGATACATGGACTTCTTGTTGCTGTCTGTAATACACTTCTAGCATCAATATCATATGAGAAGGTTGTTTATCGTTAGGACAGAGGCAAGCTATTGTCTCCGGAGATGTTCACTAACCTCTTGCGTTAGTTACGGCGTATGTTGCCGAATCGGACAACGCCTCGCGCCGCCACGCTTACTTCTCTACCTGAGATACACCCCCAGGTAATAATTAGGACGTTTTCTAACACCCCGTAGCTGAAGACTATGTTTACTAGCATTATATTTCTTCCTATGTGTAGTTGGCAGGCCGACCTTGCCACCCCTCACACATGGACGACACCTAAGTTTCGCAGGTCCTGTGAAATTTCTCCGAAAATATAGGCCAAGTATGGTCAGTCGCAGAACAGTTACTGCACAGTCTTACGGTTACTAAGTCATATCTAGTTAGACATACTTGCTCCGCGGAACTAACACCTAACAAGACTATCACCAGAGTCCATTTCCCTTTGTTCAAGGCCGTGTCGCGATCTATCAAACCAACTCGTATTTAAGCTTACGAAGGAGTGCCGTTAGAACCTAGGGCTTGGAATTGATGACGACAGTGGCTCGGTTTGAATATTAACTCTATTTTACTAAGGTACTCATCTATTAATAAAGCGCCTAGGAATATGAGATATCTAGGTGAATGGGCAGTAAGGCTAGCATCGCTAACCTCGCTGACGCCATGGAAAATAGCAGGGCTGATATTAATCGAGCACCCTTGACAAGATATCGCGACCCCTGAAGACTTCGTCTTTCGCCTCAACTTACTGCTTACATATATATCGACTAGTCGCGAATCAAGCCAAGAAGACATGTACTTACCGATTCCTAGTCGCAAAATTCATCTTGATTCATCCTTGGCGAGGTAAGCGGAATACGGACCGTCTTCCAATCTAACGTCGTGGAGGCCCATGGGGTACGAATTAAACTACAAATTTCTTATTGGCGGGATTACATCGAAGAGTTACCGACCAGTTTCCCACCAAGAGGATTGCGCACCTGCCAGCCACGAAGATAGAATCCCCCAAATACGTTCAATCCTGGGGACTTCCAAGGAATATATTCATGCGTCGTACGGTATTGTAGCGGGACAGAAAGTCTGAGCAGGAGCTACTTCCACACGTGTAACAAATCCGTCAAAATCGGATAGCCCTATGAGGCATCGTCCTCCACGTGGTTATACAGGTGATTGCTGGAATACCGACTCCTTCGATTATGAAACAACCAAAGGCTCACTTTCTCATCCTTCTCTTCTCGATGGCACCTTGTCACTCATCATCCCGCATCGCGCTGTCATCATAAGTAACTCGTCGAATGTACCCCTTGCCTAAGTCGGGATTTTGTAACCTCCGCGCCTACTACGAGGTAGAGGTCGCTAGTTACAGCATATGTCGCTTACTCACATTCGCAAAATGCACACTTGACATCTATAACACAATCCTAGCACCGCCACTTATGCGTACCTATATACCTCGCCCATTATATGCTCACCAAATAAATCGAGAAATCGCACCACAGGTACCTATTATCTAATACATCCTAAGTCATACTGCACTCGCAGGAAGGGGCACCATTACAAGTATGTATATCTTCGTTCTATCCGAACGTATGTAATTTAACGTGTCTAGATATGAGATATTTACTAAAAGTACTTCTATCCTAGAGGTCTATCAGGAACCCATCACGAAATCTCCCGGTAAACATGTTGCTTAGGCCAGGGGTAAGAGTAAGCTGATAAACGAACGGGGGTGCAGAAAGCCGTTGTTGGTTTAGAACAAGACATGCGTCCCTCATGCATGTCAGTAGGAAACACTTAATGCAGTGTAAACCGGCATCAGCAGTCTTGGGACTTTAACTACCTACTAACGATTTACCTACCTCCCTAAGCAAGCATCTCAGGTCGTACGAGAAGCGCGCGATTGCATTGGCAGTTGGATTGGATACTTGAAGTCACACAAGAATAAGCTCTTTCGCTCGATGCTTACCTACATTGTGTGTTATCTCATCTCACCTCACATTCGCTTCGAAGCTCTCTAACTATTCGCTAAATTCCGTTGGCCATACGCACAGTCGGCGGCAAAGAGGGCTATACAACATAAAGAAGCGGTAAATTCGATCTCGAATAACCAATATTTACACGCTTATGTGGCACAACGTACAACTCACTTCGCTCTCTATAACCCTTTGTTCCACCTTCCCTAGAAAACTTCCTCTCCGACTTCCTATTCCTACCGTCTCGTCCTACGGACTCCTTTTATTACTCTATCGGTAGTTGACACGTCTGCTCGCTTGGCTTTTCGAGGCAGTGAGGTAATATGTAGTGATGGAGGGTAGAAACAAGGATCCGCTAGCTAGCAGGGTGTCCTTGCATCGCGATATCCTCCTTGTTGGTGGTCAGCAAAAGCTCGGGCTGCGCTCTGTTAGCTCTGTCTGCCGTGGGCTGGACTGGACATCATCCGCGAACAGGGTCCTAAAGCCGAGCTTTCACGCTCCCTTCTTGGCGTGGGAGTTTCCGGGCGCGATGGCGAGCGCGGGGATAAGAGGTTAGAGCATGGTCGCATGAGTGAACGGATTTCTTCGCGGTACTATCTACTACCTAACTCACAGGAAGTGATGGGCGGTAAGCAATCACGAGCCTCATCGTGCTTCTCTACCAACCTTCATGATGTCCCCCTGTTTTATTCCTAGCCGCCTTTAGATATCTAGGCGGGTAGGCCGTTCGGCGTGTTTTAAGACGGGGGTCCTGCAACTATTGACCCAGGGAAGCTTATCGCTAGGGGTAGCTTATGTGCATACGGGCGATCGCTCACCCTAGGTACACCTGCTGTTGTTATTGCCTGTAGGGACAACTACCGAGAAAGAGGGCCAATCCCCGCGGAAACCGGACGGTCGGGGACGATGTGCTTCCCTGATCGGCGCAAGGTTAATAATTTATCGCAACGCGGGTTTTTCCCCCCAAGGCAAGGCTCTGGAAGTTCTGTTGGAAGCAACAATCGCGCAGATCCATCCCTTAACGCGTAGGGGTGCGTGCCCACGAATAGGCCCCCATAAGCTTTTGGATTTAATTTAGGTAATCTTCCTTTACCGCAAGGTCGTTGGTAAGATGAATTGAATAGGTGGGTATATGGAAAATTGAGCTTCGCAGCCAGGCAGTATACTTAGGTATTTAAAGGCTTTACGTTGACTAGGTAGGTATATGGATATGTGCGTCCATTCATAGCTCCTGTTGGTTACGTGTAGTTGTGTTTGGGCCACCTATGTCGATCAGACTTCTATTACTCTATTACCGATATCTACGGGCCGACGACTACGTACGAATAGGCTATCTATCTAGCTGCTGCACCGGCAGGTAAGCCGATGGCGCTAGACGGTCGGGATGGTCCCGGGAATAGAGCCTCAACGACAGACGTTTGCCCTAGGTCAGACGCTAACATGATATCAAGACACCACAAGGTGACGCGGCAGCCGTATTAGATAGATAGAAAGATAGGTGGATGATCCTTCAACTACTAACGTATAATAGCTTAGTAGCTGGCTAACACAGCAACAAAACTCTAGGCGTGCATGAATGAGTCTTGGTAAATCTGACGGTCCATAGTAGCTACCGGTATGTAACTACAGCGCAACATGACTACCAAGTTTGGCGCATTACTCATCAGCATCGTGCGATGTAATATACACCGGTTCACCGAGAAAGACGCTTTGCTTACTGATAAAACCGACGATGGTGTGAAAGGGCGACGACGACAATAGCCGTGAACAAATTACCCGCACTTAAACTTAGGAGGAGGCGAATTTGATATGGATCATTCTTAATCTCTAATCTTGCCCCGCCCGAACCGGACGGAGCTACACGGAACAACTCATTCTCTCGCTACATCGATGCTTTAAACCCCGTAACAGAGCTTCATTTCCTTCATACACCCCTTATCCCCAACCCACGATCACGGCTATTCCCGACGCGTGTTGAACTTTTTTCTTCTGTTCTTCCTTTTTTTTCGCCACTTAAGTATGACAATAACCACTGACCAAAAGCCCAACGTCGTGCCCAGCAAAATCTTACATGGCTCCGCGCGTTCCTTACCTAGCTGCATGCCATGGCCCCAAAAGAAAAGCCACTCAAGCTTCAGACGAAATAAAAAGGGGGGCCGGTCGCGCAGATTACACGCCACCGCCCGAAGCACGGATGACTTGGCCTGCAGTAGATCAAAGAGTCAGTATGTAATAACTTCTCCTACTTCCTCCCCCTCCCCGGAGACGGGAAGGAAGATTAGGAAAAAAAGCGAATTGCAAGACAAGATGAAACTAACCGTTGATCCACTCTCCCTCGTCGCTGATGAGGCAGAAGACAGCCTTACCGATATCGGCAGGCACGCCGACCCGGTCGAGCGGGCACATCTTGCGGAGGCCGTCCTTGATGGTGTTGATGTCCATGCCCTTGTGGCCGCCGGGGACGTAGTGCCAGCTGTTCTCGTCGAACATGTCGGTCTGGATGCCGCCGGGGGCGATGGCGTTGCAGGTGACGCGCTTCCTGCCGCAGTCGACGGCGAAGGCGCGGGTGAAGCCCTCGACGGCGGCCTTGGACCCGGCGTACAGCGCGTGGTTCGGGATGCCGGCCATCTGGGCGGCGATGGACGACGTCAGGATGATGCGCCCGCCCTCGCGGCAGTGCTTGAGCCCCTGCTGCGCGACGAAGAACTGGCCGCGGCAGTTGAGGTTGAAGACCTGGTCGAACAGCTCGGGCGTCACCTCGGTCTCCTCGCACCAGACCTCCATGCCCGAGTTGGAGACGACGTAGTCGATGTGGCCGAAGTGGGCGACGGCCTTGTCGAACAGGCCCGCCACCTCGGCCGGCTTCGAGATGTCCGCCTGGATGGCGACGGCCTTGGAGCCTAGCTTGGAGAGCTCGCTGACGACAGCGTCTGCCGAGCCCGAGCTCCGCCCGTAGTTGACGACGACTGAGGCGCCACGCTTACCTAGCTCGAGCGCGATGCCCCTGCCGATGCCGCGGCCGGCACCGGTGATCAGGGCAACCTTGCCCGCCAGTGGCTTGACCTGGTTGCTCATTGGCTCGGCGGCCGCGTACGAGTCGGTTGCAGATGGCGCCATGATGGAAACAAATGCGATTAAATGGTTTACGGAGTGCCGGTGTAACGACTGTTGGAACGTGTATAAAGGAGAGATATATCACAAGCCAAAGGATTCGGAAAGCGAGATATGTTTCGATGGAACGAGATGTGAGAAAAGAGGGATGGTGTCCTACAAGCTTCTAGAACTCGGGCACCTCCTCTCAACCATTTCTTATAGCGAATAGAGCCCCAAGGAGCTCCGAAACGTTGACAATGTTATGCCAATCCGGGCCAAGGGCTTTGCAGCCGGACTCGTGGAGAACGGAGTCGCGACTACGGAATGGACGAACATAGGAAGACATTGATAGACGCCTTGCTTGAAAGCCAGCAACCTCAATGGCTCTCTAGACTTCCCATCCCTGCTTTGCTGTCCTAGAATGCGGACTGAGTAGGGGACGTTCGCGGAGTCCATAACGCCGGACCCCGATATTCCTACAGATCGTCGGGTCCGCGACAATACGAATTACAACGGTGAGGTGGGTTTCAAGCCACCGAACATGTGTTTACAATCACCGAAATGTTGGCTGGAGTCCGGGTTAAAAGCGTTCGATTCTTACCAACATTCCCCTATTTGGACGAAAGCTCGCCCGTCGAGGACATTTCTGCGGCACGGTCGTCTGATGCGATAGCAAAGATGTGGTAAGGAGGCACGTTGACTGGCGCTAGTTACCCCACTGGAAGTTATCGTCATCGTACGGCGCCCTAACTAAAGTTAGAAAGTCTGAGAGGAAGTTAGTGTCACGCCCCAACGGACTTCCGGAAATAAGCGCGAATTGTGAGACGCGAGGTCTTAAATATTCCCACTGGAATCATTTTTTTGACTCTGGGGGCTGTGAAAAGGCGGGTAGAGAGAGTTGACAGGAGTGAGATAAAGGATGAGGAAGGATGAATCAACTTCTTGTAAGCTGAACATTTCATTCTTTGGATCTGAGGAGGTTGAACGGCGCGCAAACACGATTCAATCTCTAGCAGCTGACTAACAAGCGTCGCGAAAAAGGCAGTATGACATTTCTCGGATCAGAACCGATTCTTCCCCGGAATCGAAAACCTAATCCATGTCGAATATGCAGAATTGCACCCGACGAGGGCTGCGAGGTTGGCTGATAACAGTGCCATCAACTCGCTTAACTCACTTGCGGCGCAGTCAGCCTGATAAGCGATCAGGGGCCAAATCTTGGTGCGCCTACTATGCTAATAAGGACAATGTTTTCTCGATATAGGAGGTAGGCATTATATTTGATCCATTCGCTAACATTTTACACGTACGGAGCACATATAGATGCTTGAGAATTGCCACGACCGACGCGATACCTTTGAGTGGAGATGAAAGAAACAGAAACCGGTTGATGATATATCATATATTCCCCATTTCGTCATGTCCAAGACCGGGTCCGACTCATCGAGGCGAGCGGTGTCGCGTAATGCGCAATGTCTCTTTTCGGGACGATCAAAAAGTGAAGCGTTCGTGTCCCGATCGTAAAGCCGCGTGGCTCGTGGCCAGGTAACCAATATCACTGACGCCATCCCATCTCTTTAACCTAGAGGGTTGCATAGAACCACGATAACACGACGAGAGTAAGTCTTTAAGGCTAGCGGATCGGGGACTAACACATCAGACCATGATCGCCATCCTTGCCTTGCTGGTGAAGATGACGAATATTGGTGAACAAAGGTGAATTGAGATCAGTTTAAGCTCATAGCCGCATTGAAACTTGGTCTCGGCAACCAATACTCATTAGGTAAGATCCGGAGCCGTACCCCTTGCTACCGAGCCCCCTGTTCCTTGCCCCGTAGATGCCTGTGGGTACACTGAACGATCCGAATACAGGGATAGGCCCAGGATCGTCTTGCTTGAGACTGCTTAGCAAGATATTTCGTATTAGTACATATCTATGATTGCATTTAGTACTACATTATAAGATGCGTCTATCCAATAATTGACGATGATCTTAATTCTACTATGTTGAGATGATGTCTCACGTTTAGGAATCGGAAAGAGAACGCGGCTGATCCTAGAATGGCGAGCCGAGATAAGCATCAGTAAACTAACAAATTAGTTACATGCATTCTTAGGTATTGTAGCTATTTTCATGCGCGTACTGAGCGATGTCCATGTTCTTACTATCTACTCCTAAGGTACGTCAAAATAATAACTTGGCATATTAGGTTAGATTCGCGTGCGACGGTGAAACGTCTGACATGGTACAACCGTAGTATCGTCAACTCCGCGAGTGTGGGGGTAACATAACAATATAGACGCCTCATCCCATCTTCTTCTGTCCCACCTACATAGGTGAACGGCATGGACGGCATGAACGGGCTGGCCCGAACTCCAGCTATTTCCGGTGTGAGTGATATAGTCGAGATATCTGGAGGTACGTCACAAAACTAGCTGGGTTCGAGCTGACCGACTTACGTATAAGCGTCCCCGGTCAGAGATGTAAGATAAAAGATCTGGAACAGACTCCTTGGCATCGTCTTCCGCCTTAATGGCCATGGGTGAGTAAGTCTGACCCGCATATTGGATATGCAAGCACGTAAGGTAGCATGGGCACCAACCAGGGCGGAACCACCAGCGCGGGATAAATCCCGAAAAGGGACGCTGAGGTCAGCGTGTATAGGTGCGGAAATTTTAAGGCCAATTGGATAGATACGCAGGCGAAGAGGGATGGACGGAATGGACGCGTCTTGGACGTAAAATCTTAGGAGATGCGCACCACCTACCACCGCCAATTAGCTGTATCATGTCGATGACCCTACTTGCATACGCACCTATCTAGAATATGATTGGTGCTACATCACGTACCTAACAAGCTATAGAAAAATAACACCTACTACAGGTACTCAGGCCGGTACCTAAGCTGTGCAGCGCACACACGCTAATTGGCGGGAACCGACATCGCTAGCAGCATCGACCGCAGCGGAAAGCTGCCGACGCCGTCCAAGATGAAGGGTGTCATGTCATTAAAGGTGGCGGTGCGAACCCGAGCTCATACGACAGAGCCCAGCCCAGGCCCTTTCCCACCCGCAACTTATTACGCACGTACGACCTATATACACGGTATAGATTAGGTAGGTCAATCAATCAATCAATATGGGGCCCGCGTACGAGGAACGGGTAGGCACCTAGCCTCACAGAGCCGTGACAGGCAGACAGAACGAACACCCATCCCCCCCTGAATAGGAAATTGTGGCTTGACGCCCGCTAATTACCACCCAGCTTCTATTCCCTCTTCTCGAATGACACTTGCAGCTAGGTCGGAAGCAAGTAAGCGGCCCTCCGCTCGTCGGCACGAAACGTGTTGTCCTACCTAGGTACCTGTCCTAAGTAAGTAACGCATATCGTAAAATCGTCTCGTCGGCTGGAGCTAGAAGATTATGATGACCCGCGGGGATATAAGGTATAGGGTGCTTATGGCCCTCGGAGTTAGGACAAACATCAACATACCCCTTGATAGGGGTATGTTACGCATCGTAGACGTTGGGAAAATAAGGTTGGTAGCTTATTGATGGCTGACGATCGAACCACTAAGGCTGAATTTATCTGGCATATTCCTTACCTACTTAGGTAGGCATGTAAGCGCTTGCTGATGAAGAGAACGTGATGGTATCATAGGGATAGTCATTCCACATGGTGATTACTAACGCCTTTGCGTGATCATCCATGTTCTATAGCAAGCATCGTATACTATGCCGTCTCTAAGATGAAGCTAGAAGATCGTTAAAAGTCCCTAACATAGGGGCAATCTTAATCTTATCTACATAAGCTGTATACTAAACATATGGTATAACGTGCGGTTACGAAAATTCCCGCGCGGATTGTCCGATTACTAACCAGTGCAATTTCACCAGGTCACACACCTCGGGACATAAAGTTGTAACAAACGGGATCAAGTGAGCGATCAAGTCATGCGAGATTTGAAGCGGTCCAAAAAAAAAGTATTGAGTCAAAGATCTATTGGAAGCTCAAGCAAGCAGCATATATACGCCGGAAATTACTCCACCCCTAGCCAGGGGTAGATGATGATGATGAGAACGGCTAGAACAGCCAGAAGAACTAAGCACCCTATCCTCTCTCCCGAATTCCCCAGTAATAGGACCCATCAGTAACACGTAATATCCTTGGGCCCATCCGTACCTAGGTAGTGTAAACCATGTTCTGCCCCGGCGTACGACTATCCATTCCGCTTGCCCCCCCCCCAAGCCCAGGAAACCCCCCTTTACCGAACGCCTGGATGTAAGTCCCCTGTTCCCAAGGTGCACACCTAAGGTAAACGTCGTAACCACGACGAATGGAAGAATAGAAAATCCTCACGTGGTGGAGTATCGTCATCAGCTCAGCCCTATCCCCACGTTTATTTCCCTATGTGGGTATATGCGTGCAAGCGCAAACATGACTGCGTAATGCCCTTCCCCCCCTTTTCCAGTATTCGCAAACGCAACTGTATATGTGTAATGTCTTGGGTAAATAAATACTTTTATGCAAGTGTGGGTAGGTAAGTACCATAGCGGCAATATGTAGAACCAAACAATCATTCTTAAAGTTTAAAATGCACCGGACCGATAACTAACATTGAATTAAATCTACATCATTTTAATATTAAAAATCATTTTATAACATTAAAAATCATTTTATAACATTAAAAATCATTTTACAATACGGAACCATTGTATGGTAAGGAATCATTTTATGATAGGAAAACCATTTTGTGATAAGGAAAACCATTTTACGATAAGGAATCATTTTACGATAAGAGATCATTTTATGGCGAAAAAATCATTGTATGGCAAGAAGAATCATTTTATACTGAGAACCATTTTGTAGGAAACAGTCATTGTGTATTATAGAGAATCATTTTATACTGTAGAGAATCATTTTATACTAAGAATCATTTTATGTTAGAGGGGCCATTCTATAATGAAAAGGATTATGCAACCCATAATGGTTTCATAAATCGCAGTGGTTCCTTTACTTACAGGTATGACACCGTTCGTGATTAGGTGTTGTTAGTAGTACCTATTGTCTTCCTAGTACTGGCGCCCATGCGATACATGCGATGGGAAGCCGATACATCTATGCGTCTGTTATTAAGTTATACTTTATAATAGCGTCGAGTTTCGCACTTACCAGATCCTTGTTGTCGTACGACATTGCGTTGACATTATGACGAAGTCGATAGATGTATAAAGTTTGCGTAAGGTTCCGAGCACTGCAAAATGTTAGTACATTTGTATGGGTTGTTAGCGATTTTTGGAAACTCACTGCAAATTCCAAAACTAAGGCAGATAGCTTGGAAATTTCGTGGATCGGGCGTATTCGGAATGGTTGGCCTAGAATGTTGCAGCTTTCGATATGTGAAATGTCAGTGAAATGTCAGCAAAATGTTACTGTTCAAGCGCTTTCGAGTAAACGTCAACCACTTACATGTTACAACCATTTGATTGACCAATCCACTAGAATGATTCCAAGTCCGTCGATGGGCACTAGATACGGCCTGGTCGGTTGAATCTGAGGTACGCCAATGATAATTGGGTCGTCGTTTGACTCCTGCAGTATTTCGAGGTCGAGTAATGCGTCTCGTGTGCCGTCTCGTCGCAGAGGAGTGACAACAGCAAAAATATGTCTTTCACCGTAAACATCAAACAGAAATATATGGTCTAGTCGACCAAATTTATGACGGCTGCCATAGTTTATGTAGTCTCCTTGGCTAAACACCAAGCGGTCTTTGGTGGCCCTGCGTTTGATGTGGGATTAGATCATCTGTAATAAGCGAGGTGATAAACAGTGCTTTCATCGCGAGAATAGGAGATAAAAACATGAACATATCAGCATATAGCATGTCAACGGTTACCTGATACCAATAGCCTGGTTATAGGTATACCTACCTCCTATGGTATCATCCAGCATTAGGCAGACCACCACTGGTGATAAACGGGGCATTCGTTTGGAAATTGACGTATGGAGAGACGTAAAGGTAGAGGCATGTGTAATGTGGAAGTATACGGGTCTCATACCAAAGTGTAGATGTGAAATGTAAAGTTGAAGTGGAGGACGAAAATAAGACATGGGAAAGGAGGCACGTACCTATCAGTAAACCCAAGCTTGCGGGCCCATTGAACTTTTGCATTGGGATCCCATGCAGTGGGATGGTGAGCCGGGTAGCCGTAATCGCGGGAATATGCCAGTCGTAGGTTAGCAGTAAATGGTACGGGTAGGTTCGCGGCTCGTGTAGGTAGGGGTTTGTTGTCGTATATCGGATGCGTTATGCGTCTTACCTCTTTCGTGGGGATGCGGTTTATTATACATGTGTCAATATGCGAATCGTCCACAGACGTCGTCACGTCTAATTCAATGTCAACAGATTCGAGTGTATCTTCGAGTTCGGTTCGGTCAGTGTGAGAAAGGGAACTCTTGAAAAGGGTAGGGCATTTCTGATATAGTTCTTGTATTTCATTAGTGAGACCGGGGTCGTCGTCGCGAAACGCATTGCGAAGTACGAAACGAAGTGATAGCCGGGTGTTGATTTTCATCAACAGGACGAACTCAATGTTTGAATAGTTCGTCTCGTATACGTGGATCTTGAAAAAACTGTTTATCGTAAGTTAATATGATCGATACCTCATGAAAGCGCATTATATCGAGTAGAAAGGAGGGTTAGGGTGGGAGGGAATAAGCATAAACGAAAGGGCTTAAGAGCAGTATTGATGTGTTATACCATGTTGCAGCATATAATAGCAAAGGATAATGGTTGACTTGCCGGTGTAAATCTTCCCCTATGAGTGTGTTGCAGTTCACAGTAACGCCGTATTCCTCTGCAAGCGCATCATAATGAACCGCTATATGAATGTTTGGTCTGGAGGTATCATTGACATACTGATTAGACCGTCCCTTATCAGCCTCGCCAGGACGGTTTTCAAATTGATCGACGATATCAGCAACCTTGTTGACTGCAGGTGTGCCTCGGGTCGATGCAAGTGAATTTGCCCGCGAGCCCGCCGACGCCCAAACGCATATACACAATTGAGTGAATAATTCCCTCGCCTTTTTGACTACGTGCGTCATATTATCACGGTCTGATTTCGATGCCTTTGAGCCTACAAGGACTGTGTTGCTCTTTGCGATGGCGACACATGTAGCGATGATAAGATCGACCGGGTCACCAAAGTTGCTGGCCGCTTTGAAAAAGGATTGTTTGATGTGACTGGGCTTCAACCAATCTCGTAAGAAAGCTGGGACCATAATTGACCAGATAGCATGAGCGGACATGTTGTAACTGGCCAGGTGATGTTTCGGGGATTGCAGTCGACGCGAACCTGGCGGTGACGGCCACATACGGAACGCCAGGGTATAATCATGTACCGCAGTAGGCTTTAGTATACCATCTCGGAGTAAGAAATGCATCAAGTTACATAACCCATTGTACTCTGAATGTGCTGGGTCAAATGGTCGCGACAGGACCAGGTCTAATGTAGGCGAGATAAACTCGAGCGACGGAGAAGGGTCGGACATGCCCCATTGTGTACCGTATGTGTCCTTTGTTGCTGCATCAACGTGTTCGTTTGCCATGGTGCGTTGCATCTGTTTTACCTGATGGTGAAATCGACCATGCTTGATGATGTCAAAGTCCAGCACATTATCGGGGCGAGTCGAATTCGACTTTTTGCTCTTGCCAGATGTAATGTAGCAACCACGACAAAACTTATGAGCCCGGGGTCCTTTGAACCCAGAGTTCTCTGATTGCTGAGGCATGTCGCCTATGTAGCACAGGGCGAACGCGCACACCAACGTGTCGACGCCATTGATGTTCATAGTAACACCTCTGTCGAGATCTGCAAGGGTACCAAGTGCTTTAACAACATCGCCAAAGTCGGAGCCATGCGGTCCGATAACCACAGGGAGAATATTACCAGGGCGACTACGGTCTTCCTCGACTAGGCCGGCTGGAGTGATATAGAAACCCATCAGTGATCGGTATGAGTTAGAGAACACACCGAACCCATCAATAAATGCGAGAAACGGCAAGGATATGATAGGTTTAGCATTGGGACGACGCTGATCCCATTCAAACTCGAACATGTCTCTGCCGTAATGCTTAATTTCAAGATCAGCACGGATGGGATGGGTGTGGCAGAGCGGAACGGCTGTCTTCTTAGTGGGGGCAATATCACCCGCAGTCTCTCGTTCAAATCGAATCATGCGACGAGCGTAATAATACTCGTGTTCTGGTTCCTGTTTCGCGAACTGAGGATTCTGGTACTTTGGCAACGGAATATCTTTTTTTGGTAGCCTTTTTCCATCTGTGCGAGTAGGTGGAGGGTTTGGGTTGTCGAGAGTTTCCCCGAACTGGTAGTCGCAGAAGACATCAACTATAGAATATACGCTGGTCTCTGGAATGCATGTAACCGTAGAGAGTAGAATAAGCTCATTCTCATCGTGGGGAGGTGTTAAGACGACGTCTCTTACCCGATGATCGTTATTCTCGTATTTGAGGGCCTCTTGGATTTGTAGAGCTAGAACTTTATCGCTTTTATTTGTGCAGGATTCGGTACGCCTATCCCACCCGAAGCCGTACACTCGTCCAATATGAAGGTCGAGGGACTCTGGAGTATAGTCTTCAATTTCGTGACAAAAGCAGTTTGGTTCGACACAGCGATAATATACCCAGTCGTTCGGGAATATGGCAACATCGGAGTGTTTAAGGTGTGGATATATACCGCCGGAGGTACGGACCGAGCCAGACCAGCAGTGAGACTGGTATAGCTCGGTAGGGTAATCCACAAGTATAGCTGGGCCGAAGTGTATATCCTTGGCGATATCAGAGGAAATGTAGTTCTTGATGAGGGTTGGGGGATCAAAGAATGTGAGCTTCGTAGTGATGGTATGGGTTTCCTCGTCATCCGCACCCTTATCATTATTCCCGGCTTTTGCAGGTTCTGGAGCTTTACCCTGAGCCCGCAGCTTCGACTTTTCCATGGCTTTAGCTCTGCGGGTACGAGTCTCTGTAGGCATCTTCTCTACCTTCAATGGGATGTCAACCTCGCGCATGTTCATAAGGGGTAAGCGTTTACGAAGACGCTCAGTTAGAGTTGAGAGTTGTTTTGGAAGGTTGATGATGTCTCTGATTGGGTTTCCATTGTCATCACGAATGATATGAAGGACTTCCCGGAGCGCTGCCCATTGTTTGCGACTCACTCCGTTGACACTGGCATATATGGCGAGGGCCTTTTCGAACATTGACGTCTCGATGTACTTATTTTGGTGCATCTCCATGAGACGAGATGTGTCGGGTGCCTTGCCCCCACCAGAGCCACTGTTAGGGTTAGTTGAGGGAGTTGTTGTGTGTGGTGTTGACGAGGGTATCGTGTTAGAGCTTTCACTCGTTGTTTCTGAATGGCCGACGGTTATACATGACTCTATCTCTTCTTCTTCGTCCTCATCAAATTGTGCAACAATCGGAGGAAAATCGTCATCGAGAATCTCCTCGTACGTCGCAGCACCAGCAACATCTAAGGGTTTCAAGGCGGAGTGTACAGTGCGGCCCACTGTTTCCTCTGTATCGCCATAACGGACCGCATCTAGGTTGATAATCGCTATTATACAACATCTGAGTTAGCAAAATACCCCGCAAATGAACGTAAATAATGATGACGAATACGAACCTTCGTCCTCTTCTTCACTGCTAGAAACATAACTACCATCCGCGTTCCAATCCTCAATGCTCGGAATTGCGACATCAGCATCAGATTCAGACTGCACATCATCATCGCTCTCTGTGTCGCTCGAGGGGGGGTCTATATTACCACTGCCGCCAGAGGGACCTGGACCACCGCCGCCAGAGGGACCTGAGCCACCGCCGCCATCCATAGGGATATCTCCATCATCGCCACCGGACCCTATAGGGGAATCCGTGTTGTCATTGCCATCATTCAAAGGGGTATGTTTATCATTCACATCTCCAGCTGGGGGTCCTTTATTACCGCTGTCTCGTATATCTTCATCTTCATCTACTTCTTCATAGCCACCGCGCAGTGTTCGGCGTTGGCGGCGACGTCTTGGAAGAGGTCCGTCCGTCGTAATACCTCTCTTCTTTCCCACCATTTTAATAAAATGACACTAGCAAGTGTCGATAATTAAACGAGTTGTGTATTTCGCACAAGGACGCGTAAATAATGGATGAGTTGAGATGCGTGTGTGTTTTGGTAATTAGGTGTTATGGGATGCGTGTTGTGAAATGCATGTTTGAAGATGCAGAAAAAAAAAAGATTGCAGGATTTACTTTGTTGATTTTGTATTGTCTTAGTTTTTATATTTTTTTTTGCCCCATCTGCAAGGCGATGGTGTATTTCATTACCCGGGTGGTTGCCTGGTACAGCTATAGCTCGTCCCGTACCACTGAAGTCCCAGGCGGCTGATACGACTGAGCGCAGGTCCTTTTCATAAAGTAACAGAAAACGTCAAGAGGAACATTACAACCCGACAATCATACAGTTTCTCCTTTCCCTCTGCCATCATTTCGAATACTACCCGTAGTTCGTATAACTCATATCACACATTCCACATTACCCCTCGTAAGTACCTCTACCATCGCATCAACCACGGAACGTAGCAACACATCCACAACATGCCTTCGTCTTCTCAAGGCAACGCTCGTGGATCATCCAAGGGGCGCCCCGGACCCCCGGTTCCCGTTCCAGGACAGGCATCCTCACGCCGCCGCACAGTAACGAAAGATGTAAGTTTATATTCTTATGATGGTGAGGCCTCGCTCTAATCACACATATAGACTCCTACCTCAGACAGACAGGTGGATACAAGCGATCCGTTCCAGGAAGAGACAGATACTGTGACGGATGGGGCTACGCAAGGTTCTGCTACAGGAGATATGAATGAGAACATACAAGGTCCTACTGCGGGAGATGTGGATGTGAATAATGACAATGCTTCATCGGATAGAGTCCAGCCCCCGACACCTGGATCTCACGAACATTCCAGCATCAAAGACAAGTATCCCCGGCTCTTCCTACCTCTCACAAGGGCGAATGCAAAGGTCATCGCAGGCGACAAGAAACATAGTGTGACCTTTCAGTGGAAAGATGGTGCCGGTAGAGGCCGAAAGTATAGCGATCAAGAGATCCTAAACATAAAGGCCAATTGCGATTACGAGTTACGGAAGCACTTCATTGTCTTTGGCTGCGGTATGGGCATAGGTTGGATTATAGAGACATTGTGTCCGGAACTAGACCTGTCTTCCAACCAGTTCCGGAATCTGCGCAAGTACTGCCTCAACTTGTACGGTGGACTCAAACACGATTTCTTGTTTGAGCGACTATATGTAAGTCTCAGAGGTCTAACATGCTCATATACGAGCCTTGGAATATTTATTAACGATTCATAGTCTCATGTGAATAGATTGATGAAGGATTACCCCACGATTATGTTAGTGGATACTAAGGATCCGGCAAAGTTAGCTCAACTGAAGGAATGGCTGAAGGGAAGAGTGGATTCGAACACAATTCGTTTTATCTACGGAAACTCGACGTTTCGAATCATGAACGCTGAGAAGACATTTTACAGCACACCTAACGTGCCGTTGTGGTACTTGACGAACATATTTGTTAGGTTTACCATTGCCCTTATCCCCCTAATCCGCTCCGAGGCGGACAAGAACAGCGGCCGAACTTGGGAGATGATTCCCCACAGACCACGAGGTTGGAAAACTGACTCAAGTGCGAGGGACTCAATAGGAGAGCTGTGGGAGTCTATGTGCGTTGCCCAGAAGTTCCATCGGATCGAACTAGATACATTTACTTGGGTCAACCGATCCCAGCTGGAAGAAAGTAGACGACCCGCGCCCCCTAAAGCAAAGACATTACTGGACATAGCCAACGAAGGCTTTTCCGACGACGAGCCTCCCTTCCCTGGAGAGTCATCTTCAAAGCCAGCAGCGATGCCGCATCAGGAGAAGGCTGATGCTGAGGCATCCCCGACAAACGACACACCCATGACAGATCCGTCGGGCCCAGACAACTATGACGCGTCCATCGATGACGATTTAGTTGGCCTTCATGACAATGTTGACGATGATACGGACGGGCTTGATGGAGGTGATGCAGGATCTCAGCAGGAGAATAATGACGCCGAGGGATTGGAAGACCGTACTGTGGTGTTTGGTGGCAAATCTGGCACCGGCACCGTCGATGAAGACGGCGAGCAAGATGATATGTCAGACGAAGATCCCGAGCCTCCGCAATCTGGTCGACGGACTAGGTCAGAAGGCAATCCTACACCCAACAGTGGTATCAATCCAGCTCCTCAGAACGTGAATACACGTGGAGGCGGCAAGGATACCAGCAAACCGAAAGGAAAGGGAAAGGCGAAGACAGTTATAAAACCCCAAACCCAGACGAAGCGTAAGACTGATACTACTACGCAAAGAAGAAGCAAGAGACGAAGAGGAGGACAGGTTAGTCAAGAGGAGGGTGTACGAGTGAATTATTTTGATGATTTCAGTACTGACTTTGAATATGACAGTGAAAGTGATACTGAGTCTACTGTGGATGAGAGGGATAGTCCCTCTCAGATATACCTCAAAAGGGCACAGTTATACCGTGCGGGATATCACTAACGCACGTATTGATAGGTTTTCTCCGCGACTCACTTACATTCCCAGAGCCAATAATTACACGTTATCCACGGTGTATATCACCTGGATTAATTATACCAACTCCCTTTTATGCTCTTAGATAGTGGCCGTGATGGCATGGCAAGCTCGGTAATGTCCGAGTTAGAAATACAACTGTTGTTACAACACTTTACCATGGAATTGACATGAAACCGCTCATATGTCCATTATAAACCCACGACTACAGGATTTAACCTGTGTAAGTGTGCCAAGCATAGACTCGACGACAATTTCATTCTGTCAGGTGTGCGTGTGTGTTGTGTTTCTGTGTCAAGACAGACCTGGTCAGGGCATGGCGGATAAAACAACACAACCAACTAACTCCAATGGTTTCATGGCCAAGGACTACGATGTAATCGTTATATAGCATGTTATACAAGAGGATAATATGGCATCGCCTTAGTTATATGGAGTGTTACAGAATGAATAAAGACCGTAGCTATTATTAAATCTTGTGGTTCCAATTTAGTAACTTGCTAATCAATGTAAGTTCACCGACAACAACATCACCATAGTTCGATAGGCTCACTCCCATGCCTCTAAGCTCATGGATTTCTAGCAGGTAGAATATCATAAGAATATTAGATCACATGTAGTAGGAAATGGGGTTATGAAAACAGATGGTCCATTAAGCCCTGAAGTAGTTGAATTAACAACCATTAATATCATGGTTCGTTTCGGGAAGCTGGTTACTGACATTAACAATATGATTGAACATATTGACTTATCCTCGTCATTCATACGTGTTATATTAATGTATTACAGAAGCGTTAAACACCAACGATGCTGTTACTTAATACCCCTTTTCATATTAACATGTTATCTAACCCATCAACTGAATCAACCATTGAACGGTCACATTTAAATCGTACATCATAATTCTCAAGTTATATTCCTTATTTTTCTACACGTCTAAGAGCGGTCCATTTGCTTGAGCTGGTGTTATGAAGGCGGAGATGTGCTTTAATAATACCACCACATTACAGACTGGAGAAATATAATCCGTTGTGGTTCGACAAGGTACCTAGTTCCATTACGTAGAAGTTAAAAGCCGCTCGATTATTATCAAGATATAAACGAAGTAACTTGATAATTCTTGTTGGTGATAGTAAGCCATATCTGATAGTTTACAAGCAAGAGGTTGCATTTTCCATAGACCGATATAAACTTGCATTACGCACCTACATTGCACATATGCTATATGAATAAATATATCATTACTTCTATATTGACGTGAAAGCGATCATGATAGTATTTTCATCATGTTACCATTCGCATAAAGTGACAATAGCGGTAATATAACCCGATGGTGGCATTTTAATTGAGGTGAACAACTTTTACTACAGACGTTCGTCCCCCAGCAACAGTGACAATTTTTACTACAGGCAGACACAATTTCATGCCAGTCACAGTCACATTTTTTTATTTCCTCAAAAACAAGTTCTGTCTTGTTCAACCCACCGCACGACAGACAGTTCTTTCTCATAAGGATCTCCAAAATCATGTCTCAACCAGAGGAAACGGAATCACAACATTCTCCGGCTATCCAGCGGCCAATTATTCCTCACGGTACTTGTTACTGTGAGTATTTGAACGAGCCTGACAAGAACTGGCCACAGTTGAATCGTGAGCAGCGTTTTATGGTGCGCACGTTACATCATACTGCCAACTGGACACACAAGAAGATTTCAGACGAGTTGGGATATTTCCTAGAAGATGTCGAGAGAGTTTGTGTAGAGCCCCCGACTCGTCGCCAGGATTATCATGGACTATCTGAGACGATCAAGGCTCAAGTAAAGTCCTTCATGGATCAGGACGACAGTCATCATCGTATACCATGGGAGGACCTACGGTTCTATCTCGAAGATCTCTGGGATTGTAGCGATTCTCTAATTGTAGAGACCTTGACAAGCCTTGGCTATCGGCGTACTACCGCTATTACCCCTTCTCCCATTGACCGTCAAGAACTGAATATACGCGTGGGGTTTGCCAGGTATTGTTTGGAGAAGTTCCCGAAACAGCGCGACTGGTCTGAAAAGGGCGACCCGTACGTGCTTTTTACGGGTCAGGCTTGGGCACACACGAATCCGATACATCCGTCTTGGAAAGTAATCCACCAATGTCAAGATCCTGTTGAGTGGGATCTCCTCCAAGGAGGAGGCCATGGATGGATGATATGGGGCTGCTTTACTGGAAACCGTCCAGGCCCTTGCTTTATCTGGCCAAAAAGACATGAAAGCATCACAGCAGACGACTACATACGGCATATCGTCCCTCTCATCCACAAGTTTCTCAATGATCATCCGGAAGGTATTGTTGCACTGGACAGAAGCGAACAGGAGTTCAACATGAAAACCAGGCTGCGCATGTCTGAGCTAGAGATCGGAGCATTGAGATTTCCGAGCAAGTCTTTTGATCTCAATCCCATGCTGGACATATTTCGATGGATGCAGGAACACCTGTCCAGCAGCTACGACACGCGACGCATGAGTCTAGAAGATGTTAGGGAAGCGCTGTATGAATGTTGGTATGCGACCCCCCCGCAGATCATGCGCAAGGCTACCGCTAGCATGAAACAGAAATTTCAGGATGTCATCAAACACTCGGGAATGCCTCAGGATGATAAGCTGGTATTGTTCTCCTGATGCGACCGACCACAGATCAACACAAGAATGGCTGCAAGGGCTAGCTTGACGAATTCGGTATATGCAGAGGGTGTGGTATAATTGGGAGTATGGCAGATAATGGTTAAGGAAATTCAACGCTTTTCTTAGAAATAGAATCAAGGTTTAGTATAACTGGGTACGGCCTCTATGGTGAAATGAATTACATTGACATTTGCGAAACTTGCTCCTCGCGAGCCTTAGAACTGTTACGTGAAAACAACAAGATGTTCTCATCGCGGAACAGTTATTAGGACACTTATATGCAGAGCTTTGCGAATATTGCGATATGTTTAAATGTCTTGTAAATGGTACATCAGCTTTAATATTTTATTACTAACATGTGGTTGAAGGCCGGGATCATAATGGTTTTGTTGCGATACTTGTGTTGAACCATGGTTGCATTATGTGCATATATGTGGTATAAGAAATAAAAGACGCTAGCGTTTATACACTTATGGGGGGAATCTTGGAAATGAATATTTTTTCGGCGGACTTTTCTAAAAAAAAGATAAAATGATTCATAAGCTTCAAATGATTATTAATATTTAAAATGATTATTGTACGTATATGTACCTTTGCACTGAAATAATGTGGGGTAGTACATGGCGGGGTAATAATAATTTAAAACTTTAAAAATATTTTAGCGCGAAAATCATTCTTGGCTTTCACATTTTGCCGCTATGGTAGTAAAGAGAAAAAAAAAAGGAGGAAGAATATTAGAGACGTTATATCATCGAAGGAACTTTTTTTTCAAATGGCAACAATGCGAATGATGTGATATGTGATAAGTCGTCCATGACTACCTCTCCAGTAAGTACGTATCCTGGTAAAGGTAGATACCTAAGTAGGTAGGTACCGGTACCTATGCAGGTCGCCGATGATATGATAGGTATGATAGGGCTAGGTCCCGGGTTTAAACCCATCCATTTGAAGCTTCCACCCGCTTTTAAGGTGCTTAGCACAGGCTCGCGGTGCTGGCCTGCACGCTAGCCGCGGCGCTAGGCAAACCGTCGGTCCGCCAGTTACTCCCGAGGGCGACGAGCTTGCGGCGGATGCCATCGCTCAGGCGCGAGCTGACGCCATCCTCGAGCGTCTTGACCGCGTACTCGAGCACATCGGCTGGCTTCTCCAAGCTCAGGCCCGCTCCCGCGCCCGCACCTACACCCGCACCTGCACCGACAGACAGGACCGGCACGCCGTCGCCGCTCCACAGGTACGCGATGACGGCCGGGTCCTCGGGCGTGACCTGGTCGACGGCGACGGGCGGGCCCGACTCGTCCCGCTTCTGGAAGTTAGGGTCTAAGCGGGAGACGCTGTCGGTCCAAAGGATAAGCGCGGCGCGGTAGACGGCGGCGCCCCACCAGCTGGGCCTCCTGTCTCTTGGCATCGAGCGCAAGAGCCGGTACACCTGGCCACAATGGAAGATGGCCTCCTCGCGCTGGTAGACGCAGCGCTTGTGGCGCAGCGACAGCTCCCAGTAGGAGCCGTCGAAGTCGTCGCGGCGGGCGAGGCGCTCGATCTCGGGGAAGTTGGTGACGGCGTTGAGGGAGATGAGGTGGTAGAGGACGAGGTTGGTCTTGGTGATGGCGCAGGCCGGGTGCGACTTGTGGTGGGTGATGGTGAGCTCGTACCACTTCTGCAGCAGGCCCTGGATCTCGTTGAGGCGCGACTCGAACGAGTTCTTGATGTGGGTGCCGTTGCCGAGGCGGCGGGCGCTCATGACGTCGGGGAAGCAGGAGAGCATCTGCGTGATGTGGTAGAGGCACGACTGCAGCGGGTGCAGGAGCAGCCGCATCTGGTGCGGCGTCAGGCTGCCCTGCCGCCGCGACAGGTTGTCGTTGAGCAGGTCCTGGAACAGGTCGTAGAGCGACGGCGTGAGGGAGGGGGTCGTGAGCAGCTGCGGGTTCACGTTGGCCGTGCATCCGTAGATGGACTGCACGGCGGCGACCCATTGATCTGCGTTAGCCGACATCCACAGCAGCTCGGGACCCGGCAAGGGGGCGCAGAGCTCGCTGGTGGACAGCATAGGGGCCGTATCGTGGAACAAGCTCAGTTCCTGATCGACCATGACGAAGTTGTACACTAGCCTATTAGAAAGGGGATCAGCGGGCTTGCATAAGACTATTGGTGGGAAATTGCGGTATGGAATGGGAGAGCGTCGGTAACACACCTATTTTGAGATTCCCGGTGCAGCCAAGAACGCCACTGGAGTTCTGCATTGGTCGAGCTGTTGAAAGATGGGATCATAGACGGTTGGGACTCAAACATTCCCGCATGTTTTAGCATCTAGCGTTGTCACTAGTTAGAAACCGCATCTCACCGTCAAAAGAGAGAGATTAGGGCTGTTCAGATGCTCACCGATAGGTACATTCCACGTTGTCCCATAGCGATATCCATGAGCCACTTGTCACCGCTCCAAGCACCCAGTAGCGTGAAGAGTAGGGCACATCGAAGGGCGGTGGGGTCAGCACACATCTCAATGTCTTTTTCGATGATGTCGAATAGCGATATGCGGCAGGTCTCAATCAGGCCGGCTGAGAGAGCCCTTGCTTCAGCCGTAGGGACTGCCGACGCGCCTTGAGCAATCATGAGCAAGACAAGGAGTGCGGCCGCCTGGTTGTTTTGGAGCATCTCGTTGGGGTCCACACAGCCGGTCGAAACTAGCGAGTAAAAAAATGAAAGATTTCGAACGTAGCTACGTAAGAAGTATTCCAGTATCTTCGAAGGCGGGAGGACCAGGAAACTGAGCAGCCTGGGGCTTGCGAATGCCTTGTTCTGCGTATTTACGCCCCCACGGTGGATCTCGAGGGCTTTGTGGAGAAAGGTTTGCGTTATCGCGAGCATCTTGTCGCGAGTACGGGACGTCATAGGTATGACCGAAGCCAAGTCGGCGGCGTCCCAGTCGACCTGTTCCAGATGTTGTTCCAGGGCGTTCCAAGTACCTTCGTGTCTCGACTTCTGCTCCAAGCACTCTAAGTGAACGATTGCTGTTCTCGGACATGCGCCTGAAAATATGGGAGGGTTACATCGAGCCAAGGGCCATGCAGCCTCGGCCGCAATGACAACCTCGAACTCAGGTATCATAGTGTCAGTAGGTGTGTTTAAGCTCATATCAACTGCTTTCGGAACTGGTTCGAAATCCGCCGTAGACATGATGCTGGTGCTTCTCGTATGGATAGATCCCCGTGAAGAGCTCATATGTTCCGAATTAGATGATATGTCACTAAGTTCCGCGAAGGTAGGCATGGGGACGTCGGTTTGAGTAAGAGGCATGTTGCTAGTGTAGATGTTGTCAAGATCCAGCGGATACTCTGACCACACAAGCATATCCTGGTAGTTTGATTCCTGCGGCATGAATTCGTTACTTAACTGGAGAAAGTCGTCAAGGCCCTCTACTCTAGGATGCGGAGATGGGAAATCGTCGTTACTCGTATGAGAATTCGCCGGCGAATTCTTCTTGATCGGGCTTTCGTGTTGCTGTATTCGTGGGTCAATCGTCATAAGGTTGCTGTTTTCGGGTGACATTGATGCCTTTATCGGTGGATCCTGCTTGGGCGTGCCCTGATCTATGTCCATGAATGCGGGATTGACCGTTGTTGCTGATGTGGGCGGCGAGGGTTGAGGTTGAGTTGAAGGCTGAGGTGGTAAGGTGATATGGCTATGGCTGTGACTGTGGTTGTGGTTGCTGTTCATGGCAGCAGTTGCTTGTGCGGCTCGCATAGCAGCTTTTGATGAGCGCCGCGCAAACCGCGCTTGACATTCGAGGTTCTTGTCCGCGCACCTTGCGCATGGTACTCTCTTATCACATCCCGTCTTAGCCTGTGCGCAGTTGAGGCACGCAATCGGCGTCCGCCCCGCTACTGTAGGGACACCGCCGGGAAGAGGCTCCATAGGATCTCTCGCCTCATGGTATGTGGAATGATGTCTCTGAAGTAAGTCCCTGTAATCAAAAGGTAAGTATAAGAGACGACGACTATGTCGAAGAGGGGGCAACAAGCAGACCTTCGAGCAAAGGAGAGTTGACAAGCACTACATCGGTGCGGTTTTACATTTGTATCTATTGTGGTTGGCGTCAGTTTCTGTCCGCTTGCTGAGCTAGTGAGATACTACTCACGGCTCGGTATGTGTCTCTCTAGATGCTCCTTTCGTGTGAAGCTCTTCCCGCAGTACGCACAAAACACCATCTTGATTACTTAGGTCAGATAGAAGAATGAAAGTGATATCCTGCTATGCTCTCGCTCATGCCAAAAGTGTATCGGGTATTCGTAGCAAACTCCAACAAGCATTCAAGAATCTTCCACAGAGGAAACAACTTCGTAGTTGAAGAAAGAGCAAAAACGGGAAAGGTTGTCTATACTAGGTGTGTGAGAAGAAGAATTCAAAGGGCGCCAGGCACGAGATATTGGATGCTGGGCTTAGGAAAGAGGCAGGGGGGTTAGAGAGATCGGGTTGGGTATGTTTAGGAGGACAAGTAAATTCTAACAATGTGCATAATGATATTACATGTACACGGGAAAGCATCGAATGTGCATGAATCAGACCTTCTCCGGGTTTACGGCTTTCTAAATATGAGAAAAGGTCTTCTAAGGTTATTCAACTCGGGAAAGCTAAGCAAGTTCGAAAAGGGTACAAGAGATTACCCATGTGGAAAAGTACAAAGTAAAGTGTAGTGTAGTGTGTGTAGTGTATGTGGACAAGGAAGTAGGATGAGAGCTGCACCGCCTTAGCCAGCACAGTCCCTGCCACTCGGAAACGAGGATTACGGTTGCATGTAACTAGGGAAGTATCTTCTCAGACAAGGGGGGGGCCGTGGGACACACAAATTGCCCGGCCTAGCCTAGACATTTTTCAGCCGCCATCAAATACTCGACCAGGTACGCTGTGGTGGTTTTTGGGGCCCCTGTCCATGGGATGGCGGGGCAATATAACGATGATGTGGGTGAGAAGAAACACAGACATCCTTCAGGAGGCAGCGAGACGAATCTTGAAGGGTTGACTAACACGTAGGCATCAGGCATAGCGAGAGAATAAAGCTGCTTTCCCCGAGCTAATGCGAGTCTCTGAGTTTGCATAGGCTTATTGGAGCATTGTAACCCGATCTCTACCAGGGAGACGGAAACCAACCAAGACCTGGGCCGGAATAGAAATATTGTGAATGATGTCCTGCGGCACTAGCCAAAGCTTCGACCGATTCATACATTACGTGCTTCTACGTGTATACCGACTAGAGCAGCAGAGTGGTAGGAGGATGGATGTATGGTGCTACTCTCGATGAAGAAATATCTTGCCTTGATAGGGGACCTCAGGGGACATCAGGGTTCGACGGCCATTGATTGGTTACGGCGTTTGAGCTCGAATCGTTTTACCTACTAGGTCCTATTCTATATGTCTATTCACAGGAATCAACTCGTGGCGAATCCAGTTGACAGCGGTAGGACGAAGGCACGATGGCGTCAGGGGCCATCCAACGCTGTCATCCAAAGGTTAATCAACCGAAGGCGCGAGTAAGCGTGTGAGAAAAGATAAAGACCCACGAAGCCATGGCTTCTTCCTCTCGCGTGAGATACGATCGTAGTTGGTTGAGGACCGTTCGAGGCTTGGTGAGTCGGGAAAGACTGTGCTGATAGCGATCAGGGTGGGCCTAGTTGGGCCTACGAAGGAGGGTTGGAAGGCTTGGAAGGCTTGGAAGCTGGGAAGTAAGATCAAACTCGTGGTGCAGGGTTTCTTAGTACCGAGACTTGCAGCGAGATCTGCGCGTCTAGGGCCGAAGAAATCGCCCAATGAAACCCTACGGGGTGGTGGTAGCGAACACACAGCTCAGCTTATTATTCTCTATCTTCCTTTTCACTATTTCTTCCCGTCTTCCTCTGTAATCTGACTTTTACGATAAGCATCATCGCGAATCAAAGGATTTGAGCGATAAATTCACCTTCGAAGGAAATCCTCAGCTCAGTCCTACCAAGCACCTAGAAGCGTCGGTTCGCTTCATGACGAAATACCTAACCGGATTCATATAGTAGTATGATCTAGGTCTCACCTCTTAACTCCGGTTTATTAGTCAGTAATATGGACGCGCACTTAATAGGTACCTACATATGTGAACCAGGTAACAGCTAGCTGTGTCCTGTTCCGCGCCTCTATCATGCATCAGCCCTCCAGGTATTGACCATTTAGGGCATTATGGCTGCGGTTCAAGAAATCTTAAAGGCTATCCAGGACTTTTCTTTATTATTCTTCTATTCGCTTACAATCTAGCTTCCCGCCTCCTTGAAATAGACTTAAGTCTGGTCTCAGACATCACGACGTACATACTAGTGACTTTCATATACCGTTGCAGAGGTACGTAATAATGGAGGGCACCAAGACTTTTTGCCTTTTTTACGTTATCAAGCACATGTAAGTAATCCTGTCTGCTCGAATCATAAAGTCGCAACGGTTTCGTTTCTCACTCTGAGTTTGATTACCACCTGAATGTCTGTGTGTAGAAGAAAAGCACGGTCTCGACTCTCGACACCTTTGACTGCGTTGCAAGTACACTGTCTGTGCGACGTCGTGCTGACAAACGTTTCAACCCGTGCACTATTTATACTTCAATACATCTCAATGTCATTCGACGGTCAACTATATCCAACGTCTCGAAGAAAGTAAATGGAATGAGTCAATATAGGTAGGTAATGCGGTTAGGAAAGCGTTTGTTTGCTAACCCAACCCCTGATCGACGTTGATAATTCCCAACAACGGTCTCAATCTAGCAGATGACCCCAGTCAGATATTCATCTCTACCGCGATATGATAGGAGATGCAAGCAGGACCCAATACACCGGGCGAATTGAAGGAGTTTACCTATTTCGGAAAACCCGCTACCTCCAAGTCGCGGTCTAGTCTTAGTCTTAGTAAAGTGACAGCGCAACCGAGTAGTCGGGTCGCCCTGTCGTATCATATATGCCTTAGAACCATGGATACGTCAGGGTAGCATTCCTTAGCATCGGTACTCGTCCGCGACGATCACGAATCCTTCATCGTAAGTCTATTCTTAGGTTAGACATCTTAGCATCATCCAGCTAGAATCATGTTAGGGCTGCTCCCTTCCCTCCCTATTACTGGCTGTCGCTCCTATCAGGAACGTGTAGTCCTCATAGGCATTCTTGATGTAGCACAAGCAAGGAAATTCAAGTAATTCACACTCTTGGCTTCGGGAAATATTCTTTTCAGCTCTCGCATTAGCGCCTCATCGTAGGTTTAAGTCTACCTACTCTAGTACTACGCTGGTCTCTACGGTTAGTTGCCGCTAGTTGCAACAGTACTGACACCTTGTTTTAGACTCTAATTCCTTCCCGCATAACTCTATAGGGGGCCCCTTGACCGTCTAGGGAAGCTGGGCGCTCGTGTCAATACAGCCTCACAGGCTTAGATTCGCGCGAAGCTAACATGGCATGGCGGCACAACCTAGATGCCCTTTCTCATGCAACGGTCTGAGGCGCCCCTTACCGTAGAGGGATAAGTACGCTGAAGCGTATCTCGTACGTGCGCCCTTTTTGCCAGCTCAGCATTCGTTTGCATGTATCGCCGGTGAAAGAGCTCTCTCTGCATATATGCGTCGTGACGTGCTTGGCTCCCTCCTCGATGTAGAAGCATCTCTATCTCGTTCGCTTGCCAGCGATCAGTGACCAGCGGCCGGCTGATCTGCCAAACTTGCAGCTAAACTCCGTGCTGATCTCCGGTGCCAAGACCCGAAGAGGCAAGCAATATTCACCACCACACGGCGGCCGAGGTCTTATCCGCAGATCGATATTACACTTGTTTAATCTAGTATGTGGGTTGTCCCGTCTTTATACGACTCGATAAGTAGCATATGCCCAAGGAGGCCGAGTTAACGCTATCTCCGGAATGCGGTGACCTACCTACTAACCGCTCCCGCGAATATATTTCATTGATGTCTCAGCGTCGACGCCACAATTCTCAAAGGTTCCTTTTTCTGTTGAGATATAGTGGATATAGCGCAAGATCTAACCGCCCTGTGTCCAGGATAAGGGTATCCCCCTAGTTGAGTTAGTACGCGTGGGAGGCTTCGGGACCATATTCCGTAGCCACTACCGTAATTCATCCCTTTGGCCATAGGGAGAGATGGTGAGTGGGTCAGCATACTCCCGTCCCGCAATCGTCGCCGCGATGTCGGTGAATTGCAACAGACTAGCAGACACGAAGAGGTTGATCTCGTGGTGTTCTCCTTTTTTTTCCTCCTTTTTTTCAATAGTTCGTATACGGATAGAGGTAGGGAGGTTGGCCGCTACAAGGTCGAGCAATCTAATATCCAGGAGTTACGGTGATTCGAGAACTTCGGATCTGGAAGTCTTGGTGTGTTCTGTAGTACTACGCAGAAGCTATGAGGTATCACAAGAATGGGGACTGGACTCGTTGCACCACAGCCCTTTTCTTTTCCAAAAATTGCAGTGGCGTCTGTGGGGAGCCAGACAGCAAGATAATCCACATACCTAGATAGAGCCTTCGTTTCTCTCTGCGTCCACCTCCCCTCCCGACAGCGCTCCGACTGAGAGGCAGAAGCAAGGGGCACTGTACACAACCGCTCTGCAGCAGGGCCATCATTTCCAAACCGACCATTTCAGTATGTGAGGGCAAGAATGACGCTATTTCGGCATGAAAGATTAGCCGTCGGCGCCGCATTTCGTGCAGATGCCGTGCAACATAGTCCGATAATTCCATACCTCGTCTTCATACTAACGAGGTGCCGAGTTGTAACGGCCCCCAGGGCTATGCCTCCGGTCCCGAAGAATGATTGCCTTCGTAAATATGACGACGCTGAGTACCTACTCTGTGCGAGTCACGAGGGGTGGGATACTAGGTCGGCAGTCATGCTGTACGTAGGTCAAAGAAAAAGGCAATAAGAGAGAGCTGACAAGCGGTATTCAACGATAACTACTCATCCCACGGTTTGAATGAATCCTCAGTCGTAATGTGTATCGATTCGGGTTTTACAACCCGAAAGAGATTGTGGGCTATGTGGCTAGCCATCTTGCTGATATGATCGCGCCGCGTTGTATTCCTGCAAGCCGCCCAGCCAATTGCCTATTAATCCTTCTCCAACTCGGAATATGAGTATCCCCGAACTACATCCCGCGATTGATTATTCTCGAAAGGTAAATGAGGCTTGTCAAAAGTTAGTATCCTTGTTATACGTTGTAAATCGGTTGGATGTTAGCCTAGATCCATACTTGGTGGCATCAATCTAGACCCTTAGGGCGAGCTGGGCGAGATAACGGCAATCAGAATAATATCCATCTTTCTATTTTCGGTTTGATCGTTCGATTGATCCTAGATGGAGTTCGTCTCGGCCGATGTTGCGCAAGGCGACCAGAGCTGCATCTCCTTCACATAAGATGATCTGCAGGGCTGAGAAAAAGATTACCAAGGTTGCCTGTGGTGGTGGTCATGATGCTATAGGAATCCATAAACAGCTTAGTTAGAACGTGGTAGGTAGGTCTGGTAGGCCTGGAAGCTCATGATCGACTCTGGGATGTTGAGATCCTCTGTCTTGGTGGTGCGGGAGGAGATCCTTCGGGATATAGGTGTTTGACGTTTCAAGATATGCCCGCTTCAGTGCAGCGTCTTTATCTGTGAGCACGCAACCACTCTTCGCTCATTGACACGTAATCAGGAGATCGGCATACTCGTCCCTCTCGGCGGTCTCTGTTGCCATCGCCGGGCTCCGGCTAAGACGGCAGGGCGAATAGCCCATCCCGGACCCCCAACTTTTCCTGGGAGCTTAGAGTCAATGCCGAGAGCCATTCCGGAGAATCACGAGAGTGTTTCATAAGGAAAGGTCTTGTTACAATATCATCCATCAACAATGGCTTGAATATTAAGATAACCTACGAGGATGAGAAAATCCATTAGGTAGTCTATATCCCTTGGCTACCTACCCTTCAATGTCGCCGATATCAAAGAGAATCGGTAGGTATGTACCTATTGTAGAATGTTTACGACCGTTACGACCGGCACCAGCATGATCGGATAAAACGATAGTGATCTTCCCCGAACACTTCTGTCATTATCGTATCCCGATACGGGTTTCTATGGAAAGAGCTGCACTGTTCGGCTCCGATGTCTGTTTTCGTTGACATTGTTGACTCATCCTCATCTAAATGGCTCAGTTCTAAACGATGTTAGTTACCCACCTCCTCGGGATTTGCGGAAAGACTAAGTGAAAAGTCGTTACTGGGTTACGGGATTATGCTACCGATGTCGACACCATGTGGCGACCGTAAGCCCTCATACGACGGTCACGTACATGAGTATCCAATCAGGCTTCGGTAATTCCAAGAATATAAACATTTCATAATAATATCCATTAGGAATGCACCCAAGATCATGTAGGTATCGGTGCTCACTAATGACCGATTCACCGATTGTAAAGTCGATGGCGTTGGTCATCAAAGAGCACGTAGTCAGGGATTGAGCGGTGAGACGTATTCTTCGACCACTCAGAGTGCTTCATTACTGATGCCCTTGCGTGGCGCCTTCAGAAGGACAGCGCGGCTTACGTATCACCGAGTGTGGCGTCCCGATCTCGTCTGGTCACCTAATGCTTGGCTACCTATAACACGTAAAGATGGATTCAACTACCGCCCCAGTTTTAAGGACAAGACATAAGCACCATAAGCACCGTATAGCTACAAGCAATAATTGTAGACTAAACGTCTAAGTGCCTAACTTATCGTTCTGACTCAGAAGAGTTCGGTGTTAGTTACGAGTACGTGTGAGCTGACATCGGTCCCGAGAGTGCCATAAGGCTGTGATGAGAACTGCAGGATTCTAAGTGCTAGTCTAGAGGGGTGAGTTCTATTTGCCATGTACGCCTTTATCGAGAATTTAGTATTGAAGTAGGTAAGGAGTCATACAAACTTAGGTCGGCGATATCTAGGACTAACCAACACGATGGAAAGATATAATCTTGCCCAGAACTTAGAACTAAATTTATCAATTGAGTCAAAGTGAATGTAAGGGTAAAATCCGGGCTATTGGGTTTGATACGGAGTCCATTAAGGGCCAGTTTTATCATTGACCAGTCACAGCCTCAAGAGCCTACGCATGTGTAGCAGCTTGAAACATCAGCATATGTTGTACTCGACCACGCACTTCAACGTCTATCAGACATACGCGTCAACACATACAAGCCAGTCATATGTCTGTAGCGTTCCTTATATACGAGTTTGCAGATGGAATGATTCCGTGTGGATGAAGTAGTTTCACCGGGACTCGCAGCACTCCCGGCCCGGGAATAGTTATATAGACTTGATGTAATATCTATCTAGGAAGGTATATACGCCGTTGACGTATGAGATTTCGGCATGCAAGATTTCTGCAACAGAAATGCCGGTGAACGCAAGCGGGTGTACGCAACAGGGGGAAAATCATGCCCGGTTCAAGGGGCGGTAAGCTCTCGAATACCTGACTATCGGCACCGAGACACTTTCAATGAGGATATGTGCTCCTGTTTCTTGCGGTCTGCAGTGTAAAAGATTTCACGTACGCTGCGGAAAGCGACATAGCCGCCCGTTTCTGTCCAACTGGGTTACGAGCTATCACATAACGGGAATAAGTAATCACCCCTTGTTGAGCGAACGTCGTCCGTATATATCTAGCGAGCCGTGTCCTATCTGTTAGATCTTTCTTTATTCTTATTATCGTGATAACCCAAGCCATACGAAAACGATGAAGCATGCCGGGGAAGTTCCGTCGAAACCCCTGAACACATATGCGGCATAAGTGGGAGCCGCACACCATCACCGTCCCGGACTCCGCGTGAAGCAAAATCCAAGAATATACCGGGGAAATTGTTTACGGAACCCTAAAATGACGATATTGCGACTAAGGAAGGGTCGTGGATGATGATAAGGTGCTGAATGGAGAAAAAAGGGGAAGACTATGAGAAAGGGGGTTACCGCATCTGGAGAATAGGATGGTCACTGAGAAGTAGCCGACAACAGGATTCCGCGATATTACAACTCCTAGGACCACGCTATTCATCTGGGGGAACAATACGGCATACTCAGCAAGAGAAGTTGAAAGGAAAGATAATATGATGATTAGTTGATTGGTTGGTTAGGCCTACGCCGGTTGAAGTAGTACCTTGCCGAAAGCCGCACGAAGGAGGCTATTCGAAACCAACAGCTTTTACCTTAGGAGCCCATTGGACGGACGTCATTTTTTAGGAATGACTGGGAGGTGGCGAAGATGAATATGCACGAACGAAAGGCCTATCCTATTATACATCGGCTTACATCGACAACGCCTTCGCGAGGAGTTAGAAGGTACCTGCCTAGGCATACAATGGATCTGATCTACGATGATAAAAGATGGAGCAGGTATAAACGAGATCTCCAGGACAAATTTCTACGAATCGCAGAGGCCGTCTGACCACCCATCCTGCCGCATTTCTGTGCCCATAACTCGCGAAGTTGGAGAAATAGATCATTCTATATTACAGTTACCGTCAATAGCCATCCCACCGAGTCCTAGGTCAAAATGAGATGAGCCCACATCAGCCTCAACTCATCAGATGCATGAAGAGGATATCTCGCAGCAGAGTAAAGCAAGACCAATTACGCCATTGGGTGGGAGCACCAACGTTCGATTCGGCCCGCAGTGTTTTCTACATTTTCCGAGCTACACCCCTAATGACTCTAACATCCCGATAACAACAAGGGTTAAATCGAACTGGCATCCCGTTCAATCTACTGAAGACGCCACCTTTCACATATCCTCATTTGGGAGACCAGCTATCTATCTCGTTGGCACACTTACGATTAGCCTGGTGAGTCTAGAAGGATAACCTTGACTAAACAACTATGCACCTAGCCAGGGCCACCTGCCGAGATACCAACTTGTATCGTTCGGCTACCTAAGCTAGGACTTCTAAATCGTGTGACACTCTAATACTACTAATGTTACTTCGTTTGGGGCTCTTTTGGCTGTCGAAAATAGGTTCTCAACCGACCCCTATTCCAACCAGCCCCTTCCCTTTCAATAGAGACCTAAGTAGGTAGTTAGCTCATAGGTATACTTAATCTAGAGGGTGAATAGTATGGTATAAACATTCAAGTTTGGGGGTGAGCTCATTGAATAAAATTACGGTAAGGCTTTGATAGATTATCAACTTCTCAATTGATAGGTATATTTGCTGAACGAGCAGTTAATCCTCTCCAAAGGTATCTAACCATTCGTGACGTACCTAATACTCTTACCTACCTAGGTAACCATGCAATTGGCATACATCCATCATGAAACACGATGTGGGAAGTAGAAAGGGGCATTTCTTCCGAATTCCGAGCTTGATTGCATTGATGGTTAGCAACCTGTGAGACTTCACTTAGATCCGGCGTTGCTGTTTGCGGATTCGGCAAACTTCGCCTCCACAACACTAGCTATGGAGTCGAGAGATTTCCTCTCGCTCCGCAGGTCTAGGAAGGAAACGTCGACCTCAAACGTAATCCAAAACCAGGTACGGAACTCAGCCGCAAGCATGCTATCGACACCGAACTGTGCCATAGGCTTATGATCATCGATCTGCTCTGCTGGGACCAGGATCATGTTTGAGAATTGTTTCCGGACAAGCTGCAATATTGCCTCTCTCCTAGAACTTGCGCTTGTCATTGCTATCATAGCTTTAGCATCGGATTCTAAGGCAGCTTTCGATGTACCGTCTGCAAACTTGCCCATCTTTCCCACTTCTCCTCGTGCTGCTAGTACCCTTAGTTCGAGTGCGAGCGATTCAGCCAACATGCGCGAGCGCGGATCCTGCATTGGCAAGTTGCTGACATCGAAGCCCTGGGCTAGTAGCTTGCGGAATCCCGTCGATTCCATTCCAGAGAGGATATGGGCTGCCGCAAGGTCATCTATTCCTTGCACATCTGAGTTATTGTGCTTCCCAGATATTGCGAAGTCAATAAGTTGCAGGAACTCGTCCTCTGACATGCCTTGGACTCCTCGACGTATGAGAATGGCTTGTATGTCTGGATTCTCGTGCAGATAGCCCACTTCTGAGATCATTCCTATGCCGACTGACACTGCAGTCTTGCCTTGACTACGGCGCCATCGAGCAAAGGAATCTAGAAAAGTGTTAGATGCGCAATAGTTAGCTTCGGTTGCCACGCCAACCGATCCTGAATTAGATGAGGTCATTAGAAAGAAATCCAACGATCCGTCATAGTCCTCGAGTGCGTGATGCAGATTCCACGTTCCGGCCCATTTACAGTCGACGCCGATATGCCAAGCTTCACTTGTCATCTGCGAGAATATAGCTTCTCTCAGGGCCATAGTACCCTGTACAACGCCACCTATACGTCTCCCTGTAACTGTACAGGCTTTTACAGCAGCAGTTACGTCAGAAGCAATCGTAACGTCCCCCTTAACCACGACAACGCTAGCGCCGGCATTTCGTAAGCCAGACACGAGCTTCTGTGCATCTAGTTTGTCAAAGCCTGACCTTCCAAGGAATACGAAGTTACGAGCCCCGCGGGAGAACATCCAGCGGCTCAGACTGCGTCCTAGGCCGCCAAGACATCCCACAAGAAGGTAACTCTTCTCGGGATCGAGTAGAGTTGAATAATTAGGCTCACAGACCTATTCATTGTTAGCCTGAAGAAACTCATGTGGTGGTCGCCTTACCTGAATCTTGCTTTCTGGGTTCTCGAGAGAGACCGCAACTTTACCCACCCTGTCTTTAGTAGAAAAGTAACGATAGGCTTGACTGATATCCGCTATATCAAAGGTAGTCACGGGAGGTAACTTGATGTGTCGTGAGCGATACCACTTTAAAGCCTCCTTTACCTTGCTATTTTATATGAATTGCCTTAGCACTGACCGATTTGCGAGTTGCAAAAGGATTGCGAGCTCACCTGGAAACTATATCCTGGAGGAATGGATCATCTGACAAGATCATATCTTCCAGATCGAACGCTGTAAACGTTGCGTTCCGCAAGAACCCTTGCATATCCAACCTACCAGCATTGAGCAACTCGCGTTTTCCCACCTCGACGAAACGCCCAAAGTTAGCCACGCACTCCCAACTGCCATGCATCAAATCACCGATAAGAGAGTTGATCAGTATGTCAACTCCGCGCCCCTTCGTCATCTCCATTACTCCAGCCACAAACGACGGATCGCGAGAGGAGAAGATATGCGAAGCCGGAAGCCCGAATTCAGCCATAAGGAAATCTCTTTTGGCTTGCGACCCCACAGTCGCAAAAACAACGGCACCAGCACTCTGTGCGAGACCGATTAAAGCGACGCCCAGTGCGCCAGAGCCCGCATGAACCAAGATCGACTCCCCCTTTCTTAAATGCGCGCGGTCGTTAAGCGCGTAAAGGGCCGTGCTATAGACTACTGGGATCGCTGCCATGGTTGTAAACTCCTCGTCCGGTAGCAGTTTGTGTACTGCCCAAGAGGGCACGCGCTCTATCGTCGCGAAATGGTTCGGCCACAAAACCATAACGCGGTCCCCGGGCTGTACGTGTGTGACGTCCTTGGCCACCTCTCTCACTACACCAGTAAACTCGCAGGCTTCTGTCCCCATACGTGTCTCCAAGTGACCACCTAGGGTATAAATGTCCTTAGCGTTGAGACCGACAGCTTTGACGGCGACATCTACAAGCCCACTCGACAACTCGGTGCGGTGCTCGCACAACTTCTGAAAGTATATGGTATCAGGACGGCCGGCCATGCCAACTGAGAATCGTGCTAAACCCGCGCTCCCTAGGGTTTCTTGATGCAGTCGTTCTTCCATGCCTAGCCGGCGCCGGAATTGCGAATTCAGCGCCGTGTCGGGGCCGAAACGGCTGATATAAAGAAGTCCCTCCGTATAAATGAACTCTTTATCATCCATGTCGTAAAGGGGCACCAGCGTTCGCAACAGGTTCTCGCAGACTGGCTGCATATCCTGCTTAGAGTGGCGTGCGTGTCCAATATCCACCACCGAGAAGCGAAGGGACGGCTGCTCCAACATGAGTGCGCGAGATAGCCCCTGGGCAAGAACAAGATTTGGATCTGCTTGGCCCGTCAAGCTCAACATATCGCCGCCGGTTACCCAAAGCAGATCTGTAACGACATTTGTTACGCTGCGCAGGAGATCCATTTTGTCTTGATTCATCGTAGCCAGGAACTCGGTTTCAAACTCCAGTAGAGAGATACATATGGTCTTCTCATGAATTTTCACGGTATGGACCTCGGAAAGTGAAACGTGGCTCACTTGGGCTACGCCGGTGGCCATCTTGAGTGTCGATTTGATACTTGATATCAGCTCCTCGACGTGAGGAGTAAGCTCCTGGAACTACTACGAATTAGTACTATCCAAGCCCTTGGATGCTAGGTAAGTTTGAGAACATGACTTACTATAATAACGACGTCTCTAACCCCTTTCAGCGAGGGTATCTTGGCTGTACGTGTAGCCAAAACGATCTCATCTCCCACATGTAGCGTGGCAAAATTAGCAGCGCTCAAGGTCCCAAGTGCCTTGTCCGTTTTGTGGGAAATGATGATCCCATGGTCTGCAACCATAGAAAGGGCATTCTTTTTGCTATCCCTGCCGAAGCAACGTTCTGAGGCGGCGTACTAAATAAAGTTAGATTCCATTCCTTAATGAAAGTTATCCAAAACTTACGTCGGGAACAAGAACGACGTCGAATGGGCCTTCGTCCCCATCCTCAATCACGAGCTCGCCATCTTTAAGGGGGGTACCGGCCTGCCATGTCCCGCATCGAGGGAATGCTTTGTCGCTATTCAGCAAGTCCAACCATATTTTGGCCTTAGCATCGCAGCATCTTCCGAGCTCTAGCACTCGCATGCCTGGACTCTTGTGTCCGGCGAGTTCGAGCAATACCCCGATGGCCAACGTCTTATCATCTGCCATGTCTGTTTGAATCCGCTTCATACGACCTTTCACATATTCCTTGAACCAGTCCTCGACGCCTGGATGTAGGCGCAAGATATCCGGTTTCCAGTGCACTCGCAGACAGGGGTTTCGCTGAGTGGCTGTCTCGCTACTATGACTGCTATCCATTTTTCCAGTGTACAACGATAGACGCACCCCTCTTAGATTTATAAGTGAGTCGCCAGCAACCCGAAGTGTACAGTCTGCCTTTTGGGTTGCAATACTAGTCCTGGCCGCCCGTGTATAGATATGTGCTTCACTTTGAGGGGTCTTGACCTGCACTGCTTGAATCCAACATTCAGAGATGGAAACAGGAAGATAAGCTCGAAGAGAGCTCGGCTTCCCGCCTGTAATGCCAAATATTGCAGTTTGGAAGCATGCGTCAATGGTAATCGGATGCATACCATACTCTGTGTATGAAGTATGGGCGGCTGGGGGTACCAATCGCACAGTAGACACAGCATCGGGTCGATTCTTAGTGCCATCTGTACATAGTTTCACAAGTGAGCGAAATTGAGGACCATAACGGAGTCCCTCTTCCTCGAACCTCTTGTACCATCGCTTCATGGGTATATTGTGGTCAATCGAATTAGAAATTGGTACGGTGCTCTTCGGTTCTACGCTCCCATTCGCTCGAATATTGCCAGCACAATGTACAGTCGTGTGCTCTGAGGTCCAGGAAGAGATAGAAAAGTCGTACCAATTGGCTGATGTTGTTGTCATTGATATCTTGCGCGGCGACATCGTCGTGTGCAGCTCGACTTGGTTGGCGTCCGCATCCAACCCATCTTCGCTTTGCACAACGAAGGCGGTGCGAATATTGACATTGCGAATTTCGAATGATACCGGTTTATCGTGAGGGGACCTGTCTTTTAAGCCGAGGATCTGAGAAATAGCTTCGATGGCCATGGCGAGATATCCTGAAGCGGGAAATATTACCTGAGATTCGACTTTATGATCACGCAGCCAGGGGACCTCGTTAAGGCGGAGTACGTTACGCCAGCTCCAATCAATGCCATTGCCGGCAAGCTGCTGGGACCCAAGCAACTCGTGCCGTACATATTTGCGGTTGCGAAGCTCGGTACTAGCCCGCGGCTCATGCCATAAGAGACCCGCGGAATAATCCCAGGGATAGGGAGGGAGGTCAGGAAGCGGCCGTAGAGCGATACTGCGAGGGAGGTTGTTGATGTTCCCCCAGTTCAATTCATAGCCGTGAGAAAAAAGAGATCCTGCAAGCCTCTTCAACGCTATGTTCGAATCTTCATTTCTAATCAATGAAGGACTATAGGGTAAAGACCTCTTGTTTGGCCCAGACATGGTTGCTAGGGTTTGTTGAACCGGACCTTTCAATGCATGATGAGGTCCAATTTCAATGAAATAGAAATCCCCACTCGCAGCCAGTTTCAGTAACGCCGAGTTAAATTGGACCGGAGTCTCGAGATTATCGCGCCAGTAGCGAGCATTGTTAGTACCGAGATTGAGTATTGATGGGTTGTCACCGCTATATCCCACGGACGAATACATCTGAGTATCCGAGTTTGCGAGCTTGTCCCATTTACCATTGACATATGGCGTAATCAGTGTCTCATAGTAAGAACCGATCTCTCTCATCATGTGTGAGTGATAAGCACGGCCTCCTGTTTCCAGTTTACGGCAGAACTTCTTCTGGTTTTGGAGTTCTGATAAGATGACCTCGATGCCTCTTAGCGAGCCGCTCAGCGTCACACTCGTGGGAGAGTTAACACAGGCAACGCATACGTCGCCTTTCAAGCCGCGCTTATCAATGATCTGCTCTGCGGATTGGACATCAATTCCGGCAGCAGCCATAGAGCCGTGAGCCTTTAGCTGTGCAACTGAATAGCCACGCATATAGGCTACGATGATAGCTTCAGATTGGCCAAGGAGGCCAGCTGCGTAGGCGGCGGCAATTTCACCTGAAGAATGACCGACCACAGCTGAGGCACAGACGCCCCAACTCTTCAAGACTTTTACCAGTCCGATCTGGACGGCAGTACATAAAGGCTGGCTGTAAGTGGCATCCCCAACTCTACTTACTCCTGGTGGATCCAGGATCGCTTGTCTCAATGTCCAAGCCGGTCGGTGCTCTGATGGCAAGACTTGCAAGACATTATCGAGCTCCTGGATAGTTGCGCTGAAAATAGTGTTGTGTAAAAGCAATTCTTTCGCCACTGTATCGTGCTCAGTCAGTAATTATTCCCAAAACACAAGCCATTTTATCGCAGCAGATCCAGTCAGGGCCTGCTAATTCGTTTGAAATAATAAACTGCTGTGGAACCACTTACTACACGCATATTGAGCTCCTTGGCCTGTGAATACGAACGCGAAAGGCAACGATCCTGATGGATTCAGTTTGGGTGGTTCAGATAGTTGAGTCTCGATTACTTCCGAGCCTCCATCGTCACTAGCTCTGACCAGAAGACTGGCTTTAGATCTCAAGTGAGATCTTCTATCAGTCAGAGTAAATGTCAAATTCATGAGATATGTCGCGTTGGAGCATCCTACTAATGCAACAACCTGGTCTATGCGAGTTTGTAGCGAGCGGCTGGACACGGCGGAAACGGGCAGCACGAGCAGCTGGTCATTGCATTTTGGAATGGGCAAGGGGCGAACGGTTTCGCTCCCCAAGTAACTGTCCAGTGCTTCGACGATGACGTGGGCGTTTGCGCCTCCATATCCAAAAGAATTGATACTGGCCCGACGAAGAGATCTTGGCCACTGTTCCGCTTCTGTAACAACTTTAAAGTTGCTTGATTCAAGAGGCACTTTTATCGGAGCCCAAAATTAACAATACGTTTGCAAACAGGGTATGTAGTATGGTGATGGTGGTGGGTCAAATATTGTTGATTCATATACACTAGTTTAGTGCATGCATAACGTGTGCATAAGGATGTCACATGACAGGGTAACAGGTACGGAACGCTAGGACACTTACATTTCGGGTTTAGCTTGGACACACCAAAAGTCGGCGGAATCCTACCATTTTCAAAGGCGAGTAGGACTTTAAGTAGCGACGTCAAACCACTTGTGCTCTCACTATGGCCAAGGTTCGTTTTCACCTATCCCTCTGAAGTCAGCATACAGTATCCACCTAGCTATACGTAAGGGATGTGTGATAGGTATACTCACCGACCCGATCATCAATGGACTTTCTCGCGGGGAAAAGCACTGTTTAAGCGCCTCCACTTCAATCACGTCTCCTACCGCGGTACCAGTGCCATGACATTCGACATAATCAGTATCGCAGAAATCCAGAGCGGCATTAGCATACGCTTTCCTGATAACCGCCTCCTGGAGAGCTGCGCTTGGCTGCGATATACCAGGGGTTTTGCCACACCTATAGCGGAACTTGTTAATGGTTGCCAATCAATTGAAGACCTTATATTAGGTAGTCATTTCACGTACGCGTTTAGTGAAGTGGCGCGAATGACACCCCAAATCTTGTCATTGTCCTTGAGGGCCGACGAAAGGCGTTTGATATAGACAGCCTCGACTCCTTCGCCTCGCCCATAGCCATCGGCCGAGATATCAAATGTATGGCAGGTAGACGTAGGTGAGAGTACACCACCTTTCATTATCTCGATATGTTGTTCGGGGGACATTATCAAATTAGCTGCTGCGACGATAGCGCCGTCGCAATCCCCAGCTTTGATTGCTGAGACAGCAGTATGGAGACAGTACAAGGCGGATGAGCACGCAGTGTTCATTGTTAAGCTATGACATTCAACGTCAGTTCAAGAGCATAATAAGGCTTTGTATAATTTTGAGAAATAACTGGCCCGTAGAAAACGTACCTGGGCCCCTGAAGGTTGAAAATATTGCTGATACGATTGGCCAAGATAGCCTTGCCGGAGCCAGTGGCGCTATAACGATGTAGGTAATCTGGGTCCCTATAGTGCATGGTCTGGTAATCACAGGTGAAGTCGCCAGTATATACACCGGTATTGGAGCCAGCCATCTGTTCCAGGGAGACTCCAGCATTCTCGAAACATTCAAAGACGGCCTCGAGGAGCTTTCGTTGAAGAGGGTCCACTGAGACGTAAAGTCAGCATTTTTTCGGCATGATAAAGGGATTTAATCCCCACCAGGACTTTAGGTGAGAGATTCCCTAAGTCTTCTGGCTTAGCCCAATGGGAGGACAAGAGGACAAGTGGACTGTAGGCATCAAACAAATTTGTAACCAGTGTTTATACTCACTATAAAGAGCTTCCAGGTTGTTGATACCGAAAAAGCTGTTCTCAAATAGACGGACATCTTCCTTAAGGAAATATCCGCCATCCGCGCTCATTATACCGGCACGGCTATCATCCGGCCCGTGAAATCCCTTTATGTTGAACCGCTCAGGTGGGACTGGCCCTTGGACACTCCGCTTGTTCACTAGGAGCTCCCATAGACTGAACAGAGATCGTACATCCCCAGGAAGATGGCAAGCTATTAATGTTAATCGTAGATATATTAAGAAGCAAAGAGTCTTACCTAGCCCTACAACACAAACCAGGTCATCGAGACTGTCCGTGCTCCTAGAAGATTCAACACTGTCCATACCATGTTTAGGGGCATAATGAGATTTCTGTGACGACACCACGGACGTGAAAGTTCCAGTAGTGGAATCACTACCCTCGACGTCAGGAACATCTATATTTTTCGGCACATCGCCTAGATTTGCAATGCAGCTGTCTGTTGTGGACTGTATCGCAAACATAATGGCAAATAGATCGTAGCTGGTATTCTTGTCATCTTCTGCCTACATACCTGTCAACTAACCCAGAATATATATGGCAGTCCACACAGCCTTATCAAGGTCCAAGGCACACATCGCCACATTATTCCTGGAAATCAAGACTTCATTATCACCTCCAAGTTCCCGACTGTAGCACAGTGGCACAGTATTCTAATAGGACCAACACAAACCGTAGGCCGCTCTACGTCTCCATGGGTGTAACTCTTTACGAACGCTTTTGGAAATTTGTCCCGCGTTTGATCCCCCATATCTGAAGCATCTGCTTCTTGAAGGGGAGGATTCATTCGTGTAACATATAGAGATCGACGATGATATCCTAGACGACCCTATACGATATCGCTACGGTGTTATATTGTGACATTGTAACAGACCTGAAAGACACAGCATTAATATTCCAAATTCGGAAATTATTAGCGAGGGTTAGAATGAGAAGATACCTAGATATTATCTCTGACATGGTTGAAGGCGCCACGATGCAGTCCTAACGTGCAAGAAAACGACATTTATGCGCGAGGAATTCGTAGTCCCTGCCATTTAGGATGGCGGTGTGGCTACGGGAGATGCCCTGCGTTTGCCTTATTCCAGGATCGGCTATTAACAGGTCTCTCACGGGATAATTCGATCCAACCAGACCTCTGGTCAGGTAAATAGGGGTCGTTGAAGCCCTCCTCAATGAAGACGCATTTGTCTACCTACCTATATAGGACGTTTCTCCCTATCTTTTGTGCCTACCTAGACAATTAGATACCTACCTCGGTACCCACCTAGGTAGTTAATATCAAGTCCGTAGCTTCTTCTGTAATTACTCAGAACCTAAAACAAGCATCCAGAGAACTGAATATAAACTTGCGAATTGTCCATAGTATAATCCTACTCGAATATTATAGATTAATTGGTTATACAGCATAGTCGTTTTCAATTCGCCCCAAGGAGTTGGTTTGCAGTCCGTTCTAGGCCTTGCCGATGACGTGCATACTATATTGATGACTCACATAATATTAATCTTCAGTTCTATGGATAGCTACCCTACCTAATGTCTGTCTTCATCTGCAAGGCTCCGGGCGATAGTAGCAGGGTGTGTATTTAATATGCATGTTGGAACGCAGCAATACCTACCTGGGTACTTACCTAATTATCTGAATGTTTGGAGGATGTTCTAAAATAGGTAAGTAGATAGACTCCTCGCTAGATAGCTCTACGGTCAGTATTTCATATTAAAAGGCTCGCTCTTACGTTACTTCTTCCGGGTTAGATACCGAAGACTTCACTAACATCATTGTATAAACGAGGTAGATGAAAACTATCTGGATTGTATAACCAACCACAATGGCTCCTTTGAACCAAACGCCAGGGCAAGACTTTGCAGCTGTTCTCAGTGCGCCTGCACTCCAACCTCCTGATGGAGTTACTGCAAATTTTGATAATCCACCGAATCACAATGTCTACGCCTACGTAGCTTCCATTATTTCCATGTCCTTTGTGGCAGTCTTCGTCTTTCTACGTGTCTACGCACGAGTTTTCTATTTGAAGAAGGTCCATATTGCAGATTGTCAGTTTTCTACGTCCGGTTAATGTTTTTCAATCAAAATGCTAACAACCACAGTTATTGGGCTGGCAGCATTCGTATAATATGATGTCCATTTCTGACGACGAGTTCCCGACTACTAACAGTTGAGCAGGGAACGTACTTGGGATTTATGCATGCAATTTTCACCATTCTATTCTCCACCGGTTACTTCGTCCATCAATGGGATATGCGCGTGAAGGATCTTATAGCCTTCGACAAGGTTAGCTATCCTAACATCAGATTTGGCATTGACGAAACTGACGAACCTAGATGTATTTCCAGGGATACATGTTTTACTGCGCTACGGTGTTGACCATAAAATCTGCCATCATTATCGAGTGGACTTTCATCTTCGTTCCGCAACATACTCGCAATGCATTCTACTGGATATGCCAGGTTCTTCTGTGGTTCAATATCCTCTTTTACATCGCAATGATGATTTTACCCAATGTTGCATGCCATCCACACGAGAGGCTCTGGAACCCCCTCATACCTGGGACATGCATCAACACCTCCATTTCCAGCACCCTAGTAGCTTGCTTCAATTTCGCAACAGATATCGTCCTACTTGTTCTCCCTCAAAAGGTTATCTGGGGGTTACAGATGTCAATCAAGAGGAAATTAGGGATATCTCTTATCTTCCTAATCGGTATTCTGTGAGCAATTTTCGCGCCGGCGATGCCTCAAGATCACTAATGATTTATTTCATAGAGCTTCTATCTCTGCCGGCTTCAAAGTCGCCGCATCGGTCCCGTATTATAGTTCGAGAGACACGACGTATACGTTTGCGGCATTGGCCTTGTGGTCACTTGCTGAGATTACCTGCGGCATTCTCATTTTCTGCATGCCATCTATCCCCAAAACAATCTCCAGCATACAGTTGGCGAAACTGGCCTCATCTTTGAAGTCGTGGGCCGGAACCTCCATGGAGAAGCTAAAGAGGTCCAGGTCCGGAAGCGCGAGTCAGGTCTCCTGGCGTGGCATAAAGTCTAGATCATCCAAGTCAAGTTTACACCAGCGAAAGGGAGCATATCAACAGATGGATGGACGCGCCCCTCCTCTTCCTTCGAGCGTTTCGGAGACTACGAGGAATAAGGCTGATTCCTCCATCAAGCAAGACCCACTGGGTACCGATAGTAATGCGGCAGCCATTGTACGCACCACCCAATTTATGGCCGATGAGACATATGGTCTTAATATTGAGAATGATGAATATAACCGTCAGCATCCTTGGGTCGAGAAAAGGGGGTAGAAACACAAACAGAGGCTGAGGATGGGTCATAATGTAACACCAGCCAGTGAGTCTCGAGGACGGTTGATGAAATTTGGGTGCTTAGGTACCTATCATCTAGGTAGGTACCTAGGTAGTGGGGGACGAGCTTGTGCAACTTTCTTTTAAGGCTATGTAGCTAGAACTAAAAAAATACCTATACTATGGTGATCTCTTTTGGTTCAGATATACGTAGTGTAGCCTTGTTCATAGAGCCTGCTTGATTAAGTATTGACAGGTGTGGTATGAAGCAAGCAGGTGAGCAGGTCAGCATGTGGGTGCCGACTCAGTAGATCGACCAATCATATAAAGGTTGGGGGAAGAGTGGGAAGGGTGTGTGATTAATTTCGCCGCAGCTGTCATTGGTTGAAGACTGCCGTTGACCGAAGTCTGGGATGATGTCAAAATGCATATTCAAGTTGCTTTTTGCAGGCTATGTTGGAGTCCAATAACCTCCGAACAAATGTAATTCTCATTATTATTAGAACCTTTTCAATCTAAAGTTAATCTACAGGACGCTGATCCAAAAGGAATATGCGATAACGCGTTTCTGTGGAAAGGCAGCATGCATATTGCTATGCGCAAGAAGTATGTATTGTTTGAAGAGGGACAATCTTTTTTGCACTTACTACACGTACGTATGTGCGTTGGATGGAATATCTTCTTATTTAGGTAGGTAGCTAAGCATGTATGCGACGTTGAAGTGAAGTTTAGGATGTTGTACAGCCGCGCGGGTTACCAAGGACTCGCGTTAGCCAATCAGACTCCATCAGCGGCAGGCTGTGGATGTTACACTCTGGGTAGTTTAGCACTTTGTAGGTAAGTTGGCTTGACTCTTGATCAATTTTATCAATCTATTCTATAACCAACAGATTAGACACGAGCCCGTTGTGTTGATCACCCTGCATACCTCACAGTTGTATGTAGCAGCGGATCAACCCTTGTGCTACCCCATGATAAAGATGACTGGATGGTTAAAATTGTTGGAGCGTATCTGAGTGCCAGCCTCGTGGGGGCTGAAACAATAGAATCTAACAGGTCACATTGCAGCCTTTAATATCGGCGTCGGGTAGCACAGAGACAAAGACGACAAAGACAACCGGTAGGCAACCAACCCCTCAAATCAATACCTAGGTACTCATTATACAGCCTGCTCGACGGAGATACTACCAAGAAGAGACGGCTGCGTAATCATCTCATGCCGTTTAACTAGGTGGCTAGTACCACGGCCCAACCGATGTTAGCTACTTAGTAGCCCTTCCAACGAAATCTAAGTCCAGTCTGTATCATTCCTATCTATCAAAAAACTAGCATTCAGAAAATGGATTCTAAGGCCCCTAGCGTCGCAAGTATGGCTTCAACCTATGGGGTGTATATCGTGACTGCTCTAGTCTTATTGATTCCGAGTTATTATCTCATCTTACATCCGTTGAGTCGTTATCCCGGACCCCTCATCGCGAAATTCACGAATGGATACGGAGCCTTCTACGCTCTCAAGGGGACGTTTCATTCAGTCACCTGTGAGCAACATCGTAAATACGGTAAGATGAAGCCCCTATCCAAAATGAATATCAGCGCCCGCTAAAAAGTGATCTGCTCTAGGTCCAGTAATCAGACAAGGCCCGAACAAGCTTGTCTTCAACACAGTCACAGCTTTGAAAGGTACCTAGGTTTTATTCACCACCTAAGCGTTTAGCTCTCCGTAGTTGCTGAGAAGAGAGAAGACATCTACCAAAATGAACGGCTCACCAAACCCATCAACTACCTCTCCAACCAAGCAAGCCCCGGCTTGCACAACACGTGGAATGCCTTGGATAGGAAAATGCACCGCCAGCGACGGAAGCTGACCGGGCCTTCCATCAACGAGCGCTCCATGCGGACCTTCGAGCCCACTATGATGAACGAGGTGAACACGTTCATCGAGCAGATAGCGCTGAGCCAGGATCGCCCTATCGACATGCAGAAGCGGTGCGGCTATCTCGGCGTCGACATCGTGTGCCAGCTCTCCTTCGGGTTCGCCCTGAACTCGCAGACAGAGGAGAAGTACCGCTTCCTGCCGGGCGAGATAACCGCCGGCAACCGTCGCCTGTACGCGTACATGCAAGTACCCACGATCGCCAAGCACCGTCTGCAGGTGCTCATTAACCTGCTATGGGCCAAGTCGCGCGAGAAAGTGTTCCGGCTTCTCGAGCACATGATCAAGAGCCGGATGGCGCAGGACCAGCGCGCGAAGCACGACATGTACTCTTTCGTGGCCGCCGAGCTCAAGGCCGAGGAGAGCAGCAAGAGCGGGAGTCTGCGGGTCAACGACCTCTGGATGGAGGCCATCCTGTTCACCGTGGCCGGCGGCGACACGACCTCGACGGCGATCGCCGCGACGCTGTTCTACGTGGCGCGCCACCGCGACGTTTACGACAAGCTGGCCGCGGAGATCCGGTCCGCCTTCGGAGACGGGAGCGAGATCTGCGGGTCCAAGCTCGCGAGTTGTCACTATCTCCGCGCCTGCGTCGACGAGGCCCTCAGGATGTCCCCGCCCGTCGCGGGGGTCTTGTGGCGAGAGCTGGCTTCCGACGAGGATGCGAGCAAGCCGTTAGTCGTTGATGGACATGTTATCCCCAAGGGCACGTATGTTGGCGTCAGCACCTATGCGCTCCATCACAACGAGGTGAGTTACCTACCTGCAATTTAGTAATCCCATTGATGTGATACGGGGATGCCTTGCGACCCTTAGAAATTAACACTTAATCACAGGACTACTTCCCAGACCCCTTCACATACAAGCCCGAACGGTGGACATCCCCCAACGGCGAAGACGGCGCCCCTGGATCCCGGAAGGTGATGTACGACGCATTTGCCCCCTTTTCCGTCGGATCCCGGGGCTGCGCCGGAAAGGCCATGGCCTACCTGGAGATCAATCTCACCATAGCCAAGAGCCTGTGGTATTATGATTTCAAGCCTGCTCCGGGGAAACTCGGCGACATTGGATTGAGCGATAAAGGCGAGTTTCGCATTTACGATATTTTTATCTCGACGCATGACGGACCGTGGCTGGTTTTCACTCCGCGAAGCACCTTGGACAAGGATTTCCCTGACTTGAAGCGAGGGAATACGGAATAATTCTAGCGGCCTATTAGATGGGGGCGAAGGCATTGTGGGCAGGAAGCCTCCTATTTCTAGTACAATATACCAGTTGTTTGTATGCAACCTGACGACTCAAAATGGCAGCCCTTCACTACTGAACGCGACGGCAATTGTCATTGAAGACAAGACTAGTTCACAACAAGTCTCGTCTAAATCGTAAAAGTGCATTCTTATTAATTGTAGACCAAGCAGCCTTATGATGCTGTTGGACCGCGCCCACGTAAATCGAATCGTAACAAGAAAGCAAAAGCCGAATATGCCGACCATTTTGTCATTCCTTAGCTTATGCCCATGTTTAACTCCTAACCCATGCGGTATTCAGTTGAACGACTCATCTGCGTTTTCCCTTATAAGACCATTCGTGCTCCTCCGCCCACGCGCTCTCGAAGACGGTCGGTAGCTGCGTGAAATGCTTGTCTTGGTGGCCCAGGTAGCGGACCATCTGGAAGGCGCCCGTGCCGACTGACATAGTCTGTCCCATGATGATCTTCTCGCTGACACCCTCGATGCGGTCCGCTTTCATCCCAGCCGCCGCGTCGAAGAGGTGATCTGCCGTCTTTTCGAAAGACGCGAGTTGCAACACACTATCCCGCATCTTGGATAGACCGAATCGGGTGATGCCTAGAATTTCGCCCTTATAAGTCATGACATCGGCTAGTAGCTCCATATGTCGTGGGTCGATACCCATATCGTTCATAACATCGGAAATTTCCTTGGCAATAGTGGTCCGCGCCGCTTCGATGCCGAGGATATCACGGCACTCCAAAACGCTATTCGTGCGTACTTTCGTACCAACGACGCCTTCAGTGTTCATACATTGCTGTAGGCCGTAACCCTCAACCAGAACAGTATAGATCTCTTTATCTTTATCTTTATCATCCTTTGATGTTTGGATAATTGCACGAGTAGCGTCCGGATATCCGGAAATTGGGATGAGCGGTAACGCCCGTTTGATCTGACCCACCTTCACCGTTATGTCTGCCATGGCTTCTGCAATTGCCGCTTTGCTTCTCGGCGCTCGTTTTGCTGCCGAAGGATCCGCGTCAGGGGGTGGTACAGTAACTTCAATAGTTGCGTCTTCTTCGAAGACGGAAATATTCGTTTTCTGTATCTTCAACTTCTTCTGTTTCGAGATGATGTCGGCAATGTTCTCGAGACTGATATTAAGGTGCATTCCTTCTAGAGTTTCGGTGTTGATGTGTAAGGTAATGAACGCTCTGTCTGCCTTCCATTCATCGTCCATGTATCGAAGAATATCCTCGATGTACGTCTTCTCAATTCTAGCCCTGACAATGCGTGCGGCATTCATGTCCCCTTTACTTTCCAGAGGGCATGAGATGACGGGAGTGCTAATTAATTTGGAAGCATTAATAATTTCCTTGATACGCGGTACACCTTGAGTGATGCTCATTCCGGCAACACCAGCAAAGTGAAAGGTTTTCAGGGTCATTTGCGTTCCAGGTTCGCCGATAGACTGTGCTCCGACCGCTCCGACCGCGTGACCCGGTTCTACGCGAGCTTTTGAATATTTCTCTAGACACAGCGCAATAAACTTCCTAGCTGTGCGTTCGGACACCTTCACGACTCTTTCGGAAGCGAGCCGTGAGAATGCCCCCTTTTCTTTTCTCTGGATTGCAGCTAGAGATCCGGCAGGTTTTACAAGCAGCGGATCAAGACCTGCAGCAGTTCGAAACCTGGCTAATTTCTTTGCTAAACCTTCCATATGATCATGAACAGTATCGAGAAACTTTCGGCCGCCTTCGTACTCGTCAACCGCATAGTTACTTACGTCCCTGTAGTCTAGAGGCTCTCCATGTAACAGTCCTCGTCTTTGGTAGTGTTCGCGCTCCTTTTTGAGAATGGATTCGCAAAGCTCCATAATTTCGAACGGTAGTAATGCTCTATCCGAGTTATCCCATGTGAGATTTTCGGCGTGAGACCATGTCCTCTTGAAATTGACTGGCACGGCGTTGCCTTCCATGTCTACAGGGTCTAGCTTATCAGCGCCGAACTGAAACTGCACTACTCCTCCGCCTGATGTCCTAACAGTGTCGTCGTATTGCGTCGAGAGATCCTCGAGCGATTTCATTAAACGACGGGACATGTATCCAGTTTCCGCAGTTTTGACGGCTGTATCGACGAGACCTTCTCTTCCGGAGATGGCGTGGAATAGAAATTCAGTCGGAAGTAGTCCAGTATAGAAGCTGTTACGTACGAACCCCTTTGCGGGAGCTTGGCGGGCGTTCTTGTGGAAATGGGGCAGAGTCCGGTCTTGGAAACCATCAGCTACACGCTGTCCTCCGATAATTTGCTGCCCGACAACGGCAACCATCTGAGCGACGTTGATGGTTGAACCCTTGGAACCAGACGAGGCCATGATCCAAGGCGCATTATTCTTACTAAGCGTCTGGATACAGTACTCTCCGGCTTCCTGTCGGACTTTGCTAAGGGTACCGGAGATTTTGTTTTCCAATGTCTCTTCCATACTACACCCAGCTGCTTTCTCTAGCTTGTTTGAGTTAAATTGCTCAATAAGGGTGTCTGACTTTTTGTATGCCTCCGCCACAAGTTCCTGCTTCTTTTCAGTAAGAGAGGCCGTGGGAAAGACATCGCCAATGCCTATGGAAAACCCGCGGTTTGTCAATACTCGCGCGCAGAGTTTGGCCAACCGATTCATTGCCGTCACAGCATCGTCGGGACCAAAATCTCTTAGGATCACATAAAATATGGAATCCTTCTTTCCCGCGCCCACTGTAGACTTGTCCATCCTGCCACACATGACTTCCGAGTTTCTCACAACGAGCCATCCGTCGTTAGGACACATGTCTGGGGCTCTTGTCTTCTTGCCCGGGGGAGGTGACGGCGGCTCCACGTATTCTCTGCACTTGGCATCGAGGTTTACTTTAACCTGCGATGCTTTGTTCGGCCTCATAAGTAGGCTGAAGACCTGTTTCCCCGTCCAAAGCCGCTTGGGAGCGACGATGGCAGGGGGTGGTAAGTCAATATGGGTATTACCGTCCATCATTTGCATGACAATATAGGTGAAGGTTTTGCGATCAAAGAAGTTGTCTTTGCTGCTCAGAAGATAGGCTGCCGTAATGAAATCTTGCGTTGCCGCGATAATCGGTTCTCCGTTCTTCGGCGTTGCTAGGTTGTGCTTGACTCCCATGAGAGTCATAGCCTCGGCGCGAGCCTCTTCCGTCTGAGGCACGTGGAGATTCATCTCATCTCCGTCAAAATCTGCATTGTAAGGTCCACAAACGCACTCATTCAAACGGAAAGTTCTCCAAGGTCTGATTTTGGCGAAATGACTCATGATACTGAGCTTGTGGAGTGATGGCTGACGATTGAATAGTACGATATCATTGTCCTCGAGGTGACGCTCGACGATGTCCCCTTCTCGCAAATCCCTGGCGGCCGATTCCTTGTCAGCAAATCTTAGAGATATTTTGAATGACTGTTCGCCATCCTGCTTCAGGACCGCCTGAGCTCCTGGGTGTACATATGGGCCGTTCAAGATACACTGCTTTAGCTTGTCGATATTTTTACGGTGTACTCTTTCGGGGTACGTGAGATTCTTGGCAACCAGCTCCGGTACAGCAACCTGGTTAATGGCCAGATTGGGGTCCGGAGAGATAACGGTTCGGCCAGAGAAATCCACACGCTTTCCGGACAAATTACCGCGAAACCGCCCCTGTTTTCCTTTTAAGCGCTGACAGACGCCCCTCGACGTTCTCGCACCGCTATTCTGGAGACCGGGAACATCGCTGTTTACGTAAAGAGCAATCTGCAACTGTAGGTATTCCCACTGTTCCATGATGGTTTGGAGCTGTGTACCCTTTTCTAGCGCGGAGCGGATGAGACCACAGGCCCAGACAATGTCGCTAAGTCGGGCTGTTAGATCATCTTCATTGCTCGCTCCTTCTTGGGCGACAGAAGGTCGGATGCATACGGGAGGAGCCGGGAGGTACTGCCACAGGAACATCTCAGGCCGTCCTTCTGAGGGATCGAGGCCAAGTAACTCGCAATCCGTAGGGTTGATTTGTTTGAATAGATTTAGAACTCTCAGAGGGTTTAGATCTTCGAAGGCTTTTCTCATATGCTTATCCAGATCGTGGACGTGCTTCCTAGCTTCCAAAAAGGAATTGTCGAATTCGATCTTACTCGCCGGAGGTTGTTTCTTTTGCGAAGTCGACTTGTTGAAGGCGATGAACTTATCATGAACAAGCTTGAGAGCTCCGACTTTCCTGATTTGACCATTGACTGCTCCGCAATAGTGGCAATTCTTAGTCTTTCGGCATTGCTCGTTAATCTTCTTGCAGATGGCAACCCTTCGCATGTTGTCGATGAATGGACGTCTAAGCTCCTTGAGATACATTCGCTGTTCTGCTTCGGTCAACAAGATTCGCGAGCAGTCTTTGCATATGTTCTGTAAGATAGTTATAGTAAATTTGATGTAACCGATGTGAAAGGCAGGTAGTGGTAATCGGACATGACCAAAATGGCCGGTACAATCCTGTAGTCGCAGACCACATGTTGAGCAGATGCCAGTCTTACTGGAGGTACCCTAGGAAGGACGATGTTAATTATTTTGTATGATATAAGTATTACAGGCCATAATCACTTACTAAACGCTTGTCGAGCGGTCCGTTTTGAATCGGCTCTCTGCCCCTACCGACATCGTACATAGTTCGATCGGAAACCTCTAGGACTGCTTGGTTCACGATATCTTGGTTGGATTGAATGCCGAACTTGATTTGCTTGATCTTCTTCGGCAGCTTGTCCACAACCTGGTGCTTGACCAGCATGGCCTCATTGGTAGTGGCTGTTGTGGTAGCCATCCTCCTCGATTTCTATCTTCGGTCTGTAAAATGCGCAATCGCAGGTCGTAAATCGTAAGTCGTACGTCGCAAGTCGCAAGGGTCCAAAGGTCAACTGCAGTTGGGTAGTTCGTTGCGCGAACCCAGTGCTGAGAGCAATGGACGATTCATCACCCGCGATGAATATCAACACATGTGTTGGTTGATATCAGAATTGAACAATAAGATTGGTTGGTAGAAGCTTTCGCGATGTTTGGAAATTTTTAGCCTCTTGAAAACTTGAGCTACCTAAGATAGAGTTAGAGTCATAAGCTCGTGCCCCACCATCCTACTACGGCCAGTGTACGGCGTAGAACAACCTTAAAAATTCTTATCAAGATCACCCCGAACTTATAGGCCGATAAGGGTGGGTGGTCTGTAAAAATTGTGGCTAGGCAGGGGACCTCGGGTTGTTCGGGCTGCTATTATTCGGGAAGCTGTTCGGAAAAGTTTAGGGAGGGGCAATCCATGATGAATCCACAGTTTTGGGGTACAGTAGTACAAGATACCTCCATACATGCCACATTTTTTTATGCAGCCTGTGCAGCTTCCAAATGATGCTAGCGTTTATGCTAGGTGGTCTAGGGGGTCGTCATAGGTTGCGTAGCAATTTAAGGCTGACAAGGACAACAATTAAAGGGACGGCGGACGATAGTACCGAATTTGTTAACCCGTTAATTCATTTTATATATTGCGATGTATATTGTATAAATGTATAATAAGCTTTAATTATTAATATTATATTTTATTATTTATAAGGGTTATAGCATTAAAAAATGTTATAAATTATAAGAAATTATAATATTTTTTAATTTATATTATTTATAGCGTGTTAAATTTAAGCGATAAATAATTTAAATTTAACGTTATATATTAAAAATAATTTTTTATTTATTTTATTTAAAAATATATATTTATTTATTTTTAAAATATATTAATTTTATTTAAAAATATATATTTATTTTTTATTAAAATTATAATATATATTAAATAATTAAATAAAAAATTTATTTTAATTTTTTAATTATAAAACCGATTTATTAATTATATTATAAAACATTTTATTTATTTTATTTTAAATTTATATTTTTTTTTATTATTATTATTTTTTATTATATATTTATATATTTTAAATATAAAATAAAAATATTTTATTATTATAATAAAAAAAATTTTTATATTTATAATTATTAATATTTATAATAAATATAAATAAACATTTTATTAAAATATATTATTTATTATTATTCGTTATATATATTTTATTATTATTATTAAAACTTAAAATAAATATAAATAATTTTATTACGAAATTTTTTTTAATAATAAAAAAAATAATATATTTTAAATTATCGCATTATTTTAAATAATTAAATTCGAAAAAATAATTAATAATTTTTTTATTAATTATAAAATTAAAATAAAAACATTTTTTAAGAAAATAATTTTTAAAATAATTATTATTATTATTAAAATCCGTATAATTAAATATTATATTATTTTAATTAAAATTTAATAAATATAAATTTTTATTTTCTTTAATTAATTAATTTTATTAAATTAAATATTATTAAAATATTTTAAAAAATAAATTTATTATAAATAAAATCGTGTTATTATTATTAAAAATAAATTATTTTTTTTATATAAAATATTATTATAATTTAAAATAAACATTATTAATAATTAAATTTAAATTTATTTAATTACCGGATAATTTAAATTAAAATTTTAATTATTTAAAATTAAAAGTTATTTTATTAATAAAAATTAATTTTAATTTAAGTTTATAAAATTTATTTAATTTTAATTTTTTTAAAACTTATTTAAAATTTTTATTTTTATTTTTTTTTAAAACTTTAATAAAATAAATTTAATTTTTATTATTAAATAATAAAATAATAATATCGGAAAAAACGGACCACGTAAATTAAATAAAAAAAAATTTAAAAAACATTATTTTTAATTATAAATATTTTTAATTATAATATTTATAAAAAATAAAAAAATTAATAATAAATAATTTAATTAAAAAATAAAATATATATATTATTAATTTATATTTATTTTATATAAATTTAAACATTAATATAAAATAATTATAATTAAAAAATTAATAAATATTTATATAAAAACGTAATTTATTATTATAATTATTAATTATATAAATAAAAAAAAA